TTAAATTGTCATCGCTCTTTAATAAGTATACCAAATTTCGAGTTAATCCGACATATTGAAGGGGGTCAAAATCATGTTCAAAGATTCCGTTACATACTAACATACATACGTCTGAAGCTAATAAAAGCGTATTAAACATTGCAAAAAATCTAAATCACGTAAATGACATTTACAAGAAAACAGCATAACAGCACATAAGGCTTTTTATCGAGTTTCTTTTTTCAGTTCAGTTTTTATTTTAAATGTAGCTGCCGCTGCAAGCTCTTAAATTTATTTTATACTACCTAAAAATTAATAACATTTGAATTATACGACTTTATGCCACATAAAGTATCTAACATTTACATCAAAGTGAACTAGTTTATTCATATATTCCAATTACCGTGTCATAATTAAGAATAATAGCCTGCGACTTTGTCAGTGTTGCATAATATCAACTTTATAACATAACGCAGATAATGTAACCCAGTTCTTCGTGCATACATTAATTTTATTACAGTACTTACACCGAATATCATAAAATCTGGTCGACGATCCAATTACATTTATTTATAAATCAAAATATTGCAGAAATATGTCTGTAGATTAAAAATATTTATATGTAGTTATAAAGAAGTTAATGATGTTGAGACGTAGTTGACAACAACTTTTTTTCCAATCCATTTGTTAATCCGCACTACACAAAAAACACTAAACTAATTTTGAAACTGGTGTGTACTTTATTGTATGATGTGGTTGGTACCTCGCTATTTCAACGAAAGCCCAAAACTTTACCACAAAACCGCAATTATAGAAAAAGATCATTACGTTAAAAACGTCGCTCGAAACACGAGACCCTCCTAATTTATGAAGTCATTAGTAGCTTTATAGTTATTTTGCATATTTTTTCTTTGCATATTCCAAAGTCACCTATAATTTAAATATATATTTAAACTAGAAGATTGCACAAAATGGAAATGAGTTGCTCGCTCCGGGCATTTCAATATTGCAATAATTGTTACGTTATAATACTCATTGTAAAAATGAATATTAGAAAAAAAAATGTAATAGCTAAAAAAAACTAATATTAAAAAAAAAAAACATGCCCGCTGAGTTTCTTGCCAGTTCTTCTCAGAACGGAGACTAGTTTTTGTGAATTGGCGGTAGTTCTTTTGACGTTCAACAAGTATGTATTTTCATTTATGTTGAATAGAAATTTTTTGATTTCATTTGATTTGATTTGATTTAATTTTTTTTAATTACAAAGACTTGTATAGTTCAACAATGATCAGTTTTAGAAAAAGAACGTACCTATGTGAATACTTGTTCGTTCTGTCCGCAATCAAAAAACTTCTTTTAAGTGAATTTTTTTTCAATAAATTATATTCGATTTTTATTTGCCTATACTGGAAGATGTTCGATTAGCTAAAAGTAACCAAGCTATTTATGAAGTTTACAAATAACGAATACTTAAGACAACACTTTAAGTACATTATCACTTGTGGTAGGACCTCTTATGAGTCCGCACGGGTAGGTACCACCACCCCGCCTATTTCTGCCGTAAAGCAGTAATGCGTTTCGGTTTGAAGGGTGGGGTAGCCGTTAAATTGTAAAAACCGAGACTTAGAACTCATGTCTCAAGATGGGCGGCGCCAATGTCAACGCCATTGGCAACATCAGGTGAGCCGTTAGTTCGTCCACCCATCTAAGCAATAAAAAAATAAAAAAATCGTGATACCATCGAATTCAAACGACTACGACTGATTATGTCACAACATGGGGACACGACTGTTGATCCAATGAAGAGACTAATATCACTAGTTCAGCTTAAAACAATTCCTACTAATGACAAATTAGATTGAGTTACCTATGGAACATTAAAGTACTCTGCTTATGGAACGAACGTGAAAGTTGCTTGACATTTGCGGAGGCATGCGCGATTAACTGTCACTTCAGGTTCCTATTCCCTTTCAAGGTGATGGATGTAGACGGCTTGAACTTTAATTATGACTGTTATATAAAAGAGAAATGCACTATAAATAACAATCAAATTGTAATAATAAGTTAGACAGTTTAGTCGTCGTGGCCTAAAGGATAAGACGTCCGGTGCATTCGTATCTAGTGATGCACCGGTGTTCGAATCCCGCAAGCGGGTACAAATTTTTTTAATGAAATACGAACTTAACAAATGTTCACGATTCAAAAATCAAACCCGCAATTTACTGGTGGTAGGACCTCTTGTGAGTCCGCGCGGGTAGGTGCCACCACCCCGCCTATTTCTGCCGTGAAGCAGTAATGCGTTTCGGTTTGAAGGGCAGGGCAGCCGTTGTAACTGTACTGAGACCTTAAAACTCATATCTCAAGGTGGGTGGCGCATTTACGTTGTAGATGTCTATGGGCTCCGGTAACCACTTAACATCAGGTGGGCCGTGATTTAGTCCACACACCTAAGCAATAAAATAAAAAAAGACAAAACCCACTAAGTTTCTCGCCGGATCTTCTCAGTGGGTCGCGACTCTGATCCCGTAATAGATTCAGCAAAGCACTGCTCTTGCTAGGGCTGGTGTTAGCTATTTTACCTTTAATGACCACTTACCCGTCCACGCGTATCTGAAATAGCCCTTTAGGTTACCAGAGATTAGGTAGGGAAACAAAAAGTTAATACGCATGAAATATGGAAAAATTTCAATGATTTTTGCTCTCTTTATTTAGTAAATTTAGTTAAATAAAAATCACAAATCGCTTCCATTTTTAAAAACTAATAAGCTCATATTAATAAATATGCTGCCTTTGTCACTGATAAAAATAAATACAAAATTTCAAGGTAAATATTTAAAAAAATTATCAATTCGCCATCCCTAAATAGTGCCTTACTACAAATACAAAAATTATCAAATCGCCATCCCTAAATAACGCCTTACTACAAATAGTTGCTACTGATACCGTATTGCACACGAAATAAACAAAACGAAACGAAACTTTTAAAAGATTGTGAAAACATTTTACTTACAGTAAAAATTGTATTGTTGTGCAAATTAGAAGGTTTCTCTGACACTTGTCTTTCGTTACTTTCATTATTTTTAGTAATTACCATTTTGAATACGCAAGTTCTGTTTTATTAAAACACGGTTCTCTGTGTTGTCTATTTGGTGAGCCATAATAAGAATTTCCAAAAATCTGTCTTCAAAAAATTAAAACAAAATTTTGATTGTACCTATCAGTCTATAATTCTGACCATCAATTGCCCGTGTAGACAGACGAGCATACGGCCCACCTGATGGTGAATGGTTACCGTCGCCCATGGACTTTAGAAATGCCAGGGTCAGAACCAAGCCCCTGCTTACCGTTAAGTACTCTCCACAAGCCTCGTAAGGATATGTCATAGCGCTCGGGAAACACCGTGGAGGGGAGCTCATTCCAAAGCCGGCCAGTACGTGCCAAAAAAGATCTCTGGAAGTGCACTGTGGATTTCAATAATTTATTCATAAATTCGAAAAAAGTTGTGTAACAGTCTCTTTTACATTGCAGCGAAATATGTAGAAATGGATAGACTGTGCTTATAAAGAGGTCAGAGTTTCAACTGTTTTTAGATATTTTTCATTTATTTATCTGGATTTCATTTTGAACACTTATTGGACGCCCAAATAAACTAGCTTTAGTATAGGTCCAAAAAGTCATAGTAAAAAAGAGCAATTCCGCGGAATTGTATTGTACATATTATGTTTTCTTAACTACTAATGGTAGGGCCTGTAGCAAGTAGGCAAGGACGGGTAAGACCATCGGCACCAACCGCAAACCACCAAATTAAGACCTGTCTCATGATGCGCAGTGGTATCGACATTGTGGTTGGTATCTGCAGGTTCAAGTAATCACTTGCGAGAGCTCATCTGCTCACATCCGTAATTTAGTCAAAAATACATTAAAAAGAGCCCGAGACGTAAAAATAACGATCAGCTATAGCTGTGTCATGTATTACTGTGTGAGAAAAATCCGGAAAAAACAGAATCGCATCGGCCACAATTTCAGTAAATAAAGATAATAATATTAAGAGTGATGGTATAACCGGTGAAGACACTAGCTCGGTGAAATCTCTTCCTTTATCAAGCGGAAATAATTTTAATATTCACTTTTCGTATAAGTCCATTACAACGAGCAGGCGTTGCATTGATTATTTGTACTCACAGACCGATGTTCTTAACGACAGATCAGACGTGGGCGGTAGTGTCGCAAGTATGCAGTTAATCTGTTATGTACGATTAAGTTTTTGTACAATGTCAATGACATACAAGTAGAAAGTATGAAGTATAACCGGTGTATGTCATAATAGATGTCGGATAAAACGAAAGCGCACCTGCGGTCGGTACATTCGGTTGTGGTCTCACGAATGTCGCTTCCTGTTACAAATACATCTATGTACACTATCGATCACGTAATACAACATGTTGCTATACAAATAAATGCGATTTACGGTAATTGATTTTTTTTCACCATAGATACGTAAAACTAATAACTGCTAATACCTATATAAATCTACAGTAGTTACTTTACGGATGTTCTGTTATAACTACTGAACCATGCATCCGATTGACATGAAACTTGGTATCCATGTAGAAAATACATCTACTTAATGAATAGGCTAATATTTCTATGAGCGTTGGACTGCCTAATAATAATGACAATAAATAATAATGTTAATTTTAAATGCTTAGCGAAGCGGGCGAGTAAGGCTTAGTAACTGCAAAATTTTACGCAAAATCATAAAATAATGTTAATATCCTTCGAAATATGAGCGACTAAATAAATTTACAGGATTTTTTGTCTGTATCTTGTTATAGTAGATGGACAAACAAGCTCATAATATACCTGAGATTAAGTGGTTATCGGATTCTATAAACATCTCAATCTTAACGCAAATTTTCTAAATCTACCGACCTCGTACTCAAATGTTTCCTTCGACCACATTTAAATACACTCCAAACATTTGTATTATATCGTTTTCTTATTCCAAATTTTTTTTGCAGGTCGATACGAAGCCTGTTACTCTTCACGTTAGCACTCACAGCAGAGACACAAGTAGCGAAGAACAAAGCTGACGACAGTAATGTACAGTCAGTCCCTAGCGATCTAAGGCGAATGGTCAACGAAGCTCTCGCTTTGGAACGAAGATTCTTATTAGGCGCTAATGATGCGTGAGTATAAAATATGTAACACTATAGCACACAAATTCGAGGATTTTCATGTTTTTCTTTATTTAATGTTGGGTGTTGAACTCGTCGTCGCCTAATGAAGTCGTTTGGCCTAAAGGATAAGACGTCCAGTGCATTCGTATCTAGCGATGCAACGGTGTTCGAATCCCACAGGCGGCTACCAATCTTTGTAATGAAATACGTACTTAACAAATGTTCACGATTAACTTCCACGGTGAAGGAATAACATCGTGTAATAAAAACCAAACCCGCAAAATTATAATTTGCGGAATTACTGGTGGTAGGACCTCTTGTGAGTCCGCACGGGTAGGTACCACCACCCCATCTATTTCTGCGGTGAAGCAGTAATGAGTGTCGGCTTGAAGGGCGCGGCAGCCGTTGTAACTATACTGAGACTTTAGAACTTACATCTCAAGGTAGGTGGCGCATTTACGTTGTAAATGTCTATGGGCTCCAGTAACCACTTAACACCAGGTGGGCTGTGAGCTCGTCCACACATCTAAGCTATAAAAAAAAAGAACTCGGGCAAGTGAGATGTTAAATGGCTATCAAAGACAAGGCTACCATAGACATCGCGTTAATGCCATCACCTTTATATTTATAATCGAAGTTTTATTTCCCACCCCACCTTTCAAACAGAAACTAATGACTGCTTTGCTACAGAAGCAAACAGAATGATCGTACTCACCCGCACGGATACCTTTTGAACGACCGGTTGTTCGTGAACTAATTTTTGGTCTAGTCGTATGTATTAGAATAGTTTAGAGAGAAAAAAAACCCATAAAATTTGTTGAATACATTCCAGAAATTCGACCAGTTTGCTTTTTGTCGGCAAAATATTTTTTTAAAAGAATCCCCGGGACGGTTTAATATATATACAGTTTTTATTGACGCTGAGAAAATAAGAATATATCCCCACAGCGTTAAAAGAAGCGGGACTATATCCGAATATGTAATAATCTCTCTTTGGAGATTAGGAAAATAGTTCTACATTACAATTCAGACCTCATGTATCGAGATGGGTGGCAATATTCATGTTGTCATACTTATGGGCCCAGGAACCCATTTAACACCGGATTAGCTATGAGCTCGTCCATCCAAAATAAAAGGCTAACTTATATCATAGATACCTAAATAATCTCCCATGATAGCTTTGTAATAAAACTATTTGTTGCAGATCAAACTGTACGTACGATGATGAGATCAGCAACATCCCTTGTCCACCCAGCAAGTATCGCAGCGCGAGCGGAGAATGCAACAACGTTCGACATAGGCCCTGGGGTAGAAGAGGAGATATATTCTTACGGTTGATGCCACCTAATTACGCTAATGGTAAGCTTAGAATATTATCTATATATATATAAAAATGAATCCCTGTTCGTTAGTCTCGCTAAAACTCGAGAACGGCTGGACCGATTTGGCTAATTCTGGTCTTGAATTATTTGTGGAAGTCCGGAGAAGGTTTAAAAGGTAGATAAATATATAAATACTCGGAATTAAATAAAAATAATAATTTTGTTTTTCCTTTGATGTGTCCCCCGTCGGACGGATTCCTTTTGTTTATTTTATACAAAAATTTAGATCTTTTATTTGTCGGTTGAGGCACTACGAAGTCTGCCGGGTCAGCTAGTCGTTAATATTTACGATGATGATTTTATGTTAGAGGAAGTCTGAAAGTGGCACCTGTGACAGAGAAGTTGAGAAGTGCACATTTGGGATGATATGGACATGTCATGAGACGAAACGACAATAAGGTTGGTAAGAGAGTGTTAACTATGAATGTGGAAGACTATAAAGGAAGAGGTAGACCTAAGAAGAAATGGATGGATTGTGTGAAAGACGATATGTGTAAGAGGGGGTGAGCGAAGAAATGGTTTATGATGGAGGAGTATGGAAGAAAAAAACATGTTGCGCCAACCCCAGGTGACTGAGAGAAGGGCTGGAGAATGATGATAATTTACGATGATTTAATATAGTAAGCCACAGTCCACGATGTTGTAAATAACCACCGTTAGTAACTGGAGCAGAGCTAAGGCTGCTTACTGCTAAACAATAAGTCTTGTTTTCTATTGCGCAGAACTAATCACCCTCTTTGTCACGTTTATCACGACTAAGTTATAAATTCTAAACTAAAGTTAGACTAAGAAAGCGCCATAGTCGGTTTTTTTAAAAGGTATCATTGNTAGTAAGCCACAGTCCACGATGTTGTAAATAACCACCGTTAGTAACTGGAGCAGAGCTAAGGCTGCTTACTGCTAAACAATAAGTCTTGTTTTCTATTGCGCAGAACTAATCACCCTCTTTGTCACGTTTATCACGACTAAGTTATAAATTCTAAACTAAAGTTAGACTAAGAAAGCGCCATAGTCGGTTTTTTTAAAATGTATCATTGTAAATTGTACAATAACATTGTATTAAATTTGCCGCCTTTTATTTTATTATTGATTCTTTATATAATTTTTCCAAAAATTATTATGGAAAGTTTGAGGCCACAAAGGACATCAAAAGTAAGCGTTTTAAAAATAGAAACTCTACCATATATGCTTCTGAAGTCTAGAATAAAACTTGTGCGTTAAAATATCAATTTTGTTCAAACCAATAAACTACCAATGTTAGAGTTAAGCCCAATGGAATTTTTAACAGTTTTCAATCATTCTATTGGCCAATCGCTTAATAAAAGTTGCCTTAACCCACATAATAAAAAACAATTTTCATGGGCTTTTGAATCACAAATGAATTGTTCATTTATTTATTCCTTAGGTTGACGAGCTCACGGCCCACCTGGTGTTAAGTGGTTATTGGAGTCCATAGACATTTACGTCGTCTACAAGTCTATCAAAATAATTCGTAGGTACCGCAGATGGGGTTGTGTTGCTTAAATTAAATCGTTAGTTATTTGGATGTGTATGAACGCTAAAATCACTATCATCAGATCCAAAGATTATAACAGTGGAGTCTCCGATCATTAGGCGATTACTGATAGAGAAAACAATCGTGAAATATGTTTTTATTCACCGAGATAGAACCGCCTAACAGACAGAACCTACTAACATTCTACCCCGCTCTTCTCAGTGGGCCGCGATTCCGATCCGGTGATAGATTCAACGAAGCACTGCTCTTGCTAGGGCTAGGGTTAGCAAATTCTCACAGATTGAGTTTATGAGACCACCTACCCGTCCGTGCGTAGCTGGAATAGCTCCTTAGACTACCAACGAATAGGTCGGATCCTCCCGATCCATTAACGGTGCTTTTAGGCACCACAAGCACCTGTCACCGTCCTCGTCGCAAGCGACAGGTTCGACGAGCGAATTAACCCACAGATACAACCAACTGAGTTTCTCGCCGTATCTTCGCAGTTGGTGGCGTTTCCGATCCGGTGGTAAATTCTGCTCTTGCTAGGGTCAGTGTTAGCAACACTCCGGTTTGAGCCCCGTGAGCTCACCTAACACACGTTAAGGTGAAGCTGAAATAGCCTCTCAAGGCTATCAGTATAGGTAGGTAAAAAAAAGGGAACCACTTGGTAACCACGTGATCGAGTTGCCGGGAATTATAGATGTCATAACGTGAATTTCATCGCTTACCTTACGTTCAACAAACTCATGTGGGTTCAGGATATGCCATACCATTAGTGAATACGCTGATTTATATATTCTGCAGATGCTATTTTAATAAAATTACATTATTTATACGTAGCAAAAAGATTGTATGATAATTAGTTTGGGAAAAGTTTGACACTCTAGCCGAATATTTGGTAATCTTTTGTGATGCCTAGGAAATCATATAAACGTGCCATTAAGCCATTAAGTTCTTCTTCATCTATAGTAATATATAAATCTACAGTGGTTTTTACGGATGTTCCGTTATAACTACTGAACCATCCATCCGAATGACTTGAAACTTGGTATCCATGTACGAAATACCTGTACTTCATGAATATGCTAGAATATTTATATGAGTGTTGAACTCCCTACACCAGTTGCGGGGGCGTTAATGATGAGAATATTTGTGGGGGTGAGAAATAATAATGTTAATTTTAAATGCCCAGCAAAGTGGACGGGTACAGCTAGTATTTAATATAATGATAATCGTAATTTTACTAGTCACCTGTCAATTTTAATAGACATTAACTCTGAGCCATGTAATCGAACTATAATGATTGATGATGTCAACGTAATATTCGTACAGTGCCGAAAATTTGCTTTTAAATTATTTGCTTAATCAGTACTTACTTGAACGTATTCTGAGAAACCATGAATGTTAGATGTTCGGTTTTTATTAAAGAAATATTTAATGAACAATTATTATTCATTACGGTTCAAATCAATTATATACTTCTTATATATTGCGTACTTCTTAGTCATCATAAAGATGTGAATCGGTGGAAGTTGATTGGTATTAAATGAGGAAATTGATGCGGGATTGGATCGATTACGTCGTTTATCTCGTTTTTACAATCTCGGATTACAATTATAGATCAATAATTATTATCTATAATAATCGCTAACATTGTCATACTCCAAACCTTTTCGCTTACAAGTCTTGGATACATTCAAGTTTTGATAATATTTGAAATATTTGATGAGCTATTTTTAATCAACGAGTCTTTATGATGCAGATGCCTTATTTTAACATTCGTTCTAACTTTGTTTGAGACGGAGTTGACCTCAAAGCATTTTAAAGAATTTATTAAAGGAATTTATTAAAAAAAAAAATTAAAGGAACATTACAATCAAGCTCGTGATTACAAAAAAGCATTGTCGTAATTTAGCGATAAACCTTTTCGCTTACAAGTCTTGGGTACATTCAAGTTTTGATAATATTTGAAATATTTGATGAGCTATTTTTAATCAACGAGTCTTTATGATGCAGATGCCTTATTTTAAGATTCGTTCTAACTTTGTTTGAGACGGAGTTGACCTCAAAGCATTTTAAAGAATTTATTAAAGGAATTTATTAAACAAAATTATTAAAGGAACATTCCAATCAAGCTCGTGATTACAAAAAAGCATTGTCGTAATTTAGCGATTTAAAGCATTTCTACATCGGCCTTATGCCAGAAGACAGCTTTCTGGTCCATCCAACGAAAATTTACAAACGCTGTTTTTTATTGTAGCAGACGAACAGTCGATCGGATCATCTGATCGAAAGCAATCATCGTCGCTTATTAAGACATTGTTAACGGTAATTCTAAAACTAGGATAAACCGATTATTAATCACTATTTAGGATACAAGACAATTGAACGCATGGAGAGAGGAGTAAATTCTTTAACACAACTGACGTTACATGGAACATAAATGATAAACAACAACGGCAACCTAGGTTTTTAGCGCTAAGACGATCTGTCACATTGAGTTCTAATTGTATTTAAATGAAATTCATTTGATAAATCGTGTTCATTTCACCAATCATGTAACTTAATGGGGGCGAATAATACGTCAGGTACTTACTGTATGTGGTATGTTGTGAATCAGTACGTGTATCTACATCCTGCCTATTTTTGCTCCAAGCTTATAAACTTCGTTTCTCCATTAAGCAGCATTTATATTGCAATATTGATGGATACTATAAATGGCGAGCATTCACTTTGGCCGTTAAAGGCAATAACAATTGGGTTTAGTGTGATTACCCCAAAATATGAAATAGATATGCCTATCCATCCAAACTCGCGCGATTACGGCCCTAAAATGATCAATACTAGATCAGAAACCTTGAAGATGTTAGTTAGAATAGACGCTGTACGAAAATTTAAACGAAAATCCAATAAACTAATGAACAAAGCCAATATATTCACATTCATGCGGCAGGCAGCGGCTTGGCTCTGCCCCTGGCATTGCTGAAGTCCATGGACGACGATAACCACTTACCATCAGGTGGGCCGTATGCTCGTCTGCCTACACGGGCCATAAAAAAAAATCATATCAGTGGATTCCAAATTATGAAAACTTTAAATTATGTTAAACCATAAAATAATACCGAAATCGTACCGGATTTATAATGTACCTTAACGAATTTCGCACTTGGAAACAGAAACTTGATCTAGTTAAGGTCACATTCTGTTAAAGTCACGACCGATGGCCATTTTATACTGACCTATTTGGGTACTGAATTGTTTTTTGCTCTTAAATACCTAATAAAATGTTTAATTTTTGGTTGAAGCATACTTTTAAAATAGGTATGTTATTAACGGAATATTCACTTTTTTAGGTCTTTTGATGTTAGATAAATATAAATAGTCAAATGGCTCAGGCTAAACTGGTTTGATTAGGGTCGCAAAGCCTATAGATATCAGCTTATGAACCACCACATTGAGATATCACCAGGGTCGTAATCTTGTGCATACTACTAAGCAATAAAAACTGTATAATAATATGAAAAAATGCCTTTGTTTGTTCCCAGAGGGTATTACATCGCATCTGTTTCAATTATCGATTCGAATCCCAAAGACACATTATTGTAAACTATAATATCAAAAGTACCTTGGAAATAATTCAAATTTATGTTCTAAAATTAGAGGCTTACCCTTTAAGTCTGTTGCAACTTGTTTGTTTAATACACCAATAACCTCTAAATAGGTATAAGATATTTATCAAAACTTCTTGACTTCAATTCACTGTCATAATTAAAAGTGAAAATCGTAAAATGGTACAAATCACATTTTGAATTATTTTTTTAAGTTATTGATGACGTCATTTGAACAATTTCAGTTCAATAAAGAATAACGTCGCACCTTAAATTTAATTGGGAAATGTAAGGTCAGTAGAAGACGTAACAGGAAATGAACTCTGATATTACCGATCAATTTTCATGGTGCCTTTCAAGAACAGAATCCACATGTGAACGTACCTTTTGAGAAACACAATACTCGTAATTATTTAATATCAATAAACCGTTTTTTATATGTTAAATTACGGATTTTAAAACGTCGGCGTGTTTTGCATCACCTCTAAAATTTCGATTATCATTTTATTAATCGTTTATAGACATCATCCTGTATAAGGGGACCTATTCAAATAACTAAACGATGCACTCACGAAATCTGCCAATAAATTTTACAGCTATAATCACTGGAACGGGTTCTTAAATGATTTTATGGGAATTCCAAATATTAAATTCGATTTTTCTACGAAATCATGTTGCGTTTTCTTATCCTTTAGGCCATGCCGACTTAGATTAGTCAAGATGGGCTGGATTCACGTTGTGATAACTATGGACTTTGATAACGACTCTTTACCAGGAGGGCCCTGAGCCCCTCTGCTAATGAGCAACAATTAGAGGGTAGATAAATAATTTAAGTTTATTACTCAGCACTTATTGTCAAGGAAGTCGTATAATGAGGCGGGGATGGCAAACCTTGTGGATAATAATCAATTATGTTCATTAATTTAATTTTTTTTATTACTCAGATGTATCGCTGCCTCTGTCAACGCCTCATCTGCCGGAGCCGTCGCTGGCCATCCGTGCGGCGGCACACTTGTCTCTGCCAGCCGACCATGACTTCGTGACCAGTATGCTGGCTGCCTGGGGACAATTTCTTATCGACGATCTCGTTGAAACTTCTAATGGCGATAAGGTATTTTGATTTTTCATAGTGCCTTAAAAAATTACTACAACCTACTCAGCGAATGTTTGTCCAGAAAATAAATAATTAGAAAACAATGAAGGTCATCAAATAGCAATGTACGCTTTGTACCGATAAGTATTTTAGTTTATAGCACCATCAGTTCTTCTTCATCTTCATCGCTTCCTCATTACTGAGGGTCTGACTACCTTGTGACTACCTTGGTCCAGTTTTTGCACGAGTTTCCTCCCTTAATGGCGCCCGGGACGCTGGTGTTTGTGGCCTCCTTGACAATGTCCGTCCACCTGGTTGGCAATCTTCCTCGACTTCTCTTTCCTTCCACGTGACCTACAACTATTAATTTTTACATGTTGTCAGGACTTCGCAAATCTATTCTGGTTCATTTTTTTTATTGGACTACAGCATTTAATACAAAGTCCAACCGAGCTAATCTTAAACACACCTCATCACTCTCGCAGGTCAATTCATTTTATTTACATTTAATACATCAATGCATGTAAGGTCAAACCATTCAAATCTATAATCTATTTTATTGAAGCACAATTCAAAATTAAATTACTCTTATGTGTTTGTGCCTTGGAGATTCACACGTCACGTAGAAGGCCAACGGACGTATGCTTTTTATTGAGAAGAACCGACAGTGTCGCAATAAACACATCCGATGTTAATAATCGCACCTAATGATCCGAGTACCTCGTCTTGAACTTGACCTTAAACCATTAGGCATTAAACAATCGTACAAAATACATATGTTTTAACTTTTAAGTGGCAAATACTGTGGCTAATGAGGAGTAATTTTAGATGATTGAAGCCTTTAATTTTTCGGCATAATATTGTAATATACGAATACATAATGCTACTAGCTGGCCCTGCCATCTACATTATTTCTAGGAAAGATAAATAACCTAGACACCGACTGCTGCACCTCTGCCGGGCTGATTTGTAAATCTAAACCATTCTCCAATCCACTTGAAAGTACACAAAAAATTTCATTAAAATCGGTTCAGCCGTTTAGGAGGAGTTCAGTGACAAACACACGCACAGAACTATATATTATTATGTATAAAGATTAAAGAAAAAAAAACCAAATAAATCGTTTTGTCTTACGCTGTGGCTTGTGATCGGCAACATGTGACCTATCACGCGAAACTAACTTAAAATATTTGGAAAACATTTACTACCGCAATGGGGACCTTGCGAATTTTATCCAAGAAACTATTTCACGAGACTATTATTATTTAGCGATAATCCGAAACTCGTTTTGTACGTTTTAGTACGGTCCAGTTTTTTGCGTAATTCAATTAAAGAATAAAACTGCGATATCCTCTTTAATAAATAAAAAATATTAACTGGTATCTGATGAAATGATATATGGTTTTAAACGTGTAAAATTTATACCACATATCTACATTAGTTTCGTAATATTCGTGATAGTTCGCGAGGTCGCTTATAGAAAGGTTACGTGGCACAGTGAAAGCGATGAAGCAATGAAAGGTAATCTTAGTTCCTTGCGGACTTGTGCCATCAGAGCTACGCACAGGTAATAGTGACACGGTAAACGCTGGTGTAAGTGCGAACGAATATGTTTTTAAATTTAACGGCCCTAAACTAGGGTTGTCTCTTGTATTATGAGTATCGGAAACCGAGACAAGAGCAAGTAAAGTTATTAAAGAAACGTCTCGCTGTACTCTTATTCGAAATTTTATTAAATTTACCAGTATCCTACTCTATCTTAGCATACGAGCATGTTGTTCTTAAAACAGGAATGCAAAATTACTTTTAGACCAAAATCCATTAAAAACGTTGACTGTCGAATCATTTTTGTGGGACTTTCACTCCGTATGATACGTGATAAGAAGAACGCAGGTTTTACTGCAAAACCACGGAATGGGGTCGCGCATGGGGTTTTTTAAGCCGCGTAACGCAGTCAACGTGTTAAGCGTAATATTTCATGTAATTTTCCCAACCAGTATTAATTAAAAAATAAAAATAATTTGTGTAGGAACCTCCAATACATTTTTAAAACTTAGTAATGATACCACTTGTATTATTGTTTTTCCTTAATTACGAAGACAGAATATTTACATTTTATATAAGAACCAGCTGACCCGGCAAACGTTGTTTTGCCATATATAAGATTTCTAGGGAACTTCTAGTGTAGAAAAAAAAACTAACTTATTGTAAGTGTGTAAGGATGTTGTAAATGAGTGAAAAAGGCATGTAGCGCTGTGAACGATGAGGGAATATAAAAATAACAAACCCTCATTCAACCACACAATGCCTAATAAAACAAAAAAAAATTGTCCATAAAATTAAAAATAAATATTAGGGGTGGACAGCCCTTATCACTTAGGGGTATGAAAAATAGACAGTAGCTGATTCTCAGACCTACTGAACATGCATATAAAATTTCATAAAAATCGGTTAAACCGTTTCAGAGGAGTATGGTAACTAACATTGTGACACGAGAATTTTATATATAAAATATCTAAATATACATATGTACCGAATTGGGAGTCATTTTTTTTTAAATAAAGTTATCAGTTAAGTAAATACGATTCGACTGAATTTTGACCGCAATTCCAAATACTTGTAATTTTTCTTCCATAGAAATTTCCATAGTCCAAATCCGCATTTGCATTAGATCCGTGAAACCATTTTCACGGATCCACCCGTAAATATATTATAGTAATCAATAATTATTATTCATTTGGATTCGCATCGTTCGATCTTCTGTGGTTTCAACAGTACGGAAAAGACTTTTTACTATTTAATAAAATGGTTGGTTGCGCTATGGACTAGGTACTAGTGAACGGACATCTTAAAACTAAATGACCGTGAGCGTGTCCACCCATTTACATCAGTAAAACAATAATAACACACCTACATACATACATCTAAATCGTACCTTCGTGAAAGTTATTTCGGCACAACTAACAATCGTGATGTTGTACTGTTTGTTGGCCATTGTTTGTGTGATGCTGACATGATTCACAAAATTAGAGTTTGTCTCTAAAATTGCTGTCTAAGTAATCCAATTTACGAGCACAAGTCTTCTCTAATACAAGAAATGTGACCTCGTTCGTTTTTACTATTTATTCGCGCATCGTTTATGCAGACTTTAAAAAATCAGAGTCTGCCTGGAGTTAAGTGGAAAAAAAAACGATTAGTTCGTCACCTGTTATACCCCGACGAATAAAAAAGAGAACGGATAGAATGAGAATAAATTAACAAACAAGCACAACATAAAATATTCATCTTATTAAAGTATGTATTTCATTGCAATTCTTTTGAATTCGTTATCAGTTATCAATGATTATTGCAGAAATTCAGAACGCCGCGCCGTGTCCAACAACTTAACGTTCAAACTCTATTAAAAAATATAAGGCCTAATAAATATTCGTTCGATTTTCGAATGTGATAAATAGCCCAATAAAATTGTCATAAATAGTTTTATATCAATTGAATTTACATAATTTATCTTAATGTCGTCGTCGTAATCAACATAATGTGTGATCAGACCACACATATTTGTCGCTTATAGGCGTAGGATCCGTATATCCTCATTACGTTTCGATTTCAGAAATGACGCATTCCCCACAATGCTATTGCGCACTGGTTCTTTATTTATTCAGACGACCATACCTTAGGTACCATACCTTAGGTATATTGCACAAAGTGGGAATGAGTTGCTCGCTCCGGGCATTTCAATATTGCAATAATTGTTAGGTGTAAAAATGAATATTTAAAAAAAAACTAATATTTAAAAAAAAAGACATGCCCGCTGAATTTCTTGCCAGTTCTTCTTAGGACGGAGGCTAGTTTTTGTGAATTGGCGGTAATTCTTTTTGACGTTCAACAAGTATGTACTTTCATTTATGTTGAATTTTTTTTTTTTATTTGATTTGAGTTGTACACATAAGTGTGACAAAGCCATATTATTGTCTATAGTTCCATTTTTAATTCTGTTTATTAGCATTCGTTACTATTTTATAAAATCTGCAACTACTTTCAATACTAGTATCTAGTATCTGTAGCTAGTATATTAGAAGTACGTTACGTTATAACATTGATATCTAGAAGTCGTAGTGGCCTAAAGGATAAGACTATGTCGGAGTTAAATTCCGCAGGCAAATACCAAGTTTCCTAGTGAAATAGGTATTTAACTCATGTTCACGAATTGTAATTTTAATATTTGAACTTTTGCATTTGTGAACTTTCTAGATACTAGTACTTACAACAAGAGGTCAAGGATGGATTTGTTTGGCATCGTTTCTTGTTTTGTTTTTAAAATTAACCAACCACTGTAGTAGTATTTTAAATTAAATTTGTTTTTTTTTAGATTAAAGTTATCTGAATGTGTGTTTTGGATTTTGTTCAAATGTAAAATATCAACTGTATGATGATTCTTGCTACTTACACAAATAACACATATCACACATGTCACACATGCCTATCCCACGAAAATGGCTTACTTACTACACGATTATCTTTCAACTAGATGATGACCGAACTATGATCGTTTTTTTTTTGATAACGCCATCTTTTTGTGTCTTTAAAGCGGTTAGTTGCACTCAATTAAGAAAAAATAGTATTATTATTCGCCAATAGATGTCGGGAGGAGTCATAAAGTTGATTATCGATAAAATTGATTATTGAAAACACGAATAAAACAACATTTTCTGAAAATAAATCGTAGCTAGATCGATTTATCGCCCCCGAAATCACCTGTATACTAAATTTAAGATTTTCATAAAATTTTGCCGTTGGAGCTGTTCCGAGATTCAGATTATATATATATATAAACAAGAATTGCTCGTTTAAAGGTATAAGATATGAAGTAATAGCTGATTTTTCATTCATTCAGGACTGCGGCGATTCCTATTGCGAGTACATACGCTCTGCGCCAACGAGAGACATCGGTTCGTGTGGCTTTGGTATGTTTATCAATATAATTTTAATCGACAGACATATTACTCAAAAAATTATAGTTATTTATATACTAACTCAATCGTACTATATCAGCGGTCGGGGAACCGGGGTAAATTACCCCAAATGGGGTAAAATGAAATTTTGGAGGGTAAAAATGAAACTTTTGTGAGTAAAAATATATGTTGGAGTGAAACTTCGTTAGAATCGTTAAATTTTTAGTTATTGTTTTCTTTTCAAAATTAGTATGAGGGCTATAATGTGAAAAATACTAAAAAAAGAAGCGATTTCGTTTTTTTTTGTTCTTCGCCATGGGGTAATAATATCAACTTACACAAAAATATTTTGGGGTAATAATTAAAAAAGTTCCCCGACCGCTGTACTATATGTATCTACTAATTAGTTATGCTATACATTGGAGGCGGAGAAACAGCACTGGCACACAACGAGAGATTCAAGCTACGCGATATAGTTTTTTTTTTTATTTATTGCCTTTGTAGGCAGACGAGCATACGGCCCACCTGATGGTGAGTGGTTACCGTCCCGTCGCCCATGGACTTCAGCAATGCCAAGGGCAGAGCCAAGCCGCTGCCTACCGCTTAATACTCTCCACAAGCCTCGTTTGAAGAAGGACATGTCATAGCGCTCGGGAAACACCGTGGAGGGGAGCTCATTCCATAGCCGGATGGTACGTGGCAAAAAAGATCTCTGGAAACGCACTGTCTATAAAAACATGTTATATTGTTAAAATATGTTATTTATGTATTTCCCGTGTCCTTTCCCGTCGAAGTAGAAGTCATGACCCGGACCTTTGCAAATTAGTCGAATTTTAAACTAGACTCGAGTAATAAATAGTGAATAAGTCGATTGCCGTAATGAAAATATGGATAGTTTTTTTTACTGTCCTTGTAGACAGATGACGGCCCTTGATGGTGAGTGGTTACCGTAACTCATGGACGTCAATAATGCTTAGCCCAGCTGCTTCCTACCGCTGTAGTTATACTTAGGGTAGTCCAAGGCCTATCTTATAGACACCACAGCTAGGTAAATTAGGTAGCTTCGCTGTGTCCTTGGCCGATGATAATTAGTGACGGTAACTATTCACCATCACACGGACTGTATATCCGACTACATGAGGGTAATTAGTAAAAGGATTTCATTAGAATTTTATATATACAATTACGCTTACGTTCGGTACACGTCAGTTTGAAATCGAATTAAAAGTGTTTTAGTTTTTCTTTTTTTTTATTGCTTAGATGGATGGACGAGCTCACAGCCCACCTGGTGTTAAGTGGTTACTGGAGCCCATAGACATCTACAACGTAAATGCGCCACCCACCTCGTGATATAAGTTCTAAGGTCTCAGTATAGTTACAACGGCTACCCCACCCTTCGAACCGAAACGCATTACTGCTTCACGGCGGAAATAGGCGGGGTGGTGGTACCTACCCGTGCGGACTCACAAGAGGTCCTACCACCAGTGAAAAAGGTAGTATAAAGACTGATGTCAACCGTCTCTTAACAGTACGTAATGTGACTTTAAAAATATAGGTATAAGTAAGGATATACGTCAAGAGGCACGTACTGTTACCACCGCACCGCGAGGCTACAATGAAGTAATTAAATCTGTTCCGGAATGTCACAAATATGCGCGATAAACAATGTTTCCGGGAAGTATAATATAAGCTTCACTCAATAAAATCAGATAGTCAACCAAACTTTTTAATTCTTCCTGATATATATTTTGACTTGGGATTACAATGTTGTATAACGTATGTCGTGAGCATAGGTTGGGAGGTTATGGCTATTTCTGCCGCGAAGCTATAGCGCGTTCCGTGCTAGATTGGACGTCGATATTCATGCCATAATGCATGTAACCTTGTGACAAGCTCGTTACCAAATGCAAACCAAATCGGGCGTGTCTCGTTCAGATATTATACGTGAATTATCTTTTACAAGAATAATAATATACTGAATGTAATTGAGAGGTGAAACCGGTCGCTGTGCTATTATCATTTTTACATTTAATTCGCCGTATTTGTTTTAATCACAAAAAAAATTTCATATCCTCAATCGCTATTTTTCTTTATTCTGTGAATGATATTGAAAAACGAAAAATACAACGTCACTTGAATCATCTCAATTCAGCTAAAATATTTTATCATGAGAAAATCGTACCAACACCATTGATTCAAGAACAAAACAAACAAACGGCCGTCTGGTGTAATGGTAAGTGACATGGTCACTACACAAGGGGGTCGCGGGTTCGAATCCCGCCAAGGGAAGATATTTGTATGATAAATATAAATGTCTTTTCTAGGGTTAGGGGTTATGTATATTAAATATATGTATGTGTATAATAAAAATCTTACATTTATATCCGTTATCTAGTACCTGTAACACAAGTTCTTTACGAACATATCACGGGACCAGTTTAAAAAAAAAAAAACGTATTAATTTAATGAAATGCGGTGTTTCCCGATACAAGCGGTCTTTCCACTTAAAAAGCTGGCTCCAGTATACTATTCTACTTGTAATTTGTCTTAGAATGAAATGAACAATTGTCATTTTAATAAAATATTTAGACCTGGCCTACGAGACTACCACCATATGTCATGNTTTACGAACATATCACGGGACCAGTTTAAAAAAAAAAAAACGTATTAATTTAATGAAATGCGGTGTTTCCCGATACAAGCGGTCTTTCCACTTAAAAAGCTGGCTCCAGTATACTATTCTACTTGTAATTTGTCTTAGAATGAAATGAACAATTGTCATTTTAATAAAATATTTAGACCTGGCCTACGAGACTACCACCATATGTCATGTTGATTATTCTGATAATTGTGTTGGTGTACGGTTTAATAGCGAAACGTTTCGACCATCACCTTATGAAACTTTCTTTATCCAACCGGGTTAGGGACGTTGTTCAGAAAGCAGTTAACTTTGATACGGGGCGTATTAATTCCTATCCTATATACATAAAAATGAATTGCTGTTCGTTAGTCTCGCTAAAGCTCGAGAACGGCTGGACCGATTTGGCTAATTTTGGTCTTGAATTATTTGTGGAAATCCAGAGAAGGTTTAAAAGGTAGATGAATATGAAAATGCTCGGAATTAAATTAAAATAACAATTTTGTTTTTCCTTTGATGTGTCCCCCGTCGGACGGATTCCTTTTGTTTGTTTTAAGTTTATTTTATACAAAAGTTTAGGTCTTTTATTTATCGATTAATAGCACTACGAAGTCTGTCGGGTCAGCTAGTAATATATACAAATGTTTTATCCACAGCATTCTAATTATAAACTTTGTTCTCAGAGCACCGCGAACAAATGAACTTGGCTACATCTTTCCTCGACGGTTCCGCGTTATACGGAAGCTCGGAGAAGGAACTGCGGTCGCTACGTCTATACGACGCTGGGAAAGTTGATATAGCCTCATGCAGAAAGTGAGTACAACATTTTTTGTGTTAATCCGTACATATGAGTCAACTATTATCAAAGGCGGCAATCTGACTTTTGGACAATGATTGGTAAATCAGAAAAACGAATTATTGACTTTGTATTCCATCGGCAGTCACAAAACTCTTCGGAACGACATCTTAGATAAATAACAGGTTAACTATTAACCTTTATTTAATGCAGGTTTTGAACCGTATTCTTTGAAGGAGACGATTATATTCAAATCAACCTGTATTGACATATCAATAAATTTTTTTTGTCCAAATGCACAGATTGCCACCTTTGATAATAGACGACTCATATAAATTGAGAGACAAACTCGGATGCGATTGGTAGAGGTTATGGTTAGGGTATGGGTATGGCTATTACAACATGAACACATCTGGCCAGAATTAGTTAGTATAGTTGTAAGGAACGTTGTGTACAAATTCAGCACTTTGTCTTGTTTAGTCGTGCGCACATACCTTATGTTGCAAGCCATATTTTGTTTCTTTTTACTTGTGTTTTTTATGTATATTTTTAGCTTGTGATGTGTTTTATCGGTTTTGTGTTGTTTTATTGCTAATTCAACTTACAACTTCGGTGTCAGATACCTAAAGAAAATTTACACACCTACATCCATTTAATAAAAATACCAGAAATTCTGTGCTGAAAATATGTCCTAACTAGCTGACCCGGCAGACTTCGTAGTGTATCAATCGATAAAGAAAAGACCTAAACTTTTGTATAAAATAAACTTAAAACAAACAAAAGGAATCCGTCCGACGGGGGACAGATCAAAAGAAAAACAAAATTGTTATTTTTATTTAATTCCGAACATTTTCATATTTATCTACCTTTTAAACGTTCTCTGGACTTCCACAAATAATTCAAGACCAAAATTAGCCAAATCGGTCCAGCGGTTCTCGAGCTTTAGCGAGACTAACGAACAGCAATTCATTTTTATCTATATAAAAGATATCAAGTACAAACGATCTCAAATTCGCTAATATTACTTTACTGCACTGTCAAAATCAAACAGTCATCCAGACAGAAAGAGAAACATTCGAAAATACAAGCATATATAAAGCATAAATCAATTTCGTTATTAACCAAAGAATTATATGTTACATGTATACATAAAGTTTAAAAGGTAATTAATTAAATTGAGGAAACAATGTTGTATCATATTGCATCACAGTCGTTTTATTAAGGAAATCTTCTCATACAATACTGATTCTCAGATATTATTGAAACACAACATTAATGTGTGAATTATTCTCATAATCATACTTAACAACGACATCGACTCATATTGCTTTTTTTCAATTATTAGAATATAATGTTCCCATAAACACCAATTAAGGACTTTCACTAAAGCTTAACTGAACACAGCATTTCCTAGAAAATCGAACGTAAATTTTTACCTAAAAATAAAATATATATATTTTCTTGTACCTACACGATTTATCACACTGTTATTCATATAATTTGTATATTACCACCACCAGATTGGTAAGGTTGTTTTATTACATTGCAGACAGAAAGATAAATAATAATTTGACGATTGTAAAATTAGCAAAATTGCCAGTAAGTTACAATTGTGCTTCATAAACATAATACTTTATTAGAATTAAAAAACCCAAAACAAATAAGAAAAAACAACAACATTACAATATTTTATGATAATAGTCTATAGTCAATGTTATATATATTTAAACCATTTTTTTTTATTGCTTCGATGGGTTGACGAGCTCACAGCCAACCTGGTGTTAAGTGGTTACTGGAGCTCATAGACATCTACAACGTAAATACGACACCCACCATGAGATAAAGGTTCTAAGGTCTCAGTATGGTTACAACCACAACGGCTGCCCCACCCTTCAAGCCGAAACGCATTACTGCAAACATTGCAAATCACTTTGTAATTACGATTTACAACTAAACAAAACGCGGATATCGTGTGATGAATCATGTGAATTTGCGAAACTAATCAGCATGTTGGTTTTAGTCATCATCGAAAATCTCGGAATTCAAAATAAACAAAGACGGCTATTACATTGGGTTGACTCGTCGCTTTAACAATATACATATGTAAAAATGATAATTGTTTCACGTTACGCTCATCTTAATGTGAACGGAAAATAAAATTCACAGTTGTGTGACGCTGTTCGTGGTCATGCAAGGCGGCAAACGCACCGGCAGGTTATTTTTAAGTTCATATACGTTGAATCATTTATAAAAAAATAAAAACATTAGTGATTCTATCGTAAATTTTACAATGGAACCAATCCCGACGATTGAGCGCCTTGGTGCTGTTTTACAGTCTGTTCCATTATGACTAATTAATTACACTTGCGATTCACGTGACTAAACATTTGGCTCATCTTATAGCGGGTTACCGTCATGATAATCGCCTTATCGTTGCCGCCGCTGACTACTCCCCGAATTCTGATCACGCAGGAGCCAGTCACTGTCGACGCCCTAGACACGTCCTTACGGATCCATCAGATCCAATAACCTTTGCATTAGACGCCTTCAGCTCTAACATTAGGAGCCCCGGTAACCGTACTCGTCGAACACGACAAAGAGGTCGACGTGCAACCTAACCCATGCATCAGCTCGCTGAGTTTCTCGCCGGATCTTCTCGGCGGGTCGCGATTCCGATCCGGTAGTAGATTCATTCGCGAAGCAGTTGCTCTTGAGTTGTTAGGGGCTGCTGTTAGCAAATCCTACCCCTTCTGGCTGAGCCTTTGCTCGCCCACCTGTCTTGGTGAAACTGAAAAGGCCTCCGGGCCACCAGTAATCCTTCAATCATAAAAAAATAAAATAGTGGGTTGAATGAGCAGGGTATAAAACACATAAAACAGATGGCCGCTGGGGCCAAGAAGTTCTAGAGTGATGAATGTGTACCAAAAGACGTAGCGTGGGAATGCCTCCCACAAGTTGGACCGACGACCTGTAGAGGTCGCGGGTATCCGCTGGGTGTAAGCATGTAGGCAGTGCAACACTAGTCATTGTGGCGAGGTTTGGACGAGGCCTATTTTCCTCAATGTACGTCTGTGGGTTGAAAGATAGATAAAACATATCAAGAGCCCTTATTTACCATTGAAATATTCAGAAGTACCTATAGGGATTAACCGCGATGAACAATATAAAATAATTGAAAAAAAATTATACATCAAAACAAATTATTATTTCATTGATTAAATAAATCTGGTATCGATTCTAAAAACAGCTTATCAATATCGATATTTTAGAATGTTAATAATAAAAATGTTTTAAATGAATGGTACGGTTCATTCACCTTTAAATTAATAAACGCTACAAATAATCTGTTCCGTTTAATAACTACTCGTATAAAAGGCATCAGTTGTTTCATTAATTTGAAATAATTTCCATTTTTCATAACAATGTGTACCATCTGTTCGTATCAATCCAGGCTGTACGACATGAAGTTATTGTATGCAAATTATGAACTACTTAACCTTGCAATGATATGCATTCTCACGTACAGATTCCAATCTTTAACATATTTACATCAGTGTTTACCGAGTTAATAAATGCTTTTGTTTTCGTTGCCTATTCAAAGACACACATACACAGTTGTGCTCCTGTTTGACGTTTATAATTGAAAACAATTTTAAATCACCAACATTCGGACGGACTAGGTTTCATACTTCAGTGCGACGGCCATTATATTGAAGTAGAAAATAAAAATTGTTTCGACAGTTACTATAACCAAATTTAAAAAGACGATGTAATCGTGTATCGCTTTCAAAACAGTACAAGACAATTTTAAAGGACCCACAGAGGTTCTGGTAATTGACTTTCTTAATCGATGTTTCGATCGATCGAAATTGCCCGCAAAAAATACGTTTACAACTTCCTTGTCACCAAAGAATACTTGAAATTACCGTCACTTAACCTTCGTACAAACAAAGAAGTAAGACAAGTTTACATATTTTTTACTTTAATATCTGCAGAAAATAGTCGTAAACGATCTCTTTTTTTGAAACTAAATCAGATAGCATCCCAAAAAAATTAAAAAATCTAACCAACACATGACGCTAATTATACTTCTAACGATTCGAACTAGTAATTCTTCATTTTACATTTACTACAACTTAATTTGAATATTGACTTAAAAAGTAATATACCTATACAATTATTTATGACTAATAGGCATCATACTTTTTTATTAATTACAGTTTCCATTTGTCTGATCTGATCAATGATTCGTTACCCCAAATACTATATTTAAGTATTACTAATAAACATATTATTCATTAGTAACTAGCTGCCCCGGCAGACTTCGTAGTGCCTCATACGATAAGTAAAGCACCTAAGCTTTTGTATAAAATAAACTTAAAACAAACAAAAGGAATCCGTCCGACGGAGAACACATCAAAGTAAAAACAAAATTGTTATTTTTTGTTATTTCTGTACATTTTCATATTTATCTACCTTTTAAACCTTCTCTGGACTTCCACAAATAATTCAAGACCAAAATTAGCCAAATCGGTTCGGCCGTTCTCGAGTTTTAGCGAGACTAACGAACAGCAATTCATTTTTATATATAGAGATAGTCATATAAAATTATATAGTTTACATGGCTTCAACACGATAGAAGAAGAACAAACGTGCTGTAAGTTGGGATCAACTACACCGCATCTTTTATTGACCTGTCAATTTTATATATAAACTTTATATTATATTTTTATTGCTAAAACAATTTTGAATGAATTGTAAACTTTCAGATGCAACATTCAGACACCGACAGCTCCTCTGTACAAAGCTCTTTTATCGGAGCACAACCGCATCGCCGGACAACTATACGCTTTGAATCCCTTCTGGGACGACACCACCTTGTTCTTGGAGACGAGACGTGCTATGGCCGCTATCATTCAGCATATCACCTACAATGAGTTCTTGCCGGTATTACTAGGCGAGGTACGATGCGTTTTCATTAATAAAATCTCAAATTTTTATCAAAAGAGTATGTTAAATAATTATAGTAATAGCTGGTAGGCAGCGGCTTGGCTGGTAGAAAGCGTCTTAGCGGGTAGGCAACGGCTTGGCTGGTAGGCAGCATCTTAGCTGGTAGGCAGCGGCTTGGCTGGTAGGCAGCATCTTAGCTGGTAGGCAGCGTCTTAGCTGGTAGGCAGCGGCTTGGCTGGTAGGCAGCGGCAGCTACTTGGCTCTGCCCCTGACATTGCTGAAATCCATGGGCGACCGTAATCACTCACCATCAGGTGGGCCGTAAGCTCGTCAGCCTATAGCCTCGGGCAATAAAAATAAAAAAGGTTGCTTATAAAAAACATTTTTATCGGACAACGAAACAAATTAATATTATGTAACAAAACTGTATAAAGTAATTTAAATTGTTTTCATTACCGTCCCGTATTACGTACGTAATACTTGAGAGCTACGAAAGTGAAACGTGATTTTTAGTGTCTAATCTGATGTTCAGGTGGGAATGGCCAAGGCAGAATTGAAATTGACTTCCCTCGGATTTTGGCGAGGCTACTCAAGTGCCAACCGCGCAGGAATCTACACGGAACTTGTGGCGGTAGCGCCTGTTTTCAAGGCGATGATGAACCAAAAATTGGTAAGTAGATCACTTCCTGTGTTAATCATCTTCGAATTCTAAAGAAAAACTCGCGTAAATCGATTGATAATCACTGACTCGTAGTACATCTGCCGTGCAGCAGTAATGCGTTTCGGTTTGAAGGGTGGGACAGCCTTTGTAAGCATACTGAGACCTTAAAACTTATATCTCAAGGTCGGGGGCGCATTTACGTTGTATATGTCTATGGGCTACAGTAACTACTTAACACCAGGCGAGCGGGCTGTGAGCTCGTCCATCCATCTAAGCAATAAAAAAAAAATGATCCTCAATTATTTTATGGTTGTTGTATCTTATTTGAAATACAAATTTACCATATCACAATACTATTAATTATTGTTAAAACAAGAATAATTTAAGGAATAACGCTTGAGATATTTTTAATAAAAACTAGTTCTACTACCCATACATCGTAATTAAATTTCAGGTCAACACTACGATCTCTCTTGAGCATTTAATCCACACCAGCGCCCAACACGTCTCAAGATTCCCTCCCTCAACACAATGGGACCTGAACAGATCAAGAGATCACGGTGTTGCCCCATATTTGAGGGCCTTAAAAATGTGCGAACCGACAGCTGCTGTGAAGACATTCGGAGACTTGGAGAAAATGGGATTTGATCAGACCCAGCAAGAGATGATGGCTGATTTGTACAGGTACTTTTAATTTGTTAGTGAAAATTAATGAAATTAGTTTCAAGATCAGAAAAAAAAATTAATAATGATTTTTTTATACACAATCACAGTTCAATCAAAACATAAATCGAGGATAGTTTTATTGAATTGTGCTTTTAGAAGCGCTTTTAAATCATTATGACCACTGAGTAAATACATAAATTTGTTCCAAATTTACATGCATCGTAACACATAGATGTTTGATCATATGTTCCATCAGTGTTATTGCGTCGAAAACAACTTCAAATTTGTTTTTAGTATATACCGAAAATAATTCATTTTCCCCCGTCTACAGGAACGCTGAAGACATGGAATTAATGATAGGAGGCGCAATGGAAAAACCGGCGTCCGGTGCTGTCGTGGGCTCAACACTCGCTTGTGTATTAGCGTTGCAGTTTGCCAACATGAAGAAAAGCGACAGGTAATTTCAATAGCTGTTGGTAAGACATGTTGTAGACCAACATAGCGCCGCGCAACTTATCTATAGCAAAATGCTCTTTTTGTTATTGTCAGTCAGCAATGCCAGGGGTAGAGCCAAGCCGCTGCCAACAAAATAATAATAATAAAATTTCGACCCAGTTTGATGGCAGTAGTGTATGTCTGTTACTATGATGCTGGTTATAATTAACATCAAGTGTACTCGAGCATGCATACAAAGACAATAGCAAATCTGAAAACATTTTAAAAACATACTGAATATTTAACAAAAATTACTGATTATTATTTTATTACTGGTGGTAGGACCTCTTGTGAGTCCGCGCGAGTAGGTAACATCACCCTGCCTATTTCTGCCATGAAGCAGTAATGCGTTTCGGTTTGAAGGGCGGGGCAGCCGTTGTAGACCCTAGAACTGATATCTCAAGGTGGGTGGCGCATTTACGTCGTAGATGTCTATGGGCTCCAGTAACCACTTAACACCAGGTGGTCTGTGAGCTCGTCCACCCATCTAAGCAATAAAAAAAAACCTATTTTTTTGTTTTAGATTTTGGTATGAAAACGATATTCCTCCTTCATCGTTCGCACCGGAACAACTGGCCGCCATCAGGAAAGTTTCTTTGTCCGGCTTACTCTGTGCAGCTGACGACACGATTGTGAACATACAACCTAAGGCTTTTGTTAAGGAAGATCCCTTCTTGTAAGTAAATAAAAAAAAAAGTGTGGCACTCGGGAACTGCCGCGGTAAAGCTATTGCATAGCATTTTTTATCAACTTATGCAATTATAATTAGACAATGATAATTTAATATTAAAACAATAATAAAACAAGACCATGCTATATTAAACATTAATAAAAGCAAAACCTTAACTGTCCCCTTCACACTCATAAGCTAGACCGCGCGAGAGAGAGATGGGCAGACTTTTCATGATGCGCATGCAGTGTGACGTCACGCCACGCGCTTATTCACAAACACTACACAAGCGCAACGTGTGAATGTGCTGAACGCGAGCTACATGGTAGGCGGAATGAGAGGTGTAAGGTTTTTTCGTTACGGAATTTCATGATTCGGTCGCCGCGCTCAAGGCCCGCGATAAAAGCTATGCAATAGCTTAAAAAATCGTACCTTAGACCTGATAAGTTTACATTTCTTTTATTTTTTGTTTATGACTAAACGTAATACTTGAATTTTTAAATGTTTTTAATACAAATAATTTTACAAATCTGGAAGATCAAATACACTAATTACTACGTACATTTTTAATTAGGTAGTTTCTTATATTCTGACATAGTTTTTAAGTTTGTACTGACATCTATGAGTCCTATATAGTTATACTGTCTGTTGCTGTACATTCAAAGTTGCTTTTACTGATTGCAAAAACGTCAAACCGTAGTTTTAAGTACAAATACATAGATGTTTGTCAACTTCGTAAAATCTTTACCATCCTAATCCAAAAAATGACTCTTTCGAACAATTCAGCAAATTATTTAAGGTTCAATGACGCGTTTTCATTCTTTTTTCGACTTGCGACATTCTAAATGCTAAATACACTTTTCATAGTTTCTACTACTTAACTGCTTAAGTAAGTTAACGTGAGATTTAAATTTATCCAATTAAAGTGACCACGACTATCCGACTGTCACTGGTGTCACTGTCATTTGGTAGGCAGCGGCTTGGCTCTGCCCCTGGCATTGCTGAAGTCCATGGGCGACGGTAACCACTTACCATCAGGTGGGCCCTATGCTTGTCTGCCTACAAGGCAATAAAAAAATAATTTAATTCGTTTATTTTGTTTTCACTCAGAAACGCGGCTCAGCATTGTTCTCAACACAATCGTTTGGAACTCGCCGCCTGGAGAGACGAAACTGGCGCCAAAGCGGCCGAACGTTTATCCCACGATATGTTGAACGCTGCTATTGAAAAAGCTAAGCAGGAAATGATCGACAGAAAGAAACTGGAATATATGCTGTGGGAATCACGTAAGTCACCAGGAATATTGTTTCCTGTTTCATCTATGATTTTAAACAGAAAGATGTTGATGCGCGATTATTTTCGAAGTTAGAGCTCCATTGTGATTATTTTGTGGGAGTTATCGTGGCCTTAAAGATAAGACGCTCGGTGTATTTGTATCAAGCTACACTTCTATGTAGGCGTTGAAATCGTCCAAGCAGATGCCGATTTTTCTATAAATTAAACAATGACTTCTAGAAGAAATAACATTGTGTAACAAAAATCAAAACCTATAAAAACTGTAATTTGTATAATTAGAATAGTGTATTGTAAGCCCACGTGGATAAGTATCATTAGTTCGTATATTTCTGTCACGAAAGAGTCACGTCTTCTCGTTTGAAGTGTGGTATAGCTAATTGAGACTTTACCTCATGTCTCAAGGTGGCCGCATTTACTTTACGACGTCTATGGGCTCGGCTAATCACGTTATACACATTGATGAATTTAAGACAGACAAGAAAACAAAGGTTTAAAAAAAAGCTAGCTTTAAACAAAGATTAGATTTCTATAAAACACTAAGCCTCAACACCAGTCATAATATTACCACAAGCAAATAACTCGACAGTCTTAACACCCAAAGTTCGTGTACTTTTTACACATTAACGATTTTTTTTATTGCTTGGATGGGTGGACGACCTCACAGCCCACCTGATGTTAAGTGGTTACTGGAGCCCATAGACATCTACAACGTGAATGCGCCACCCACCTTGAGATATAAGTTCTAAGTTCTCAGTATAGTTACAACGGCTGCTTCACCCTTCAAATCGAAACGTATTACTGCTTCACGGTAGAAATAGGCTGGTTGGTGGTACCTACCCGTGCGGTCTCACAAGAGGTCCTACCACCAGCAAAGATGTAGTTTAAGAGATAAATATGTTTGTAGGTACGTTGTCAATACAATTACAATTGCACGTGTGTTAATTATCCTAATCGAATGAAATTCTTAATTAAAAAAAATAGGTGGAGGTGCAGACCCTAAGTCCCCGGTCGGTACAGCCGCGTCGTTCTCAAAAGCCAACAAATATGCTTTGAAACTGGCCAACACTTCGCTGTTCTTGGAGTTCGCTACTAATGAACTGATCAACTCCGTTGGGGAAGGGTAAGTTTACATTAAGGCTTCCTTTTAATTACAACTGTGCATTATTACAGGTAACTTATATAACATAGTTAAACTTAAAAAAAAAAGTTACCATATACCATTATATTTACAACCAATAGTGTGTGTTTGTGTGTGTGATGGTAGTAATTATCTGAAAATCTTTAATAATGCAATGTGATCTTCACAAAAAAACCATGGAATGTTCATGGAACAAGTTACGAATCATAAAAACTCAGTTATGCAAACAAACTGAAAACTACTGACTACGGACTGTGTGAAAGGGGATATGCGAAAGAAGGATGTGAGTGCAGAGATGAGGTATGATAGGCCTGAATGGAAAAATATGGTGCCCAGCCCCACATAGTGGGTTAAGAACAAGCAGAAGAAGAAGAATCCTTATAGAGGCTTTGATTTTTATAATCGTCGTCCAATTTCAGGCATCGTCGCAAACGTCAAATCTTCGACGACGCTCTCGGGTTCGGCACGACGAACGATTTCGCTGATTCATTGCAGTCAGTCGACATTAGCAGCTTCCTCGGACAAGATCAACTCGGTGGGCCGACAATAGAACCGCAATGTGACGACAGCGGCCCGTGCGACGCTAATAGTCCGTTCAGAACTTACACAGGCTACTGCAACAACTTGAGGAACCCAAACCTCGGGAAGAGTTTAACGACTTTCGCTAGACTGCTGCCACCGGTGTATGAAGACGGTAATAAATGTCCTACCTCATTTGCTTTTGCGCCAAAAATCGACTTGGGTACCGTAAGTGATTAAAGGGACCTATCACATCCTGCTAATATTATAGTTGTTTGTGCTTTAAAACCAGAAGATACAAATACGGTACCGTTTCCAGTTACCACCAATTACCTTTCCTACAATACGTTCATAGTAAAAGTCCTTATTCTCCAACCCAATTCTTCCTAAATTGTAGCTATGTTGCCATTTGATATATTTCACTCGCAAAACAGTCAAATAATTTAGTTTAAAGTGTGGTATTGCTGTTCGATTGAAATCGAAACTCCTAATTTCATTATACAAATTGGGCGAAGATGATCAAGTCCTATTGTTAATAGTCTATCACTATACTTAACTAGTTTACCATGGCCCATTTGTGCTTAAAAAAAAACCTCATTTTTCTTTATTAAATGCAGTTTTTTCTTCCTCAGGAGTCAGTCGTCCCCGCATTAACTCAGTTACCGGAACTCCCTTACCGTCGCCTCGTGTGATATCAACTGTAATCCATCCTGATATATCTAACTTGCATACACGATATACGCTAATGGTGATGCAGTTCGCACAATTTTTGGACCACGAGCTCACCATGACACCGATTCACAAAGGTATTGTTTTAAGTATTCTATAACTCTGCCAAATTATATTCATATCTTAAACGTACACTAATACATATTTAAAGAAAACTTATAATTTTCTAATTAGATTTGAGTGAACTTTAATTTAATTTACCGAATACATTCAACAAAAGAATTTTATCAAAGCATTTTTACGTGGAAACCTTGATTATTGTACACTTTCGTATCTAGCTAATTACTAATTGAATTAATTACTAATTATTATTAATATTATCTATCTATTATTAATTATTAATTAGTCAAACTTGGTATAAAATTATCAAGTCGTAATCAAATCTATCAGTTGAAATTTTGAATATCGACAAGTCTGACAGTAGTCTGACACTTTTTTTTACAGAACTATATATGCATATTCGTTGTCATATAAGGACTGTTTTATTTCAGTTACAAATTATCGTGGTTTAACAAATTTATGTTGACATGCAACAGGTTTCCACGAGTCCATACCGGACTGCAGATCGTGCGATTCGCCTCGCACCGTCCACCCTGAATGCAATCCATTCCCAGTACCACGAGGCGACCATTACTATCCAGAAGTCAACGTCACTTCCGGAGAACGACTATGCTTCCCCTTCATGAGAAGTTTGCCTGGACAACAGCAGTTAGGTATTTAACTGATTTACATTTCCTTTGGTTTCTACAGGTTCTTATATCTCGAACGCCGAACAAAATTGGTTCAATTTTATATTTCTATAAAATTGGAATGAATGAATGAATGAATGAAAATTCTTTATTGCACAAAATAGTGTACAAAGGCGAACTTAACGCCATGCAGGAATTCTCTTCCAGTTAACCCTCGTTGATGAAGTGAAAGATTTAAGAAGTGCATAGCTGTGATGAATATACTTATACATGGCGATAATTTAATGAATTACAGTAGATATGGGCAAAATGAACACTAGGCTATAAATTACATTGCCAAAACAAATACATACATACAAATACATACAAAGATACATAGATGAGAAATGCATATCAAATAAAATAAATTATATAAACCACAACATACTACAAAACAATCAAGCTATCTGTGTTTTGAAAAAGAGATCATGTACTTTCGCTTTCAAAATATTTCATAAATTGCATTTGCATATTATATTTCATAAATTCTACTGCATTTTGTTTCATTGCATACAACGTTAGATTTTACACTAAATGGGTTGCAAAAAGTTTCCATGGCCCTTTTCAAAATATGTATATGATATTAATTTTGTTCGTTTTTCCAGGACCACGTGAACAAGTTAATCAGAATACGCCGTACATTGACGGTTCCGTGATTTATGGAGAGAATCCTTGCATATTCCGCAAATTGCGTGGTTTCAATGGACGTTTGAACGCTACAAACAATCCTTTCAACGGTAAAGATTTGTTGCCGCGATCTGACAGCCATCCAGAATGCAAAGCCGCCAGTGGATATTGCTTCATTGCTGGTAAATTAACTAAAATCCTAAAGATTTTGTTTTAGATATAAATCGAAAATCATTTAAATATTTATAATAATTATAATCGAAATAGATTATGTTGAATTTTATATACCTACCATTCATTTATTACGACGATTTGAGATCTAGGTACAATAGGACTCTCGAATATATAATTATTACCAGGCATTGTTAAAAAATTATGATAAATATGAATTAAATGACATCTCAAACCAACTTCATTTTTACGAACAAATGCAAAGATATAGAATAATTCACCTACGTCAAAAATTAACCAGGGTTCACCTACGATTATTTTCTTTGCTTTTTACATTATCGGCAGCACAATACAATTTTATTAGTCTTAGATAATTTTAAAATTAATCATTGTTGGCCCCGTTGCGATGAGATGTTGGGTGCAAGGCTTATTCAAATAAAAGTGGACTGTATTTATAGCTGGTTTTTATTAATCGGATCAAAGCTAATACAATTTTACGGGACCGACAATGATTGTGTGTTTTTCGTTGATGCACGTCGTTTTATTTTGCAAGTCCACGCCTCTCCCCCGCTTCCGCCGCGGTGAGGAAAATAGGGTTGCTATGTTTCGAACAGTCATGTAAATTATTCTTCTTGTCTTTTGTTCTACAAACTGAGATAACGTTTAGGTATGCAAATTATAATTAGATTTGAATACTAATTAGTAGATAGTACTTCCAATAAATGATAATGGGTTAGTACAGCGGTCGGGGAACTTTTTTAATTATTACCCCAAAATATTTGTGTAAGTTGATAATACCCCATGGCGAAGAACAAAAAAAAATGAAATCGCTTCTTTTTAGCATCTTTCACATTATAGCCCCCATGATAATTTTGAAAAGAAAACGATAACTAAAAATTTTACGATTCTAAAGAAGTTTCACTTCAATATATTATACTTTTTACTCACAAAAGTTTCATTTTTACCACCCAAAATTTCATTTTACCCCATTCGTGGTAATTTACCCCGGTTCCCCGACCGCTGGGTTAGTAGTAGTAGCTCTAAAATGTATTAGCACCAAATACTATACGTATACCTTACATTTGTTGACAGGTGACGGCAGAGCTTCAGAACAACCGGCACTGACAGCAATTCACACCATCTTCCTTAGGGAACATAATCGTATTGTCGAAGGCTTGAGAGGCGTGAACCCACACTGGGATACAGAATTGCTCTTCGAACACGCTCGCCGTATTATGGCTGCCCAGTTCACGCATATAATCTATAATGAGTTCCTACCCAGATTGCTATCGTGGAACGCTGTCAACCTTTATGGCCTCAAACTGTTGCCTTCCGGTAAAATTAATATCTATGTTTTACACTTTCATATTACAGTGCAACCTTTATATAACGAACCTCAATATAACGACGTCCTCGATTTAACAAATTATTGGTTATCCCCTTGAACTGTCCATAAGAGCCAATGTAAAATATACTTTTACATTGCGAAGGTTTCTTGCAAAGAACCCCTTTATAACGAATTGTTAACTATTGAAAAAAAGTGTAAATACCTCTAATTACCGAATTTTCAACTCAAAACCTTTCTATAACAGACCTCAGTTAACCGAATTACTTGATGTAATGAATATTTAATTGTTCCCGATTTGTTATATCGAGGTTGCACTGTACTAACTTTTTAATATAAGCGTCGGATTAAATCTTCGTACATTTTTGCGGGAAAATCAAACGGGACACAAAAAAGTTCTTAACGATAGATATACCCAATTAATAATTTTTTTCAAATTTGTTATTGCCAACTTACTGTTTCCTAATATGAATTGTTAATATACCATGAATTATTCGAAGCCTGATGATGAAAGTTACGTGACTAACAAATACATTTGCAGGTTACTACAAAGAGTACTCTCCTACCTGTAACCCTGCAATCGTGACCGAGTTCGCTACAGCAGCCTTCAGGATTGGACATTCATTACTGCGACCACATCTTCCGCGCCTCTCACCCAACTACCAGCCTGTGGAACCACCAATTCTCCTAAGGGACGGCTTCTTCAGAACCGATATGTTCATGTCTGTAAGTGTTTCTAATAATTCACATAGTCACTAGGAAACGTATTGTACTGCTTGTACTTTGAGGTATATAATGAGCTTAAATAGACGTTGACTTCGATATAAGCGCGTTCACCTATTAGGTCCAAAAAAACGAGGCTTAATTGGCAACCTTAAACCTATAGCCAAAGGTCCAAATTTGAAGTAAGAAGAGTCGCCAAGAAGATTTTTTTTATTTTTCCAGCATCCTCCACTTGTCGACGAGCTTATGCGGGGTCTTTCCTCAACTCCGATGGAAACCCTTGACCAGTTCATCACCGGCGAAGTCACTAACCATCTATTCGAAGACCGTCGTATACCGTTCTCGGGGATCGATTTAATCGCTCTCAACATCCAAAGAGCTAGGGACCACGGTGTTCCTGGATACAATAACTACAGGGCCCTGTGTAACTTAAAAAGAGCCACTACCTTCGATGACTTGGCTAGAGAAATTCCTGATGAGGTTATCGCAAGGTGAGATTGGTTGAGTTCAATTGTACATTTCTAGCATATTTTTTTTTATTGCCCTTGTAGGCAGACGAGCATACGGCCCACCTGATGGTGAGTGGTTACCGTTGCCCATGGACTTCAGCAATGCCAGGGGCAGAGCCAAGCCGCTGCCTACCGCTTAATACTCTCCACAAGCCTCGTTTGAAGAAGGACATGTCATAGCGCTCGGGGAACACCGTGGAGGGGAGCTCATTCCATAGCCGGATGGTACGTGGCAAAAAAGATCTCTGGAAACGCACTGTGGATGACCGCAGTGGCTCCAGGTAGTACGGATGAACTCTACTCCGGTGGTGGGCGGTGCGATGGTAAAAACGAGATGCCGGTATCATCTCGAACAATTCCTCAGAGCACTCCCCATGGAACATACGGTACAAAATACAGAGGGAAGAGTTAGCATGGCGTTTAAGCAGTGTTTAAATCTTATATGATCTATTCTCACTTTCAAAACTTGAATATTTAAATATATATATTACTTTTTAGGTTTAAGAGAATTTATGCAACCGTGGATGATATTGATCTGTTCCCCGGTGGAATGAGTGAAAGGCCACTTCAAGGAGGGCTAATCGGACCGACCTTTGCTTGCATCATTGCTATCCAATTCAGGCAGCTAAGAAAATGCGATCGTTTTTGGTAAGAAGCTTGTCACACATATTTAAGGACCTACAACAAAAATCTGAAGGTGAATTTTTAAAATAAATCTTATGATTTAGGTACGAAAACGACAATACGGCGGCTCGTTTTACCGAACAACAACTTGCCGAAATCCGTAAAGCAACTCTTTCGAAGGTGCTCTGTGATAACTTTGACATACCCGGCGACATTCAAAGAGCCGCCTTTGACCTACCCAGCAACTTCCTGTGAGTACTTTATGGACTTATAACTTCCAACCAGCAACTCCCTTTGAAGGCAGGTGGGCACTCGGCTCAGAATTAATGGTCACATTACATAATGAACGACATACGAAATAGCAAAACTAGGGACACAATCAAGCCGTTACGATTCCTGCGAAACCTACCTGTTAAAAGGAACTCGTGTAAATCGTCAATCCATCGCATTCTTGCCTCACACCAGAGACCGCAGGTTTCAATTGCTTGGACTTACAGCTATACTATCAGTTTTACCGACAATAACATTTCGTAATATTAACTGGGTTTATATTAGAAGACGATTGACAGTATTAATTTTATACTTACATGCAAGGATAGTTAACCAACATGTCTAGTTTTTAAAGATCTTATATTGAATTGATCTGAAACCATGTTCTGTCATAGTCAATTGCACAATAACTATCATTTATTTTCAGTAACCCACGTGTGCCATGCGCATCTCTACCTAAGTTGGATCTGTCAGCGTGGCGTGAAAGCTCAACGCAGGGCTGTCTCATCGCGGGCCGCTCAGTCGCTGTGGGCGAGTCCGCTTTCCCATCACCCTGTACTTCGTGTATTTGCACTATAGAAGGAGTAAGTACTGAAACGAATTGAATATTTCAAATCAAATTGAGTTCATAGAAGTGGAGCGACGATCAGTTGAAGATAGCGGAAATCCGCAGGATGGAGGCTGCGTAAGATCGACAATTGTGGCGAACCTTGCTTTTGTCCAGCAGTGGATAGCAGTGGACAGCCGTGGGCTGATGATGATGATAACGAAAGCCGAATGATTGAATAGAAAAACTTATTTAGCATAGAGAGATCAGTTAGTGTTGAATTTTGTTTGGGTTTCTAGACTCGCTCTATTTATATTATTTCTTATGTTAGAGAGTTTCCGTATTAAAAATAATTTACTTAAGACAAAAAGAACGTCAGAGGTCGAATGCACAAAAACCCATCGAGAGCAGCTCTGCTGCGGTGAACTTGTTTTTGACTTATGGGTTTAAGGAGATCTTAGTTGTTTCTATTTTGTACTCCAAATTCCATGAAGAATTCTTCGAGATGATCCTTAGAGCTCCACTTACCATCAAATCACCCTCTAATAGAGTTCATCTACGGTTCATCACATCTCCTTAGGTTTTGGTTGAATAATTAATTAATAATATTCAGATTCAGTTTCGCCATTACTACCACCAAAGTAGCTAAAATACGATACGTTTCTGGTGGTAGGACCTCTTGTGAGTCCGCGCGGGTAGGTAACACCACCCTGCCTATATCTGCCGTGAAGCAGTAATGCGTTTCGGTTTGAAGGGTGGGGCAGCCGTTGTAACTATACTTGAAACCTTAGAACTTATATCTCAAGGTGGTAGTAGATGGTTGTAGATGGCTATTGGCTTCAGTAACCACTTAAAACCAGGTGGGCTGTGAGCTCGTCCATCCATCTAAGCAATAATTTTTTTTTTTAAAATCGTTGTTTTTGAACCTTAATCGTACTGCGTAATCTTACCGATATCGTATCGTAATTTAGAAAATGAATTAATGTCATTGTAATTGTTTCAGGCACAATGCGCCTCTCTCCGTATCACCGACTGCGCGCAGTTGGTCCGCGAGTGGCCGCGCGAGGCGATCCTGCGCGATGACGTGTGCACCGCGCAGTGTCCCACCCCCGCGCCCGTCACACACCCTCGCCCGCCCCGAAGACAGACAATTAACTTCAAATTCCCCGACCTGACACCCTACATAGCGAAGTGAGCAACTACACCATCGGACATTGACGATAGTCGGACTCATCCTGACCTCAAGTGAACCCATTACTCTCTGGGTAGCTAAACGTTCCAAACTTCAGTCACTACATACGAATTTTACTATTTTCTAGCACAAATATGCAGACAATTTACCCGAGCCTATTATAGACTTTGCATCTTTTTTTTCCTACCTAAGCTGATAGCCTTGAGAGGCTATGTCAGCGTAACCGGGCGAGTAGGTGAGCTCACGGGGCTCAAACCGGGAGTGTTGCTAACACTGGCCCTAGCAAGAGCAGTGCTTAGCAGAATCACATCGCCTCGTTTACCGTCGTTCACCTTAAAACTGCAACTCGAAGTCCTAATTATATTACAGTCTAGCTGACCCGGCAGACTTCGTAGTGCCTCAATCGATAAATAAAAGACCTAAACTTTTGTATAAAATAAACTTAAAACAAACAAAAGGAATCCGTCCGACGGAGGACACATCAAAAGAAAAGCAAAATTGTTATTTTTATTTAATTCCGAGCATTTTCATATTTTTTCACCTTCTCTCACCACTTTTAAACCTTCTCTGGACTTCCACAAATAATTTAAGACCGAAATCAGCCAAATCGGTCCAGCCGTTCTCGAGTTTTAGCAGACTAACGAACAGCAATTCATTTTTATATATAAATATAGATTACACTGCAGATACTATAACGGATATCATACCCTACAAAGTTAAAAGTATGATAGCTACTTAGCAGTAATGCAAATTCAGTGGTAGACTTTCACGCTGAATTTAAAATAACAGTTACTTATTAACCCATTGTGGCACTCGGCTTTAAACCGATGGTAAACGACGGAGTTTAACCTCAAATGGCCTTGTCTGCCAAATCGTTCTTGCAAACATTGAGAGAAATTGATATGGTCTCTCAATCAAGTAGTTACAATATTGTATGATTACGTAAAATGAGATTTAGAAGTTCACAGTATTATGTAGTTACTGAATTGGAATATCGATAGGCGATCGAATCGAATCACAAGTGTTCAAGAACAGCTTTGACCATATTTTTTTTTGAAATAAACTAACATTTAAATTATTCCACTCTAATATTTCATTGTAATATACCTAATCATTTGACTTGAATTTAAGAGATAAAAATTTGGTCTTCAAGCTTGTTCTAGAAGTGAGGCCTATAAAATCAAAGGCAGCTAAACGCCATAATGTTGTAAAATGTATTAACAATGGCTCTATCGTGTTTAGTTAGTTGAACATGCTTTAGTGTTTTCATGTTTTATCAAATGCAGCTAAACCTCTAACAAATTCAGATCAAAAAAGTTAAGTTTACTCTGTATTAAGTACTAATAAACAAAGTTTTATCATTTAAAATTCAGATTATTAGTAATATTCTAATTTTTTATAAATCTGTTTTAAAATACAGAATATCGTAGCTATACGAACAAAGTTATTTTAGATTCTCAAACCGGGAGTGTTATCAACACTGGCCCTAGCAAGAGTAGTACTTCGATGGATCGGGAGGATCCGTAATGACGTGTTTAGGGCCGATTTTTGTAGTTTACCTGAATATTTGACAGACTTGGATATAGCTGCCTTTGATTTTATAGGCCTCATTAGTATTTAAATGTAAATAAAACTAGTCTAAAGGTGCGTCAACAAATAATTGTAAGATTTTTTCGTAAGGTACTGCGCACTAAATAAAACAATATACATATATTTAAGTAACATCTTCGACTGTTAATTTTCCATGAATAGATGACGATGACAATATTAATTTATCCGATAAGTGTCAAGCTATCTACCGTACAACTTCTACAGATACCGTTTCTTTAATTATAGCTAATATTTGCAAAAATTAATTCCCAAACAAAATTAAACTAAAATGTATAAAAATATTTGGGACATCTTAATTAAAATTGTTAAATAGTCGCACAAAATAAGCTTTTTTAAACTTCGATAAACTAAACCGTTTCCACGATCCGATATTTCGTAATGTTTTTTTTTTCGTTATAGATATTATAATTATTTCACTAACGCCATGATTACCATAGATTAGCTCACTCACTTTTTTTCCTACCTAAGCTGGTAACCCAGAGGGCTGTTCCAGCGTAACTGGGCGAGACACTCACAATTCTCCCTGTACAAACTGTAGTGATATCAAACATAAATGATAGAGAATATTTAATAAAACCACAATGTTACCATATTTTACCGTAAACTAAGAACAAAAAACAACAATATTAGATAAAAATTAATTAAGTTTATTCTTGTACCTTCACTGCCTAGAAAATAAGTTTAAGAACTCTTGTAAATTATTTGTATAATATTGAGTAAGTAATAGTTTTTATGTTTTAGCTTTAGGTTTTTTTAGTTTTTTATCTGGTATATCACCTAAAAACAAAAAATAAAGAAACTTGGTAATTGTTCTTTTAATGTTGAAAACGAACCCAAACAAAAACCGCTTTTTTTTTCTTACCTATGCTGGTAATCTAGAGGGTTATGTTAGCGTAGCCGGGCAAGTAGGTGAGCTCACGGGCCTCTAACCTCAGAACGTTGCTAACACTAGCCCTAGCAAGAGCAGTGCTTCGCAGAATCTACCAGCGGATCGGAAACGCGACCCACTGAGAAGATCAGGTGAGAAAATCAGTGAGCTGTAGACATCTGTAAGTACTGTGTGCCATGCAGTACGCGTAATATAGCGCGTACGCGTAAAATTTGGCATGTCACATAGCACTAAACATGACGTTCGTATCCACAGAACATATTATTTAAGGTCGGTTCTAGAGGTCCGTTTTTTTTTTATTGCTTAGTTTGGTGGACGAGCTTACAGTCCACCTAATGTTAAGTGGTTACTGGAGCCCATAGACATCCACAACGTAAACGCGCCACCCACCTTGAGAAATAAGTTCTAAGGTCTCGAGTATAGTTACAACGGCTGCCCCACCCTTCAAACCGAAACGCATTACTGCTTCACGGCAGAAATAGAAAGGGCGGTGGTACCTTCCCGCGCGGACTCACAACGCGCACCGTTGTCCGTTGCGTTCTGTTTTAAGTACTGTACTGTACTGGTCGGGTGTCAATCGGTCAGCATCGTAAAAGTTCGAGTAATATTGTGCGAACGAGAATGAGTATGTATGAGCGGCTCGATGGGATTCTGCCTATGTCAAGCCGGTATTGCATTCCTAATAAAGCTTACATTTTTTTGACACCACCCCGTAAATCATTCTTCTCCTTTTTTGTCCACCCCGCTACAGGCACAGCTAATTTGTCGCAAAAAAAAGTCGCAATTACGAACCATTTATAAGTTGTAACTAAAAATGTAAATATTAATTGATTTTATTTATACATTTAAAAAAAACTAAAGTAAACTTGTATAGAGTGCACTTGGTAATAATAAAAGGTCTTTAATTTATGACACCCGAACATTCAGTACATTAAGACACGTAATTGTTAGCGGGCTATAAAAATTGAACAATACAGGCATATTTCTGACAGGTCATGTTTAGAGTACTGAATACTGTTCTAATACCATATTACGCGGTGCGGAATATCATGCCATATGGCATTACTTCATAGAGTAATGTTTTGCGCATGCGCATGCTAGTGAGTGAGTGAGCTAGTGTGTCTGAGAGTTAATTTGCTCACCGAATCCTTCGTCGCAAGCGACGTTTTCGACTAGAACGGTTACCCGTGCTTGAGGTACCCCAAAGCATCGATAGTGGATCGAGAGAATCCGAAATTACATGTTAAGGGCGACGTCGACTATTTACCATTCGGTCGGATTATTGATATTGATATTTAGGTATACGACAAAGGGAAGATCTTCCACCGAGCGGGTGATATTACTCGGTAGTCCGACGGTCCGAATGTTTTTTTTTACTACCTATTCTAGTAACCTCGAAGGGCTACACTAGATTCTTCGGGCGAGTGTGAGATCACGGGGCTCAAACCTGACGACGTTGTTAACACTAACCCTAGCAAGAGTAGTGCTTCGCAGAATCTACCATCGGATCGGAAACCCACTGAGAAGATCCGGCGAGAAGCTCAGTGGGCTGTCCGAATGTTGTTGTTCGGAACTTGTATATATTATGCAAGCTTATCTTGAAAATAAATAATAATCGGTAAGGTAGATAGAAAAAGACCTCGGGGGCGCAACCCAATACGTTGGTCCGACCAGATCCACACCGCTCTTGATTCCACATTTCACAACGCCCTCCACACCGCCAGAGACACGAATAGATGGAGAAAGATCGTGCGTGCGAAGGTGATACAAAAGGGTGGTCACGACCCTTAGCAGTGAGGAATACGACGCAAGGAGGAGGATCTTGAAAATGTCGTAAACTAGATTTAGGCATCTGTCAAATATCTTTGTGTTGCATGATGGCTTCCACCACAAAGCCTAGGCATCTGTTACTAATGCTTGCTTATTTACAACTAGCTAGCCGTCGACAATTTTTTCTAACCGAAAACATATATGTGTATAAACCATTAGTTGGATAAAATCACTTAAAACAACACTATTATTAAAAACGAAAGAAAGACCTTGGTTTTGTATGGGTTTTACGACTCAATTTTTAGTGACAGCTTTACTTGCTCGAAAGTGAAGAAATACTCGATCGAACTGTCAAAATCATTATTTTGTAACTCGCAATCGCACAAACATTATTCGAGGTGCTCACTTTAGTAAAGTTACTCGATACATGAGACGACAACTTATACAAACCTTCTCTCTCCCACAAAATGGGATTAATTAGCTTCCCACTAGGCAGCGCTGATACAATCTCATACAAATTAGAGGTCTGACATTAACATCGACTGAGTAGTTAAAAAAACTCGCACTAAGCACAGTGACATTATCCATTAAGCGATCAATTATGATAGTAAGCAGTTCTTATTCACATACTGTTAAAAATCTTGGCATTTCGTTAAAGAAAAATGGCTGCGTGATACCAATATACGAGAAAAAATTATCGTTGCTCACGGTGAATAAACGTCCTGCGAATCGAGTTATTCGTGTCCACTCTCACTCAGCGCGACTCACTCTTCACCGTGAAGAACGTACACTCGATTTACGCAGTTATTAAGTCATTCGATTCGTTTTATAGAACTCGCACTAAGCACACAGACACCCGTAACATAAATCATGAAATTAATTAATTTCGATGAACCTATAACTTGAAGCCAGTGCTTACTTAATATACGGTCGGTTTTCGGTTGCCGTCGTCATCGAACTCTTCGATAACGACAAAGAGTTCGACGGGCGAACGAACCTATGGACACAACCCACTGAGTTTCTCGCCGGATTTCGATGAGTCGAATTTCCAATGCGAGATCAAATTCTCTCAGGTTGAGCTCGTGACCTCACCAACCTTCTGCGCGTAGCTAGAAATGGAATAGCGCTTTATGATACCAGCGAATCGGTGAAAAAACACGTTATAAATACACGTCTAATGACAAGTGGCAATGCTACATACAATAATATCTAAAAATGTGTATTTTGTTTAACATTTTTATGTAATTTATACAGAATAACAATAACATAGCTGCAATAGTGCATGGATAGTGCAGTAAATAAATCGTTTGAAACTGATGGTACCTTTACATTGCTGGTTAACCAAAGCCAATTTTGTAACGTTGTACTGTAATGATGAACAATATTATTTAGAACATATACAATGGTAGTTAAATATGAAGCACAACTATCCAAGTGTTCACAGGATTTTTTTTATTGCTTAGATGGGTGGACGAGCTCACAGCCCACCTGGTGTTAAGTGGTTACTGGAGCCTATAGACATCCACATCATAAATGCGCCACCCACCTTGAGGTATAAGTCCTAAAGTCTCAAGTATAGTTACACAATTTAATGTAACTATTAAACAATGTAGCTGACTGTACTTTAGTCATTGTATTTCATTTATTGCTGTTTCTTCGGAAGCGGTCCCTTTACAACTTTCAATATGAAATCCCGTAAGCCTTGTTCGGACTAGGCGAGTATTTTAGTCGAGTACCGATTAATTTAGTAGCTAAATGTGTCTGAGCACCAAAAAATTTAGTCGAGTAGGTTAGTAAATAATTTAGTCAAGTCAATCCATTTTGTTCTATTTTTTTGGGTTTGTAGGGAGTACTTTAGCCACTAAATTACTCGGTACTCGACTTAAATACTCGCCTAGTCCGAACAAGGCTTTACACATAAAAAGACAATGACACTAGATCTTATATAGCGCTCCTCACACGCCTGTAATTCGAGAGAAACTGAAATGAATCACGAACGCATCACCCAAAATCCTTTAATCTTAAGAAAACTACAAAACATATTTACAAATCACTTTATTTGTTGCATATCAAGTCTATTTAGTTTCCTTTTTACAATAAATACATAAGTTTGAGTATAAAAAACAAGTGTTGCAATAAAATAAACAACACAAACACAGTTTAAAATGTTACGAACAGTTTGTAAAGTCTTGATTTGTTCACGTTACTTATATCTTCACAAGTCCGTTACACATGCTTTGGTGACTAAAACAACACACTGTTTTTACTTCACCAAATGCACAATTTTGATTGCACTGCTGATCACATGTAGCCCTGTTGACAATTTGGTAACTTTATTATTGTTGTTTTAACCCCACGTCAAAAAAGTAAGTGCCTTTCAATTCGACTTTTTGTTTGTGTATATGTCCCTTAGAACTTTTTTCTAGATGGTTCTTTTTTCCTATGTGGTGCCATTTTAATTTTATAAAGATAATAGAAGAAAGCAGTTTTTGACTTCTCCATAATAATGGATATATTTTACGAAAGGTTTGTATTTAGATTTTTCGATTTCGAAAAAAGATTCGCGGTATTTTGCAATACACGATATTTTGTAGATGTTTGTTTTTAAGATATATTTCGTGCAGAATAAGTTTCTCAAGTGTTAAGCTGACGAAATACATCAATAGATACATTAGGCATATTGAAGTGACGCTCAAAGGCAATTATTCAGATCACTATTATATTTTACTATAGCTTTTTTTTTTAATGCCTTACGGGTGGACGAGCTCACAGCCCACCTGGTGTTAAGTGGTTACTGGAACCCATAGACATCTACAACGTAAATGCGCCACCCATCTTGAGATATAAGTTCTAAGTTACAGCGGCTGCCCCGTCCTTAAAACCGAAACGCATTACTGCTTCACGGCAGAAATAGGCAAGGTGGTGGTACCTACCCGTATGGACTCACATTTTTTACAGCTACAAAAATTTTTTATGACAGGTCCTTCTTCAAACGAGGCTTGTCGAGAGTATTAAACGGTAGGCAGCGGCTTGGCTCTGACCCTGCATTGCTGATATTCATGAGCGACGGTAATCACTCACCACTATCAGGTGGGCTGTATATGCTCATATACGTACGGGGACAATAAAAAAAAAGGTAATTAAGATATGACCTGGCTAGTGGAGGGTTGGCACGCGTGTCAGTTGGCCGGCACCTCCTTGTACCCGTTAGCGAGGGGCGCGGTCTCGTTGGCGCGGCGCCACAGCCCGTAGGCGCGGCCCGGCACCGCCTGCCACAGCCGCACCGTGCCGTCCTCCGAGCCGGACGCGTACAGCTCTCCGTCCGGGGACCATCGCACGCAGTGCACTGGACCGAAGTGGCCCCGGTTCGACTCTGTTACACGATCCACGTAACAAACGTTTAGTTTGGGCAACCTATATCGACGCTTGAAAGGCAAACGTGACTAAGCGACAATAACTGCTTTATACATAAATGATGGGCAATAACCATATTCGATTTAAAATCATTTCAATCCTACGGCTAGATTCGTTAAAATAGTTTTTTTTCAGGTATTTCAACTTTAAATTAGTTTACTGTAAAGTTCACGCATTGTCGCTTAGTCACGTTTGCCTTTCAAGCGTTGATATATTAATATACTTTTTGGCGGGAACGCGAGGAGTGAAGTTGTGTCATTTGTTTTATTTTGTCTATGTTAATGTTTCTTCAGGTTCAAATGTGTAATAACGGTAGTTTAATAACTGTTTAATATCTGTGAAAGTGCACAAATGTGGGAAAATGAAACAAAGCCGCTGAACGTAACTTCTCGGGATCCTTAAAAAAGTCCACTGAAAAAATCTCAGTAAATGACCACCATTTTACTGAAATTATATTTCATCCCATATCGTCTCATCTCACATCATTTAATTTCATCCCAGTTGATTAATGTCTCAAATTAATCATCTTCATTTCATTTCATTTCATTTCACTTCATATTATAATTTTTCACGAAAATAAGAAAATAAATTAAAATAAGACTTGACCTAAAGGTCTTAGTTACCAGGCCATAAAATCCTTATAAATATATATTAATACCTGAAGCAAAAACTATGTACCCCTTTTTACGAAAATTGTGCGAAGAATTAGTATGAGATTTCCCACATTTATAGAGAATATAGAGGAGTGCAGAATATTAATATTTTTTTTAATTATTCATAAAAAATACATTAACTCAATAAAAAAAATCATTTCTTTTGGACTCACAAAAACTAATCTAATTTATAGTATTTATAGTAACTAATTTAATCCTAGCTTGTGAAAACTTCCTTTTATTAAATTTTTATTTATTTTTATATATTTTTTAAGCTGCCCACAGGTTGTTATTACTGTGTGCTTATTATGTTTTGTATTCGGGTTCACCATTTAATTTGATTTTTGTTTTGTTTTTTTCTTAAATTTTTGGTTTTGTTTTCGGGTTCACCATTTAATTTGATTTTTATTTTGTTTTTTCTTAAATTTTTATAATTTACTAATTTTACTAATTTATATCATATTCTGAGTATGTACACACGTACGGAGTCTTCATTCCCGCAAAGAACCAAAGGGAAACGGGGGTGACTGAAAATCAGCGCTGTTCAATTTATCAACCTTGAACAGCAATAGCTGAGCCACCTCCTTTTGCCTTTTTCTCTTTTTTTTGCTTTTCTTTTTTTTTGTATTTCATTTTATGATGTGAAAGGCAATAAATGATCTTTATTATTATTATTATTATTATTATTATTACATAAACTTCCATGTATTTGACAAACACACGCATGCATATTCTTTGTTTATTGTCAAACTTTTCTTATTGCTTACAGTCTGTGGTCAAATCGAGAATAGATTAAATATTGTTTGTCTTTATTAATATTTGTCTAAAGTGTAGTCTTGGCAAAATCTGTGATTATAGAAGTATAGGTAATAGTCTTCGGCAATAGAATCATAATGGTGTAAAGACTTATAATATAAATCAATTATAGTCGAATTTCGACTACCGGGGGACCACTAGTATTGATTGTTTGACATAGCATTGGTTACGCATTCAGTCTTAACTGACATTTACGATTTAAAAAATTATCGTCTTGAACATACAGACAAACCTCTGTTACGCTATAACACACCGCGCATAAGCACACTGCGTGTAATTTGCTTCCTAGTGATTCTTGTCCACCTAATAGTTTTCTGAAAGGGAACGCTTTTAGCGTTAGCTTAGCTCTCTTTCTCTCTCTCTCGAAGTACTTGTGGCCTACTAAATAAGGCACCTGATGTACTCTAAGCAGCTGCAATGTTAATCGCGAATAAAATCAACCAACTAACCCAGTTCAGTTCCAGTATTGTAGTCATATTTGTAGACTTTTAGATCGTCTCCGCCGCACACGAAGGTCGCCCGGCTCGGAGCCAGCGATGCCGAGTAGCACTTCGTTGGCACGGGGAACTCGCGTAGCTTGCGCATCGTGTCCGACGTATAAAACGATACGTTTGTACCTGGAAAAAAAACCACTAAATATTGTTACGCCTTTACGAGCAACGCCATCTATCGTCGATTAGTAGAAACGAATATCAAAAGAACCAATAAAACCTAGAACGCTCGTAAAGTACAACGCCATCTATTATCAAATGACGGAAACATACGTCGAAACTACTCGTGTTCTCGATAATTCTAGAGATGTCGTTGCAGAGATGACACGAAGGCAGTAAGTAATCGGATCTACTCGAAGCGAAACAGTGAACGGATGAGCTAAAGCGATGCGGGAGCAGTAAATTAAGAATTTTAAAGTGTTCGTTAGTGTTCTAAGTTTTAATACAGTTACTACTTGTACTTCGGTAGAATATTTTTTTATCCCGAAACCCAGCGCGTAACAATATTAATTCGCCATATATTTTGGAGATGCCAGACTAAAACCGAGTAGAGCCTTTCGATTTATCGAATCAATTATCGCATCGCATTCTGATGGTAGGCAGCGTTTCAGCTGTTATCTAATAGTTCTTGAAGTTTTCCATACCGCTAACACGCAAGGACTTTAATGACGTCAGAGTTGTGAGCGTTAAGATTTTTTTTCAATGGACACCATCTTACTGCTTACAGCATATTCTCTGTGTGTCATTTACTTTGACAAAAGCGAAAAAGGTTTTATCTCAAGTCATATTCATTACAAATATTTTAAACTGCATATCGCAGTTGTACAGAACCCAATTTAGATTTTTTTTTTAAACTTATACAAGAATGTTATTTTACTAACAAAACAAAAAGTACCGTGTGCAACAGTCAATATGGCTCCATCCCTGGACAACTCTAGACTATTAGGGACCGACTGGAATTCAACCTTTTGGACTTCCTGAAAATGTTGAGAATATGACATTTTAAATTATCATCACAGAAAATTGCATTATTTTATTTATATTATATTATTATTTTATTATATTATTTATGTTTAAGCTTCTCTTAAAAGTTATTTTAAATTTGATTTGTGTGAAGACAACTTTTCGCTATATAAATGATGCTTTCACTATTGGCGTATTCTTTTGTAATAATTCTTTTTTCATGTACAGCCACATGACGTACTTCATGTACTGATATATTATATAATATAAAGCTTTCGTAAGTTTAAAATTGTAGATATCACATATTCAGATTACAAAATACTTCAATCTTTTCCAATATACTCTATTTTTCAGTAGCATTGTAAGTATGAAATTCTTCTCTTTATTTATTAATTCAAATATGTATTAACCATATTAAGTTTTATGGCATTTGTTACCAACAAATACAAAGCCAGCTTAAAACCCCTCTGACCATAGGACTATTTTCAAAGTTGACTTGAAGAAGTACAATAAATATAACAATTATTATTATTTCGTTACAATTTTAGAATTTATATTTAAAAATATAAATACATAGATTGGTAGTATGATGTTTTAGCACTGAATGAGGATTTCAATGTCTTCCTAAAATATTTATAAAGGCTCTCACTTATGTCACATATTTTACTTACTAAAAAATATAGTTGTTTTTATAGTTTATAGCAAAATAAGAAATTTATAGCAACACTGGCAATATAAAATTATCTTGATGAAACTGTCAAAAAATATTATGATCCTATACAAGTATGTATTGTAGTCTGTGATAGGACGATTCATAGTATACATTTCGATTACTCACTTCTCCACTGTTACGATCCCAAACGCGCATAGTATTGTCATCACTGACACTCACGATGCGAGAGTTATTCAGGAACACTGCGTGTCTTATGCTACTTGTATGTCCGTTTATTTTTTCGATTGCTGTGAAATATAAACATTATTATTTGTAGTAAAATTAATTAACCACCCGCCCACCAAGAACATTTATGTTAGGCAAATAAGCAGGATTATGATCGGACCACTATTGCTAATAAAAGGAGTGATCCACAATTGTCAAAAATCTTTTGACTGTCATCAGTTAACAAAAGATATCAACATTATTTTTCTATGAGATTAATATTAAAATCCAGACCACATATTGTAGGCTTTGATAATATATATTTGCTGTATTCAGTTTGTGATATCTATGGTCTCCAGTAACTACTTAACAATATATATATAATAATAAGTTTATATAAAGAAATTTTAGTTCATAGTTACTATAGTGGTCTTAATTCATTCAAAAACTAATCTAATCAGTAACATAAATCAAATTAAGCAACAATTACATACGTCCAGCTTCAAGCTTGTTGAGGTCAAAAACTCGTATAAGTTTCTCATTGCTAGCAGTCACCAACAATGTGTCATCGGCATTGAAATTAACACTTTTCACAATGTGTTCATGTTCAAAAGTGTGGACCATATCACCATATCGAGCATCCCACAATTTTGCTGTAAATATAAAATTTGATTTTAAATAATTTGTAATAATTATTTTAATCACTTTTTACTAAATTTACTATTTTGGTTTTTGCGACCAAAAATTATCATTAACTCTAAATCTACACACTCAAAATAGGTTAGGCATATTTTTAGTTATTTCAAATCGTGAAATCGGTCACATATCACACAGAGTGGAATGGAAATTTAATATGAAAATACTTTTTCATATTATTATATTTATTTCAAAAAATATGTATTTTGTTCAGCATTTTAGCTTCACAAAGCACTTTAAGCACATATCTAAAAAAAATACTCCGAGCTTAAACATTTAATATTTTTGGCTATTTTCATTACTATTTTTGTAATTCAGTGGCCAAAGTAGACCATGGTATTTTGTGTAAATGACAAAAATATTATAACTTTAGATCATATTAATAAAACAAAAAATTCAAACCTATGAGATTAAAGTACAAAATAATCACTCATAGTGTGATATCCTTAATCTAATTAGTAGCTTATTTGAGGTGTACAGTTTCAGATTTACATTTCAATAAAAGCAGTTTAACTTACTTGTTTAATATTTACCTGTAAAATCGGCTGCCCCACTAGCAGCCAAGTTTGCATTTTGTGTAAGTGCCACACCCCAAACAGCACCCTTGTGACCTTCAAATGTTCCAATCCAGTCACCAGTTTCACCTTGTCGTAACATAGGCTTGCCATCTTAATAACAAAACATGCCATTACATTATAATCTGAATAAAAGCAAAACCAGAAATCATATTAATAAAATGTGAGGAATAAACAACCTTGTTAACAGTGAAGATAGCTCATTTATGTAAATAATTAGACAAATTAAGCATTCATACATAAACTTTGTTGATAAATGAGATAGTATATAATGATAGTAAAAGACAATCATAGCCCATACATTGTTTAAAGCTCTTTGTAAATTAACTAGTTGCTATTACATTTTAGTTTTGTTATGTTTAAAAATATCTGGTTATTTCTTTTTTACAACTACTAAATTATTTTCAGTGTCCAGATTATAACTCATAATAAGTTTCTGTTGATATTATTTTAAAATTCTAATTATGTATAAAAGAACACAAAACATGATAATAACTATTAATTATACAAGGAAATAAATAAACAATACTACACTACATAATAACAACATTCAAGTATGCTATTTCCTGATTTTTATACTTATTTACATATAAAAAAAAGATTAATTCATCAGAGATTAATGGAACTATTAAATCAGAACCAAAACAGGTAACAGCTAAAACCAAGGATATCATACAAACAAAACATGTAAGCCAAGACTTGAATATAATTAATTTCACATTAGCAATACAAGGAAGTGAAAATTATAATAATTATCATTTATTTCTGATTTTCATTAAAAAATAATAAAATTTACAGATAAGTCATTGTGTTATAGTATTATGTTGTCAGGCCTCCCATATCATTATTAATAATGTCAAGTACAACAAACCTTGAGCTGGTACAAGGTGACCCAGAATAAGTGAAATGTCAACATTTAATTTAATACAGGAATAAACTTCCGAGATCGCTCCAAATTTGTATGCATTCAAAGTTGAAAAACTTGTATGTCATGCACTAGCCTCCAGTACATGAATAAAAAGCACGACGCGGCCCAAGGCAAACTGGCGCCGAGGAAACACACAAGTGGATATTCAAGGTGCTTCCTGCATGTCCGGAAAGAGAAGGTCGCAACATGCATAGAATGCACGCCGGCCAAACCTACTGTTCAGAACAAAACAACTAAAGTGAAGGTCTCATAAACGTAGCACGACGCCCGACATTTGTCAACGTGAAACACACCCCACTAATATTAGAAAAAATTATGTTTCCTATATATGTCATGACTAAGGCAAAAGCACCCCAAACGAATAAACAATAAAAACTTACCTTTGCAGGCAGAAATCAAATAATATCCGTCTTTTGTAACGTCACTAAAATCCAAATGCACGACTGGTCTCGTGTGGCCACCGCATGTAAGAGGAACTTGTTTAAGCGTTGTCATTTTGTTAAATTAATTTTGATTGTTGTACTTTGGAAAAATAAAACTAAATTATCTTTTTGTAAAACTAAAATTAACCTAATGAGTCTGATCGTACTGAATGTTGACAATCGACTGACGGAAAGGAAAAAGCAGTATTACTAGAAAATAATATCTTAAAACTACTATCAACATAGCTTTGTTGCAAGCCATCTAAATTTTAAGATATGGCTACAAGTTTTTTGATAAAATAAAATTTAAAATAATAATCAGAATTAGGAAGAACAAAAAAAATTTTGGCTAATAAAAAGAAACGTTTAGAAATCAGTTTTATAATACTGGTAATATATTTTATGACGACGTCAATTTAGTATTGACGTGTCTATTGCTTGACGTTTAATGTCAGACCGTTTAATTGGTTACTTCTGATAAGTTTCTTCAAAATAATTTGTTGTTGTGGCAAGTGATATTAATCTAATTTAGCAAGATGGATTTCTTTACATCTATACCAACTCACATAGATTACGTCGGACAAGCAAAAGCAGAGAAATTATACAGGGCAATAATTACATTGTTCAGTATAGTTGGTTTTGTATGGGGTTATATAGTTCAGCAATTCTCGCAGTCAGTGTATATTCTTGGTGCCGGATTTCTGCTTGCTGCCATTCTTACTGTTCCTCCATGGCCAATGTACCGACGCAATCCTCTGAACTGGCAGGTTCCNCACATAGATTACGTCGGACAAGCAAAAGCAGAGAAATTATACAGGGCAATAATTACATTGTTCAGTATAGTTGGTTTTGTATGGGGTTATATAGTTCAGCAATTCTCGCAGTCAGTGTATATTCTTGGTGCCGGATTTCTGCTTGCTGCCATTCTTACTGTTCCTCCATGGCCAATGTACCGACGCAATCCTCTGAACTGGCAGGTTCCTAAGAACGGTGATGACAAACCAGCAGCCAAGAAAGGAAAGAAGTGAAATCCATTATCTCAAAATTTGTCTGTACAACTTTTACTTCTCAAATATATCCAATAGTTAATAAGTTTTAATTTTGTTTTATTTACATAACTGTCAATCTTAGTTTACACACACTTAAACACACTATTATAAAATATGTACCAAATTAATCTTTTGAACTTTTAAACTAGCTAAGAAATATATGCACGTACTACAAAAATAAACTCTTACAATTAAGGACATATGTTTTAAAATGAACCTATTATTAATTGCTTGGATAGATTTGCTCGCAGTCCCAACTAGTGTGAAGTGGTTATGAGGCCCATAGGCATGAACAACTTAAATGATGTCATACTTGAAACAGGAGTTCTAAATGTTAGTGTTATAGAACAATGGCTGCCTGATCCTTCAAATTGAAACACATTACTGCTTTACAGCAGAAATAAGGTTGTAGGAACTACCAATGTGGGCTAACAAGATACCTTAAGTAACACCAATAATTACAAAAATTATCATTTTTACAGGTTCGGTTTGTTCAGTGTTGATGTCAATGTTATGAACAATGATAGGTATTAATATCCAAATTGGTACCTTAATGAAAAAAAAACATTTTCTGTTTAAATCACATATATTCCTTATGCAAACATTTCAACAAAAATTTTACTTGTTTCCTATTTGTGACAAATTATGGCATTCATTGTTGCTCAATGTTTATCATTATTACAATCCTACAAATACTCTTTATATAAATATTTCAAAAACAAAACAAGTACACAAGTTGTTACAAATTATCCATTGTAGTTAAATCAAATTTATCTTGAAGATTCTTAAAAGCATCAAATATTCTGTTCTCATTGCATGGATCACAATCATTCATTTGAATATTATCAGCTTCTTCTTTTTCCTCGTTTTGGTTTTCTTTGGGTTTTTCATCATTATCGTTCTTGGATTCATTTATACCTTCAGTGGTAGAGCTTTGAACATCTTCCTTATCACATACTTGTTGTAATGTAATAACGACAAATGTAAAAGTGATTCCATAGTTGACTATTGTGAGTGATAGGGGTCCCAAAGCTAATATAAATATAGCCATTGTAAATAGTAAAGATGAAACCGCTTCATAATGCTTCCTATAACAATATATAACAAAATGTTTAATTTTATGTGTGTATTGTGTGATTCATTTAGTTTTTATTACACAAGCAAAGTTATTAAGTACATAAATTAATGCGAGCTATAAACTTATTGGTTATTGTGACCAACATGGGATAAAACATTCACATGATGAAATATGCCTTATACCACTGTGTAAGGACTAAGATGAGACCATGTGTGTTTCAAAATTACACTATTAACTTGAAATATGTATATGTAAAAGCAAAGAATGACCTTGGGATCATAACAAATAAAAGGAAAATACTAGAAATTAATTTCTTGCAATTTTTTTGACTGTAAAATAGTTCTCACACTTACAAATTTCTTCTGGGACCATTGATTTGCCAGATACAACTGGAACAAACTGACATGACTAGACCAGTGTGATATGACGTATCTGGTTTTAGTACCATGGAATACCTGTTGTAATAATTTTATTTAGTTAGTTAAATTTCATCATTTGGTCTGAGCACACTCGGGATCTTGCCTTCATCAATACATATAAAAAAAATGTAATCTGGTGTCTGTACATTGAATAGAGGTAAAAAAAATACAAATGGGGTTAACAACATAACAGTAATAGAAAATCACTATTTTAGGAGTTTCATTATTTTGTTTTGTTCACAACATCTGAACAACTGAATTAATTTTCATATAGTCATCACAGGTAGTTATTAATTTGGCTAAGTTTCATTAAAATTGGATGTACTAAAAAAATTAGTATCATTTAAAAAAAAATCGATATCACTTTTTTACCGAAAGAATTGGTCTGAACCCTGGAAAAGAATATAGACTGTCTTTGATCGNAGGAGTTTCATTATTTTGTTTTGTTCACAACATCTGAACAACTGAATTAATTTTCATATAGTCATCACAGGTAGTTATTAATTTGGCTAAGTTTCATTAAAATTGGATGTACTAAAAAAATTAGTATCATTTAAAAAAAAATCGATATCACTTTTTTACCGAAAGAATTGGTCTGAACCCTGGAAAAGAATATAGACTGTCTTTGATCGTACTGCTGAGCACGGGTCTCCGCCTATACAAAATACTACGGTAAACGAAGATGCAGACGGGGCGCAAATAATTTAAATATTTTTTCTCTATACATTTTTTTTTACATTGTGACATACCATAATACTGATCTTGACGTCAATTTAAACTTACTTAAAATTTCGCGCCCATGTTAATAATGCTGGAACATTGACTAGAGTCACTGTGATCCACATGAAAAACAACATCATGTGGAAGTTAATGCTATTAAAATCCTCGTCCAAGTCTTCTTTGCTTTCACCCTTAATACTATCTTCTTTGGGCTTTCGTTCGCTTTCTTTATTCGCACAGTCTGTGTTTGAAGAACCGTCTTGTCCTACATTGTTCGTTGAATCCTTATCATTATCTTCAATTTCGTCAATTTCTTTAGATCTGAGATTACTTTCCTTTGCATCCGATAAAGCTTTTGAAATCAAATTGGTTTCAGATTTTTCATGTTTGTTTCTTGTCGAGTTGAACATACGACAGACTTTAGAAGCTAGCTTCGCCATTATTTTGTAAACATAATCTTCTAAATATTCTTCGTACATTTTCGAGAGCTGTAAAAGTTAATACAGAATTATTAATTAATTTACGGTAGGCAGCGGCTTGGCTCTGGCCCTGGCATTGCTGAAGTCCATGGGCGACGGTAACCACTCACTATAAGGTGGGCCGTATGCTCGTCTGCCTACAAGGGCAATAAAAATAATAATAATAATATTTTTTTTGTGATATTTAGTGACGTTTGCTAAATTTTAATAGTCATAAACAATGATAAATTCATTATATTAATAATCACTAACCATAAATGCATAAAAAGCGGCACCAGCAGCCAATGAAGCTGCTCCGCATGATAAAGGAACGGCGCAAACTAGCGCTGCACTCACGATCATGGGGAGCTTGTGCAATCCGGTGGCCATTTTCTCTGCTAAGCTACCGCCGCCTCGCCATACTATTCTGAAGCAAAAAAAAGACTATTCAAATGATAGATTCACTTTTACAAAATATGTCAGGCTGACTTATTGTATACTAGCTGACCCGGCAGACTTGTGGAGAGTATTAAGCGATAGGCAGCGGATTGGCTCTGCCCCTGGCATTGCTGAAGTCCATGGGCGACGGTAACCACTCACCATCAGGTGCAAGGGCAATAAAAAAAACAACTATCGTAGCCTTCAAACAAATACATATGAAGATCTGTTGCGAAGAGCACACAAAACTGGCTGGCGGCGCGTGAAATCGACTTCATCCGGCACGAAGACTGGCCCTCCTCCAGTCCAGATTTGAATCCGTTAGATTACAAGATATGGCAACACTTGGAGGAAAAAGCGTGCTCAAAGCCTCATCCCAATTTGGAGTCACTCAAGACATCCTTGATTAAGGCAACCGCCGATATTGACATGGACCTCGTTCGTGCTGCGATAGACGACTGGCCGCGCAGATTGAAGGCCTGTATTCAAAATCACGGAGGTAATTTTGAATAAACTTTAGTGGCATAAGAATCTATGTTTTGTTAAGTTCATTTTGGTATATGAATGGTTACATAATGAATAAACTTGTTTCAATTATTTTACATTAAACATGTGACAGAATTTATGACCTGACTAGGTATATAGACTCTTAATACTCCAAAGATGTAAAATTAGCTTCGTGGTGACGATAGTATATTTTTAGAAAATAATCATAAATCAAAGTACTTACTTAAACAGTAATCTATGCGCTATCTGTGATGAAAATACCATTGCACCCATTATAGCAGCAGCTACAATATTGACAATCCCTAATGCTGTCATATAAGCTGGCAACACTAACAGGGATTTGATAAAATACTGCAATTCGAGATCCCTCCAGCTTGCGCTTTCGAACATAAATGAGAACAGCGGAATCGCCCTGAAATAATACAATAAAAAGAGAATAAAACAGGCTTAAAATGAATAGATGGCTGATGCTATATTTTTATATTCCATAGAATGATGCACGACGTTATCGTCCTTATGTTTTGTGTGCAAAAGAATGCAATGAGTTCCCAGTTGTCCCAAAAGTTTGTTAAATGATTATGAGCAAGTTGAAACAGCTGAACGTATTGAGCTTTTATTTTCGGCCATTAATCATAAATTCACCGCCCTATAGACATCACAACATAATGTGACAGCCTACTGAAAGATATGACGTCGAATGTATAATTTTTTTCAACAATAACGGCTACGGAATGAGCTCCCCTCCACGGTGTTTCCCGAGCGCTATGACTTGTCCTTCTTCAAAAGAGGCTTGTGGAGATTATTAAGCGGTAGGCAGCGGCTTTGGCTCTGCCCCTGGCATTGCTGAAGTCCATGGGCGACGGTAACCACTCACCATCAGGTGTGCCGTATGCTCGTCTGCCTACAATGCCAATAAAAAACAACAACTATCGTAGCCTTCAAACAAATACATATGAAGATCCGTTACATTTTGGTTTCTAACAGAACCGGCTCATCTGCAAAAATTATTCAAACCGAAAAGTTACTTACAAAAAAATCTTAGTTGCTAATCTTGAAAACACGAGACAATAATAGGGTTTGACCCCTTCGCTCATTAAAGCTCCATGAATGGTCAGGCATGATCCAGATTCTTGAAAGTTCATAATAATACTTCTGGCAGCTAATAACACTATGGCGGCTACATACGGAATAAGTACTGGACCGTAATTTCGAGTAAACTGAGCGAGGCGATTGTACCACGATGACGATATACTGTAAATTGAATAAAAAATAAATTTAGCATTAATGAAAAACAAAAAAATATTTTTGTCAAATTAAAAATAGAATATCAAATATTGAAATATAGATTAAGAAGTAAACATTTCTATTAAAAAACCCAGACATATATCGATATAGTATTCAGTTACGTTTATAAAACTCACCCTGGAAATAAGTTAAAAAATATTCGTGTGGAATACAGAAAGAAGACTTCTGTTCTAATTTAAAATTGGTTAAATTTGTCCATCAAATAAAGACCGTGTATCTTTATCATACTCTGTCACACACAGCCAAGTGAACAACCTTATTATAACTGTAATTTAAAACTACAAACAATCACAAGTATAACTCACCTGAGAGTAAATTGACATTGAGGATCCAATAGCAAAGTAATTTTCGCGTGCTCGGTGGTTTCCAATCCAAGTGTTAAATTAGGGTTTGTTTTAAATAGCCTTAACTTCATAGGCGACCTTTTCAAATGCCTAAAAATAGGATTATCACTCAACAAAATGTTCTGTGTTGATACAAATATGTTCGAAACATAGCAACTCTATTTTCCTCACCGCGGCGGAAGCGGGAGAGGCGTGGACTTGCAAAATAAAACGACGTGCATCAACGAAAAAACGCACAATCATTGTCGGTCCCGTAAAACTGTACTAATTTTGATCCAATTTAATAAACCAGCTATAAATACAGTCCACTTTTATTTGAATAAGCCTTGCACCCAACATCTCATCGCAACGGCGCCAACAATATATGATCTTATTTTAATGTTGTTTGACAAAGGAATCCATTATTACACTTTGATCAAGTACCTAAATCCTGTTATTGGCCTCTTTTAATTATATTTCAGCTTTGTTATTGAGGCACATGATCATAGTTAGTTATATAATAATACTAGCTGACCCGGCAAACGTTGTTTTGCCATATAAATGATTTCTAGGAAAGACAAATAACCCAGGTACCGACTGCAGCACCCTCTGCCGGGCTGATTTGTGAATCTAAGCCATCCAGAGTGCCACCCAAACGCATACAAAAAATCATTCAAATCGGTCCAGCCGTTTAGGAGTTCAGTGGCAAACACACGCACAGAAAAAATATCTATATATTAATACGTGAAGCAAAAACTTTGTACCCCTTTTTACGAAAATTGCGCGGACGGAGGAGTATAAAATTTCTCACACTTACAGAGAATATAGAGAAGGAGTGCACAATGCTATTTTTTTTAAATAAAGCATAAAATATACTTTAAATCAATAAAGAAAACATTACACACAACCATTTATTTGACACAACACATATATAAAAATATACTCTTTGTTTGCTGTCAATTGGGAAACTTTTGTTATATGTTTAGAGTCTGTGGTCGAATTGAAAATAGATTAATATTATTTGTTTTTAATATTATTGATCTATCGTGTAGTTTTGACGAATATTGTGATTATATTATCGAATTATAATAGTTTTTGACAATAGAACCGTAATAATGTTTAAACTTATGATTTCATTTAATTATAGTCGAATTTCGATTACTGCGGAGCCACTAGTATATATAAAAAAGATAATTTCAAAAACTCTAGACTTACGTAAAATAATGATAATATTCGTGATTTTTCGCCCACGGAACATGCAACTCCGCCGAAACGTGATATCGGCTTGCTTTACAATTCGCAGTCGGCTCAACGTAAAGGAGGTACGCTTCGTGTATCGCATTAAAATCTCGCAAGATCAATTCGTAATACAAACTGTCTCGTTCGGTTTCTGGTTTCACGATCCTCTTTCCGAATTCGAAAAACGTGGGTAGATCCACGAATATCTGCCGGGACGCATAATCGTTGATGTCGATGTTCATAGTTACCTGAAAAAAACATAAGAGCTCATTATAATAAGGCCTTGCTCCCGTGAGCTCGTATGGAATGATGCAAATAGCATTTGCTCTTGGGCAATGATAAAATTTTACTAGTACTGAATTAAGCTGCCAACAATAAACAAATAACATTATATTTACTATTAAACTATGAGTTCAAACCTCAAATTTAACTATCTGCATCTTGGTTTAAGAAATAATCGTGTTAGTAAACTAAACTACGAAACTTTTGGAGAGTACTTAGCGGTAAGCAGCGGTTTTGCCTCTGCCCCTGGAATTGCTGACGTTCATGGGCGACGGTAGCCACTAACCATCATATGGGCCGTAAGGGCGCCTGCCTACAAGGGCAATAAAAAAAATACAAATCAGTACATAATATATGTACCAAGATTTTTATTTTTTTCTGTCTGTCTGTTTGTTCCGGCTAATCTCTGGAACGGCTGGACCGATTTTGACGAGACTCACCGATAGGTAGCTGATGATATAAGGAGTAACTTTTTTAGACTAGTTCGCCCCGCGGCGTCACCCGCGCTACTACAAACCGCGGGTAACATCGCGGGGCTCAGCTAGTCAATAATAAAACTTAAATGTTTCCGAAGCGAAGCGAGGACGGGTCGCTAGTGATTTATATAATTTCAGCTCAAATACCAACTTACGGGTTTTCGTGTAGGCGATACCTTGACGACAACATGAGACCAATCCGGGTAATGTTCCATCACATTGTGCAGGTTCACTGTTGCTAACTTCCTCTTTCGAAATTCGGTCGCAGCTCCGGACCAACGACTTAATTCTGTTAACGATACTGCGTGTTTACTGTAAATATCGAATCAAACAACATATTATGAACGCTTATCTATACTAATATTAGAAAGAGGAAAGATTTGTTTGTTTGTATTGAATAGGCTCCGAAACTACAGAACCGATTTGAAAAATTCTTTCACTGTTTGGAAGCTACACTATTCCCCACTGACATAGGCTATAATTTTTTTGAAAAAATTAGGGATCCTTACTAAAACTCCAATAATGTAACCCAAGGTGCAAAAAAATTACCTAAAATATTCTTTACGTCGCGTGCCCTGCGAAAACTATTAATGATAGAATAAAATAATGTAGGTACTACGACTTTGTAGAACATATTATTATTTACAAAAAGTGTCGGGATAGCATATTATGTCCAACTATTATAGTTATGCAGCAATAAGTGTTCTTTTATTTAAAAAAATAAAACAACGTCAAATAACGGAGCCGGAGCGGGCTGCTTGTGTATTATATTTTAATCAACTTAAAAAATAATTATGGGATTTATAGAATAACTAAGCATGTCTGATGCCTCCGATGGTTTATAATAGCGTTAAGCCGTTTTGTGAACTCGCTCGTGTATTTCTGTCGTGAAGCAATAATGCGTTTCGGTTTGAACGGTCGGTCGGTCGGTCGGAACGGTATACTAATTGAGAAGATGGGACAGTCGTACAAGTGAGTCATAGAACTCATGTCTCGAGTTTGATGGCGGCAATTATATCGTCGGTGTCTATGGGCTCCGGTAACCACTTAACAGTGAGTGGGCCGTGAGATCGACTATCCACAAACAAAAAAATACAAACTAAAAAAAATATCAGATTTGTAATACGATAAACAATTTCCGTTTAGGATCACGCCAGAAATTTTTTATCTACTTAAAGTACGTATAATAAGATTATTCTGCCGCATAATTTTAAGATCACAATCTTCGTGCTTTAAGCCTCATATTGACATTTCTTATATTGACGTTCGATTTATTAATACTCACCAATATCTGTGCGTGTTGTATGTATGTTTCGCATTACATCCATATATCCAATCTTTATCAGACACATTAACAGCCTCAACAGCTACGAATCTGTTCTGCGGGAATTTAACTAATCTTATCATTAGATATGTTGTTCTGCAATAAAGAATAGATTTTTTTATTGCTTAGATGGTGGACGAGCTCACAGTCCGCCTGATGTTAAGTGGTTACTGGAGCCCATAGACATCTACAACGTAAATGCGCAACCCACCTTGAGATATAAGTTCTAAGGTCTCAGTATAGTTACGACGGCTACCCCACCCTTCAAGCCGAAACGCATTACTGCTTCACGGCAGAAATAGGTGGGGTGGTGGTACCTACCCGTGCGGACTCACAAGAGGTCCTACCCCCAGTAGAGTAGTTTCGTGGAGCATGGTCATTAGTAGTACAAGAGACATAATAGCGCTCACCGCCTAATGTAAAATGCAACATCACCTTCTGACGTGCAAGCGGAAAGGATAATTACATTAATAGCACCCACCCGTCCGGACTCACATAACGCCACACTAATATCGAACTCGTCGACTATGACGAAGAGTTCTACGTGCGAACTAGTCCATAGACACAACCCACTGAGTTTCTCGTCGGATCTTCTCAGTGGGTCGCGATTCTGATCCGGTAGTAGATTCAGTCAAGCACTCCTCTTGCTAGGGGTAATGTTAGCAATTCTCTCAGGTTGAGCCCGTGAACTCACCTACCGGTCCGCGCGTAACGCCTCACAGACCGACTCGGAGACGAGAGCCAAATTTTATCACGATGGAAACAGAGTTGTGAGTAATTGTAATAAAGTTTATTTTTGCATGTGCACTTCTTTGTCATTAAGAATGCTTGAACGCGCTGCGTGTGAAATAATAAGAGGAGCGATTGCGAGCTCTTTCTCGGTCGCGTAGCCGATCGGCTCCGATTGCGAGGGCCATCCGTTTTTAGATGTCCAGCCGACATATATGAAATATGTAGTTGGCGACTCAGCTCCTGCCAATTCCAAAAGTATACGATCCGGTCGGTGTGAAAAGAAAAAACCGGGCCGATGCTCTCCGAGCCGGTCAGTGTGAACGGACCCTTAGTTACCAACGATGAGATAGGGGATGGGATAGGAAAAAACTAGCAATTAAGCCTTTTTATAAAATTTTCCCATTTTTATTTTTATTGCGTGGTCTTATAATTTTATCGTGAAAGTCGTTCGTAAACACGTGGTAAGTACTTATTTCTCTATAAAACCCGTCGTATCAATCTTTAGCGCGTTGACGTTTCTGTGATGTATGGATTATTGAGCAGTACTACACTACTGATATCTCTGTTGTATTTAGAATAGTAAGTCATTCAATTTCTCAAATGACTTTTCGAAGATACGGCCAAATTCTTATACCGACTACAATTGTACTCTAATTGTACATAATTATGAATTCGAGTATTTCTTTTCATTGCATCAAAACGAACAAAACTTTTTATGCAATTTTTCTGAAACACAAAACGAAATATGGGCGTATCTATTTTTTATTGCTGGAGATCGACGGGCGGGTTCACTAATCTTCTGTATTAAGTGGAAGTCGTAAACTATAGATATCACAGCTTGTAGTCATCATAATGACTTTTGATTTTAGTCATAGAAGTTTAATGATATTTAGATAAAAATCTCAATGATGTAATTTTGACAAGCTGGCATGAAATTTCAGTTTACTGACTAATAGATAGCGAAGTTAACAAAAAATAGACAAATGTTAAGAAAACGGTAGGCAGCGGCTTGGCTCTGCCCCTGGCATTGCTGACGTCCATGAGCGACGGTAACCACTCACCATCAGGTGGGCCGTATGCTCGTCTACGTATACGGCAATAAAAAAAAAAAAAAAAAAAAACAGGATGTTAGTTTTACTTGTCAATTTCCGGTCGTTGCACTTGATAAATCCTCCGGTTATCTTCGTACCAGAATGCATCCGCTGTCATTGTCGCATTGGCTTTAGGAATTTCTGGATTAATTGTCATTGAACGATTCGCCTGAAAATTTTAAGGAAACGCTTAAAATGCAAAAGGCTAACTCACATCTTTATTAATACTATGTAGAAGATTATCTGGTAGACAGTATAATATCGTATAACTTCACGAGTAGCACATTTAAAAAAAATGTTTAGTTTATTATGACCATGAACGAATAGTAGTACCACCATGATAGTCGTCGTGGCCTAAAGGATAAGACGTCCGGTGAATTCACCGGTGTTCGAATCCCAGGCGGATACCCATTTTTCTAATGAAATACGTAGGTTCTTAACAAATGTTGACGATTGACTTCCAGGGTGTCGGATCGTGTAATTAAATCAAACCCGCAAAATTATAATTCGCGTAATTACTAGTGGTAGGACCTCTTTTGAGTTCGCGCGGGTAGGTTACCCTGCTTATTTCTGCCGTAAAGCAGTAATGCGTTTCGGTTTGAAGGGTGGGGTAGCCGTTGTAACTATAGTGAGACCTTAGAACTTATATCTCAAGGCGGGTGGCGCATTTACATTATAGATGTCTATGGGCTCCAGGAACCACTTAACACCAGGTGGGCTGTGAGCTCGTCCACCCATATAAGCAAATAAAAAAAAACAATTCTTCATGTCAGCCTTGTCAAGGTGACTAAGGAAATAATTGGCAATTGTTTTGCAAAGTTCCACAGCATTCAAATCGTGATATCTATAGGCTCTGATACCAGTTATCGAATCGCCCAGTTTGTAAGCTCTAGCTGAGCATTTTGCACAATTACTCTATATGGGGCTGGATGTGACCAAATCTAGGTCTATAAGCTTGCGATGTTCCCTATCGTTCCGAGACAGCTCAGATACTGATTTCATTGAATTTCCCGGGGAATCATCACATTGTCCTAGCTGCTGAACATATGAATGATGATCAGATCAAAGTCAAGTCAAACATTGAACAGCAAATCTGGCCAAGTTTGCTACTAGAACTATAAAAGTGAAAACTAGTGTAATTAAGTAAACAGCATATTCCAATCCTACTCACACCTATTTAGATCTCTTGCTGTTTCCAAGCAACAAATCTTATAGAAAATATCAAACCTGAAAATACTGCTTGGCTCTCGACATTAGCAACTGTTTATCATAACTTATTTGTTTCGTCACAGGATTGACTATCGAAAACAAGTATTTGTTGATTGCCATAACAAGTTGCTTGCACCATACAATACAGACGTGATCCGGTGATACCCAAACGCCTGGTATAGCTGTCGTCTGAAACAAAACTGTTTCATAGTGTTTTTTTCTTTAATTATAAATAAATATATACATGACACAAATAAATTCGAAAACACCACAACATGACAGATGTTTAGGTCATATCACTGTGTGTCATTTTGTAAAATAGTATACTGTGATCACACACATATAGAAAACCGAAAATTCTGGTTATTTCTGCCCCAAATCAATCTGAAACTGTCATGAATATAGGGAAAGTTGAAGGGAAGACTCAACTCCACAGAAATTCGTTTGTTTTTTATTGCATGCAGATGAGCAAAGGTCTCCAAAGCCCATACATATGATACAGATCTCAATTATATTAAAATATAGAGATATAAGAAAAATAGAGAGAAATTCTGACTAAAAGACAAGCAGAGTATCAATAAGTAAGACCTCTAAGGCCCGTTTCTCATATTTTTTAACCAAAAGCTTTAACCAATTAACTAATCAATACATACCAATGTATTTATATCACTGTCGTTTGATAATGTTAAGCCTGAAGGCATTAGTAAATCTCTTGGTCCATTTCCAAAACTTAAAAGCATCTTCTTATCTGTCATCAATTGATTGCCTTTTACGAAATTTTCCCATTCCTGATTCATACTTAAATAGTAATCATTCATAGCTATATCAAAGTTAATCAGTGGGGCTTCTAAAGGAGCTGCTAAAGTGATTGCTATACTTGTCGAATTGACTGTACTTGGATGAACCAACAAACGCTTGGCCACAAGACCTCCCTAAAAATTTAATAAAATAAAACTTTAACTTTAATATAATTATAAACTTTAACACCAAAACTATTTTATTTGTGTTTCACTTTCACTAAATTTTTTAAATACACCCATGACATTTACAATGAAGACAGATTTTATGTTGTCTATAGATATCATTACCCACTTTACTGATAGGCCCTGTTTATATGCCAAAAAGAAAAATAAATAAATGCACATATACAGCTGTACTGCCTGCCTTCATTCAGGCTCCACAGAGATAATCTGTGAGGCCTATCATAAAAAGTGATAAAGTAAAAGAAATATGCATCACATGCTATCTCGTATTAAGATGTCTGCAACAGTCGACTGATTCAGCACAGTTTGAATAGCAACCAAATATTATCGGAATCAATAAAAAATCTTTAAAATAATATTGTTATTAATACTCACCATTGAATGTCCAATGAGAATAACAGATGTTGGTACAGATTTAATATAATTATTTTCTTTATACAGATCCAATATTTTTGCTATACAAGCAGCTGCAAATCTTGTTTGACTTTGTAGAACTCCTCCATAAAGGCCTGAGAGCTCCTCATTATAGCTTACTGTAATGAATTAATGTATTTTTTTCCCACAAGATCCTTAATGTTCAATGTACTTTAATGTACCTTACTTCTATGGCTACTTTATCTTTTACTGTAATAGGTGCAATCTTATGTCTCTACATCTCGACATGAATCATTCAATATTATTTGAGATTTCTTATTGAAGTAATAAAGTGAAAATTACTATTTTAAAGCTATCCCTAATTATGAATCGAATGATAAGTTTATTTAATTCATAACTTACTGGCAAAGTAATCAAAATGGTAATCATATCCTCCAGACAAGGCTTTTCTTAAGGCCACAGATGCCAGTGATCTTGCTTGCATGTGACTACCAGAATTGCCTGGTATGAATAACACTGGTACTCCGTCAAACCTATAAGAAGAGCTAATGTAACTCAACATAGCCACAATATATTTAGTTTAAATATACATGCATTCTTTATGAAACATTGATACCATGCCATTTGTTTAACTATTTCCTATTGATAACTGTGAAAGAACATACCACATTTTTCTTGCTCTCTCTGTGAATCTGCCTTCACTATATGCAAATAAGGCATATTGTGGATAAATTTTGTTTTCTGGCATAGACAGATGCTAAAAATAAAATTTGTAAACATTATTAGGTAACGTTTTATTTAAATCGCACTTTAAATTACTCACCACAAATTGTGGATATTCAAACATATATGTCATGAAACAATAGTTATTTTTGTCGCTGAAATGCAAATTTAAAACTCCTAAAAGATATCCCAGAAGAAATAATAGTGACAATCCTTGAAAAATACTTGAACGTATTAATTTCATTAGTTTCATTTTGAAAGCTTGATGTTTAAGGATTGTATGATAAATTTATCTTTATTTATGCATCTGTAGTTTTTAGTGTCAATTCTTTCATATTTTCAGAGTATTACTAAATTGAAATAGTTATTTTAATTTTATTGAAATGGTCACCACAAAACACAACACAACAGTTCAGAAATAACATATTATTGGTACAAAACAGTTCAGAAAATTATATTAAGTGTATAATCTATGGTTCAGAAACTCTCAAATTTAAATGTCTCAAGGCTCAGTGAACTTAGCTCTCCGTTTTTTAACTTTCAGATTTTTTTAAATTTTAAGTATTTGTTCGTCGTTTGTTCGTTAATGTTCGAACATAAAAATTGTTTGTTCGTCTATTATTTATTTATATTTAATTAAGCAAATGATCACATTAAGTTGACCCCTTTACTAAGTGTCTTTATTTTTATCGCTCAGAGTAATTAATTATGATCAATTATCGTTTGTTCAACGGTTCAACAACTATTGGTGATTGTTCGATCATAAAAACAATTAAATTCCCAATTATTAATTATTTTATATCTAATAAGCAAACCACTACCTCACGCCTACATTGCGCATGCACCGGTTTTGTCGGTCAGCTGGCAATGGCCGTATTTACTAGCGTTTTGTTAACAAGTGCGTTTATACTGTCTAATTATTAAATTAATTAATAAAGAATCTATATTACTTGAATAGCAATGTGAAAATGATAAAGATATGTAAGTCACACAATTATAAATTCAAATATTTTGAAGTTTATATTTAAAAAAAAATATTAGCTTAATTTTTTTTAAATTAAAGATCGAAGCTTGATATTGCATATCTAATCTAAAAAAACTATATTTCAATGTCAACTATAATTGCTTATAGAGCCCTAGCGTTCCCGCCAAAAATGCCCACACTAAAAACACATATGGTGTCGATCATAGATAATAAAGGTGTTAATGGCTGTATGGGCTTAGATCCCCTTGCCTTTCTTAACAAGGAATAATTGTACCAAAAAAAAAACTCTATGGTATTAAAGGGTGTATGGGCTTAGATCCCCTTGCCTTTCCTAACAAGGAAAAGTTGTACCAAAAAAAATCTTTATGGTAGACTTTTTGGCGGGAAGTCAAACCTATTAGGCGGAATTTTTTGAAAGAAAATTTTCACAAATTGTTTTTACCAGGAATTTGTAACCAGGCATATAATCTCACTATTTATAGGTGAGCTTCAACATGAGGGGCAAGCGCAAAAAGCGCAAAGCCGACGATCTACATCAAGATGTGGCAAGTGTCGACGACTCAGATACTTCGACCGATACTGCTGAAACTGNCCGATAACGATATCAACAGTGAATCAAAAATTTTTGAAGCAGAAAACAAACAAAGTACTTATTTGCTTAATAAAATACCCAGGAGTAGAAAAGTCAACCAATCCTATTTCTCTTCTGTATTCAGTACAATTTATTCTACATTAATTACTGTTCCTGTTATCTATAAATTTAAGCCGAATGTTATTTTCTGTAATGGTCCAGGAACTTGTATTCCAATTTGTGTAGTTGCATTTATATTGAGAATCTTATTTTTACTGGATTGTAGAATTGTTTTCATTGAAAGTATTTGTAGAGTAAGATCACTGTCATTGACAGGGAAAATTCTCCAATATTTTGCAGATCTTGTTGTAGTGCAATGGCCACAACTGAGAGATGTGAGTCTTCGTGCTAAATATTTTGGTAGACTTACATAATTTAATAACGTGATGAATGGACTAATTGATAAGTAATTAAGTCATAAGAAACTAAGCTTTTTTTAATTATTCAATTTTACAGTCAGTAAGCAAAGGGTTGGCAATGCCCCTGCATTGTGAATGTACATGAGCAATGGTGACCACTCACTGTCAGGTGGGTCACATGCATGTCTGCCTATGATCCAAAAAAAATTGTACTCTCACAGGATAGAGAAATTATGCATTTAAACAATATTCTGGAATAAAAACATTCATAATAAATATGTTGGTTTTAGGACAGTTTATGAACCATGGTTTGGTATGGTAAACCAGGATGGATTTGTAAATATATTTTACAGTCTTAGATAATTTATTGTTGGCATTCTTTTAATTTTTAATGAGTTTTATTGTGTTATAAATGGGTAACTTATGTAAACTTGCCATGTCTGGCAACCACTTAACGTCAGGGGGCATGAGTTTCTTAACTCATCTATGGTATAAAAATAAAAGTAAAAAGAATAAAACTAAGTAAAGCATAAGATGTATAGAAATTAGTATTTCATTAATTCATTAGTTGAATTATTAAACTTTTCAGCATAGCTTTGTTAAAACTGATGATGCTTTTTTTTCTCTGAGCTGTTTACTGATTCAAGACTAGATTGTACCTTTGATTTTACATTTTTTCTGAAAACTTTATGTATGTAATGTAAAGGTTGTTACAAGTGCACCTGGCTGGAAATCATGTTATTAATGAAATTATGTTAATAATAACATTGGTGACAGCTTAGTTTGAATTGTCTGGAAACAGCCAATATGAAATTAAAACACCATTGTATTGATATTGTTTTTTTTATTTGCAAAAGCCACAGAATTTTCAAGACATTCATATTATCTGTGTAACTAATGAATAAACTGGATCTATGAATGTACATTCATGTACAATGTACATTCATAGATCCAGTTCTTATTAACTGGTTCGAAATAATGAAAATATCATGTGTAATGTAAAATTGTATTTAAATTATATTTCTGTTCAACTATGAAATTGATGTAAACATTACATTTTAAATAGTAAAAAAATAATTAAAGGTCATTAAATGCCATTGGTTGAAATTTTATGTACAATTAATAATAATTGTTGCCAAACTTTAACAAGGGATGGCACTGTAGCTTTAAGCTGTCTTCTAAGCTTGATTTATGTATCTCCTAGAGAAAAAACGGTGCGCGTGCCACTTGGTGCACGTGAATGAGCTGAAACTTCTTTTTCAATGTGAAGCATTTTTCTTCATTTTTCATCCTTGAATCAGATTGCTCTTGTAATAGGGAATAATGTGTATAAGAAATGCGACATCTTCGACATTTATATTATATATATTTTAAACTACAAATAGGAAAATAAATAAATAAATAAATATATATATATATATTTAAATACATAAATATGTACCTACTTCATTAAAATATTGGATGCTACTCGTTGCTAATAGTCCGAGAGCTGGTACCAATTTTTGGGTAGGTATTTGAGGCAAGCTGAAAACTTGTCACATACCTCTCCTATTATATTCCAACACGGAATTGCAGACCTGGCTGGTGAGTAGCGGGGCTAAATCAACCTCTACATTTTTTTAAATTAAATTTTTTTTTCCCCAAAAATATATTTGAGGCAATACGCAATTTATATATGTTGCAGTGTAATACTTAATAAATACGAAAAAAAATAAGCCAGACAATTTAAACGAGGCTGTAACATTACCAGACGCGTGAAAACATTTTTTTTTTAAATTATGAAAAATGTTTTTGAGGCAGCTTGAAATTTTAATGGAGTGTTATTTATAGCTAAAAAATAAGATTCCCAAAAAGACAGATCATTTCGGTAGGGCTTTCTACCTGCCAGGTGATCAAACAAATAATGGATGGGTACGGGCCTGTACTGCTATAGACAAGATGTAGTGTGAGAAAAAAAAAAATTTTTAGTTTTAAATGTAGGGGCAACCATATGAATTCTGTACAAAAATTAGGAACAAAAAATTTTTGGTCACATACCTCGTGACAAGTTTTCAGCTTGCCTCAAATACCTACCCAAAAATTGGTGCCAGCTCTCCTACTATAACGCTCGCGCTGGCCTGTAATAGGCAAAACATTAGATAAAGTGATTCATCATAAAATTTTACCTATAAAACATTACCTACCGTTATCACATATACCCATAGGCACAGCCCATTGAGTTTCTCGCCGGATCTTCTCAGTGGGTCGCGTTTCCGATCAGGTGGCAGATTCTTTTTTTGATGATTGAAGCATTACTGGTGGCCCGGAGGCCTTTTCAGTTTCACCAGGACAGGTGGGCGAGCACAGGCTCAGCCAGGAGGGGTGGGATTTGCTAACAGCTGCCCGAGCGCCTCCGAAGGAAACCTAACAACTCAAGAGCAGCTGCTTTGCGAATGAATCTACTACCGGATCGGAATCGCGACCCGCTGAGAAGATCCGGAAACTCAGTGGGCTGATTCATGGGTTAGGTTACACGTCGAACTCAACTCTCTGCCGAGTTCGACGAGTACGGTTGCCGGGGTCCCTTGGCCTGCTCCTAGTGTTAGAGCTAAAGGCATCTAATGCAAGAGTTATGGGATCTGATGGATCCGTAAGGACGTGTCTAGGGCGACGACGGTGACTAGCTCCTGCGTGATCAGAATTCGGAGAGTAGTCAGCTGCGGCAACGATAAGGCGATTAACATGATGCATAGCTTATCGAAGTACCGTTCCGACGCGGACTTCATGTGTTTGCGGATCGATTCGAGGCCAGGTCGTCGTGTTGGTCGACGTTCCTCACGAAGCACGGAGCCCTGACGGCTAACATGCAAAACCGGGATTGTAGGGATTGGAGGGTGTCTATGTGTGTGCGGGCTGCGTGAGCGAACACCACACTCGCTTAAGTTATGATGGCAGATTCTGCGAAGCACTGCTATTGTTAGGGTCAGTGTTAGCAATACTTTTCAAGGTGTGTGGCGCATTTACGTTGTAGATGTCTATGGGCTCCAGTAACCACTTAACACCAGGTGGGCTGTGAGCTCGTCCACACATCTAAGCAATAAAAAAAAATAAAAAACTCCCGGTTTGAGCCTCGTGAGCTCACCTACACATTAAGGCGAAGCTGAAATAGCCTCTCAGGGCTATCAGCATAGGTAGGGGAAAAAAGTCATTTATTGTTCGTGATCTTGCAGATTAAAACACGTCACTATTTTTTCTTTGGATATAAATAGTTGGATAGAATTTTAGTGAGTTAATTTTATGCGTGTAAATGTTCCGTTTATGATGTTTAAATAATATGTGGGTAGATTGTGAGTAGAGGTATATTTGACCACTGTAGAACATCTTTAAGAATCATAAAAAAAAAATTAATGCGATTCCTAAATTAGCGGGTATATTCAATATTTAAATAAAACATTCTGTAACTCAAAATAGTGTATAATTAATCAAGGGAGATCTATAGATAAAATAAATCATAACTAAACTTACAATCACATTCAAGTACATTAACAGATCTATACTAACTATATTGATTTGAAGTATTTTTAACATATAAAACGGTATAATATAACAATATGTACGCCGTTAAAAAAAATTTGCTCCTTACTCCTTTGGTATCATAAAAATAATACATTTTTTACAACCTGGTTCCCTTTAACAGTTATTCATTTAAAAGACATTATATAATTACGACTTAACCGTTATACCAAATACGTTGGACCACTGAATGTGCTAAAATCATACTGAAGAACAATATTCCACTATTTGATACATAAGGCAACAATATTCACACGTCTAAATAAGTTTAATAATCAAATAAAGGACAAAAAATAATGTATTATTTTTGGTACGATCAGCTGCAGAATTGCATGGATATCGAAGTTCTATAGTCCTATGAAAACAGATCTAAATTAAGCTAGATGACATTGATTTTATTCACTACATGCGACTTAGGTAACGACCGGCTAAAATCTAATTGTTTTTTTCCGAACTACCATTTCAATCCAAGCAGTAAAATTGGTTAACTGCATCCAATTATTTCACTTCTAAATCATAAAATATCTACACAATGTATACTATTATAATACTAGTTGAAAACAATCTTACTTTAGTGATCTGTTTCGAAAAATAATAATGTTTGATTATGATGGTCGAGTGGCTTTTGAAAACAAGCTTTTTTAGGAGTGTTGAGTTTGAACCTTGCTATAAAATTGTTAATAACTAATGTTTGTACAGTTGGTCTTTAAAACAACTGTAAAGGGTGTCACCGACGGCGAAGATACTATAATATGAAAATATATACTATTTTAACCATGTGTGATAGTTCACACAAAAACTATAGCGAGCGATATTGTTTGTTAAGATAAAATATTATAGTGCCTTGGCCATGTGTGACACCCTTAACTGATGAAATTACTCATTAAGATTTTTTAAAGTAGCAAAATGCCATCTACATATATTTACTATAGATCACAGATCGCGTTATGGATTCATGCGATAATTTTCCTACGTTATCCATGCACTTTTGCTAATTTTGCTTTAGTCAGAGTCCACTCCCGGCGTATCGCGCATGCAGATTGCGGAGCGTAGGAATAAGCGGACGGCTGTCCTTAGAGCATTCGCACGAGTATAACGTAAATAATAAATAAACTTATCACTATGACCTTCAATACAATGCAATTTTGCGCAGAATACGCTACATTTGGCTTCAAATATAAGTACAATTTTGAAAGTTGTTCGTCATGTCACAACATGAATATTGTGTAGGTTCATAAATATATAACCACATAACAGTACCTACTACTGTAGGTATACTAAGTACTTTATTTATAGCAATAATTTTACCTAACTTACAATTAAAAAGGCATTTTATTACTATTTCGTTAGCTAAGCCGTAAGTGTTTTAGCACCATAAAATTGAACACGTATCTGTATTATAATGTTTTCAAAAAAGTAATAGACGACATGAAATTACCAAAGTACTTATTTTTTCTTATTCAATATAAATAACATTAATTACAATTTATTGTGACAATATTATAATACGGGTTTAATAACTGAACAGTATTAAAATTTGATCACAAAAATATAAACTGGAAGTAAAGTGCATGAGTAATGTTTAGAACTATTACTACTACTATTCATTACGGTATTTTGCAAAACGTTCATACATACCATTAAAAATATTTTTACGGCTTAATCATGCGGTTATTTTATATAATAGGTCTTTACCTATGAAGTTTCCGTTTTACAATACTAGTCATTTGAAACGTAATTTATATACGGCTGGCAATAAATTCTGATTTAAAATAAATTTTGCATTAAAAATATGGAATTGTATGTTCAAATTCAACTAGTTGTTTATGTTATTAAGGAATAAGAGTATCGTCGTGGTAGCAATGCCGCACAAACGATCGCAACATAAATAATGTGTACGGTGTGAACACTGCAACCTTCAGAAGCTTCAAGGTTGGAATCAAAACAATTTTAGTGAAATTGCGTCAAATTGGCAAGGCAAAATAAAAATAAAAGTGAGAATAGCACAAAATGAACGATCGCCAGCGCGACAATCACAGTAACAAAGCCATTTTGAACGGCATTGTCATTGAGGGCGAAAAATGTTTTCTTTTTGACAATCGCAAGCGGTCTTCATTTTTTTCAGCATCTAGGGAATGCCCCAAACGGAAACTTATCTCTAAAAAGTCGTGGATCATGTTTGGTATAATTCATGACAGCTTCTTACCAAACGACACCAGCATTACTGGTGTACTGGTGTATAACAGAATGTGTACTGTGAGAAACTGGACACAATGATGGATCCGGCTAGCCATGGCTAATCGCTCGTACCCGCTACTCCTATACGACAACGATTAACGTCATGCAGCGCAATTTCTAAGGTAAAACAGCTAGGGTTGGAAGTTTTGCGTCATCCACCAGACCTCGCGCAAGTCTTTCCAAAGTTTCGATAACTTCTTCTCGGGAAAAAAGTGCATTACCCGAGACGCAGTACAAAATATATTTGAAAAGTTTGTTGGCAGCTATACACCCGACTTCTTCAAGAAAGTTGAAGTCACCCCGATAAAAATTAAAGATCTAATCAAAGACCTACGTCCTCGAAAGGTTCTCATCGTGACGTCGCAACTCATCGTGATGTTGTCATCTATCTTCAATGCTGCTATGACGAACTGTATCTTTCCCACGGTGTGGAAAAAAGCGAACATTTTTGGCATACATAAATCTGGTAAACAAAAAAAAACATCCAACGAGTTATCGTCTGATTAGCCTCTTCATGTCTCTAGGCAACCTATATGAGCGTCTGCTCTACAACGCCTCAGAGACTTCGTCTCATTCAAGGGCATTCTCATCGACGAACAATTCTAATTCCGCGCAAATCACTCATGCATACAACATGTGTACCTCTATACGGAGCACATTCTCGTGGGGCTTAACCGACTAAAGCCATTCTACACAGGAGCCCTCTTCTTCGACGTCACAAAAGCGTTCGACAGTCTGGCACAACAGTTTGATTTTCACACTATTCAACATGGGCGTCCCGGACAGTCTCGTGCTCATTCTTGTCGAACCACTATTTCGATATCGAGTCGTAGGAACCCGCTCCCCTCCGCGACCGCCCACGGCTGGAGTACCGCAGGGTTCCATCCTCTCGATGCACCTATTTAGTTTATTTATTAACGACATTCCTCAGTCGCCGCCGACATAGTTAGCAAGAGCAGCTGCTCTTAAGTTGTTAGGTTTCCTTCGGAGGCGCTCGGGCAGCTGTTAGCAAATCTCACCCTTCCTGGCTGAGCCTTTGCTCGCCCACCTGTCCTGGTGAAATTGAAGAGGCCGCCGGGCCACCAGCAATCCCCTCATTCGGTTAAAGAATCACAGGCATAGATACACCAATACCATTGGGTGCATATTTCGAGTAATAAAAAAATTTATCGAAAAATTACTAATTTTCTGTATTCTAAATAGCAACTTCGCTAGAAATCTAATATTTTAGGAATCCAGGCAATTCGTAACCTCATATTTGTAGTTTGTGACCATAAAAATCTCTGTTAAGTGCAACTAGCCGTAAAAATAATTTTAATAATTGTTACGGACTGCAATTCAGTTTCCAATGAAGTAGTTAATTAAAATTGTTCAACTGTTATTACTTAGTAAAATCTGATATTTAGACTAATTGGAAAATAATAGTTTCAAACAAAGATTGGTTTTATAAATACATGACGAGAGGTCCGCTCCGTTCGACCGCTTGATCCGGAATGTGTTGTGCAACAAAAGTAACTCGTATTTATAATAAAACGTGGGGTAGTTAAATTTATGATAGTTTTTCCTGAATACCGTCTACACAGTTGTTGACATGCTCAAGCATTGGACTTATAACAGTTATCCAACAATTTTAACATTGACGAAACGGTTAACCCCAACCATCTTAGTTATCTAAATAGCAGAGTTGCGCCGATATACATAATTTACATTTTTGACAAAAAAAATCATTCATTCAAAAAGTCATTAAATGCAATAGTTTTCATTATTACAAAACTAACTTTAACGAGTTTAACAAGTTGACTGCCACAGCACTTTCAAGGATTCCGGTCCCAGAAGCTAATTTATTTAATTTAATCATATTATATTATTAAAAACGTTAATTATAGTACATATTAATCAAGTTCATATTTTGTTCATGTCTTAATAAATTTTCTGTTCATTTAGGCCAACCCTGATTTTTCTTCTCCTCCCAGAGTCCAACTATTTATATCTACACTATTATTCTATGACCTTTGTCATAGCTGTATAAAATTGATCTCTAAACGAGCAGCAAGGTAGCATAGTGAGCTGGTGACCTGGGCAGGTAAACAACCTATGAGTTATCTTGTAATTGGCAGTCACTATGTTATATATATAATTGAGTGACAACTATGATCTTATATAACACTGGGAGTGGTCCATGCTATCTTGACTTCTGATCGAAATATTACAGGCTGAATTGACATCATATTTGATGAATAAATCAATTTTCCATTTTGATAATTTTTGATAGCAATATTTTAGCCATCAAATAAACAGGTATTTTTAACATTTATATAACATTAAAATGCGGAAATGCTTTATATTATCTATTAATAACATTATTTAAGTCAACATTATGTCATAGCAATCTGCTTCAAAAATCTGTCATGTACAGATGTTAAATTAAAATCAATGTGCATCATACAGGCACAATAATATATAATATTATGTATTTGTTATTTCTATATTTCTACCTTTTCTCTGACAGCTAATAAATAAATAAAAACAAGTATATAATAGCTTTGTGGTATTCAGTTCCAAGCAAATGCTAGTTAGTATAATTTTTTTACAAGTTTAAAAGTATACATATCTTAAGGGTATTAAGTAAATGTAACCTTTTACATACAATATAATAACTAAGAAATTTATATTTTAGGCACATTCGAGAATACTTTACCAAAGTAACTAAGCATCTAATATTAATAAGTACAAAAGGAAGAGTTATGTTTTCCTTACAGAACTAATTCAGTATATCCCTTTTGATTTTCCTTTCATGGTTTACTATCTGAATCAGACTGATTACTTGTTTCCTGTTTGGGATTTTCGTCATTTTTACCTTCGATTCTCATTTTCTCATCACCTATAAGATACATAGCTTCATCATATGTTGGAGGTGGAGGCTCGGAGCTGGATGGCTGTGGTTTGCTTGTGGCAGCACCAGAAATCAGAGCATCATAAGAAGGGGGAAGAGTAACACTTGAAGCTGTTCGAGGCATATGTCCACTATATGCCTGTTCAGCCTGGACTGCAGCCATATCCTGTAAAAAAAAAAAACATTGTTTACTAAGACAACATTTATCAAAAAACGAGACAATATAGCTAAGTTTTTCCACCTTGGCCTGGATAGGAGGTATAAAATCCAAACATTTTTTAGTGTCAAGATCATATTGTATAGATAATTAAGAAATTTTAATTTTCACGGGTCATATGATTAACAAATACTGCCAATGAGTTTAATGTATTACTGAATTTAATGTTAACTACATTAAGTTTTTAATTCATCTTCATCATCATCAATACATGCAATTATTATTGTTATTGCATTTCTACAATTTCATAGGAAATTCATCGATCTGAAATGTGATTAAACAGTTTTTACAGTATAATCTAAATATTTTCATTGTTAAAAAAAAAAGTTGACAGTTTTTACAGTTTAATCTAAATATTTTCATTGTTAAAAAAAAAAGTTGAGATAAAAGTAGTTTTTTACTTAATCAGAAAATGTATAATTTTTAATTGAAGTGGAAATTATAGGAGTAAGAAAAGATAGTCTTCGTGTGGTTAGTTTTTTTTTCCTACCTAAGCTGATACCCTTGAGAGGCTACGTCAGCGTAACCTAACAAGTAGGTGAGCTCACGGAGCTCAAACCTGACGACGTTGCTAACACTAACCCTAACAAGAGCAGTGCTTCGCAGAATCTACCACCGGATCGGAAACGCGACCCACTGAGAAGATCCGGCGAGAAACTCAGTGGGCTGAGTTTGTGGGTTAATTTACTCGCCGAGTCCTTCGTCGCAAGCGACGGGTTTGACGAGAACCATGACCGCTGCTTGAGATATCTAAAAACACCGTAAGTGGATCGGGAGGATCCTAAATGACGTGATTGGTTAGTAACAAAGTTTCTAGGCACAGATTTGCAGCATGTGGTTCACATTGTGTTGCAATATTTGCAATTATAGCCAGTTTTCACTGCAATCCGCGATCTGATATTAACTCGATGTGATCTTAACAAATAGTAATATATTACACAAAATATGTTCATCAACCATATTTCAGTGTACAAGTAGATGAGTCAAATGTTTCAAAATGTTTAAAAGTTTTAGGAATGATCCAGAAGCGAGAATATTGGGTACCGTATAAATTGAAGCCGAGAGACGTCGAACGGCTTTTTCTCATGTGTGAACTACTGCTTCAATGGTAGAAAAGAAAAGGTTTTTTCACCGCATTGTGATTGGCGATAAATAGTGGATACACTACGATAATCCAAAGCGTATAAAATGTTGGGGTANTTTCAAAATGTTTAAAAGTTTTAGGAATGATCCAGAAGCGAGAATATTGGGTACCGTATAAATTGAAGCCGAGAGACGTCGAACGGCTTTTTCTCATGTGTGAACTACTGCTTCAATGGTAGAAAAGAAAAGGTTTTTTCACCGCATTGTGATTGGCGATAAATAGTGGATACACTACGATAATCCAAAGCGTATAAAATGTTGGGGTAAGCCCGGGATTATGGCCGGCCATGCATCAACATCGTCTGAAAAACCATATATTAATGGTTTGAAGCTTCTTCTCTGTATTTGGTGGGATCAGCAGGGTGTCATTTATGAGAAGCTGCTCAAACCGAATGAGACTATCACGGGGGATGCCTATTAACTTCAATTGATGCATTTAAGCCGAGCCTTAAAGGAAAAACAACCACTATATGAGCAGAGACACGTCAAAGTGATTTTACTACATGACAACGCTCGGCCTCGTGTTGTAAAATCAGTGAAAATCGACCTGGAAATGCTTCAATGGAAAGTTTTACATAACCCGCCATATTCACTTTTTTTTTTTTTTCGGGCCGAGAGCCTAACGTCTTACGAGGTCCCCGCGCCTAGGGGGCGTGCGGGGTATGTGGGATTCAACGATCTGCAAGGTGTTGGAAGCAGACCGCGGGCCCAAGGAATTTTAGGGCCCACCCACTAAACGACTCCCCTGCAGTCTTACGTCCGATCTCCGTTCGGGGTCAAAACCCGGTCAGAGTAGAGGGGTTCCCGCGGTCAACACTACAACCAAACACGCGGCGCCACCCCGAATCCGACCGACGGGTCGTCGAGGCGATAGTCGACGACAAACGACGTCGGTCACCGCGGTACGGCGGCCCTACCAGGCCGCTCGGATGATGCCGCTGGTGTTCCGGGATACCCCGCTGGGCCAAAACCAGCCTGCCAGGTCGGAACGCGATACACCGCCGACCGGGTTGCTCTTCCATAGTATATTCGGCAACGACAGGGACGACGAAAATGCGGACCGCATCGCAGTCCGCAGCCGCCGACGCGTCGTCCCGTCCTCCTGGTGCCAGCGCGCTAGAGCGACGGTAGCGTGCGGCGCAGTCTCAACCCCCTTAGGTCGCCCCGTGACCATCACCGGGAGGAGACTGCCTCCTCATAGGGGCCGGAGCTGGACAAAGGCCCTCCTCCGACCCCCGGCTCGGGGGCGGCGGCACGACGCCGAGAGGGAAGAACTCTCCCTATCCCGTTCCGCCGCCTCCTTCTGCGAGATGGTGGACTCGCACAAATCGAGCATCGCCTGCCAGGACTCGTCGCTGCCCAGCATCGTAGCCACGACGGTCGGAAGCGACAAGTCCGGTCCTATTTTCGCAACGAGGACGCGGCGCTGCTCCGCGAAAGCGGGGCAGTACGCGAGCGTGTGCTCCGCCGTGTCCTCGTTGCAGCCACTGCAGTGGTGGCACTTCGGCGTCGGCTCCCTCCGGGCGACGAGGTGCAGGTAGCGACTGAAACAGCCGTGTCCCGTGAGCACCTACGTCGCTCGGAAGGTGAGACGTCCTCGGTCGCGATTCACCCAGTCCGAGAGGACCGGGCGGATCGCCTCGACGGTCCGTCGCACGTAGGCGGAGTCCGCCAGGCGGCGAGGCCATATTCACCTGACATAACCCCTTCTGATATTTACCTATACTGTTTGATGGCACATGCTGACATGCTGCACTAGCTGACCAGCACTTTCATTTGTATGAAGAAGCTAAAAAATGGACCGATTTTTGGATATTCTCAAAAGACACATCGTTTTTCAGACACGGAATTCATATACTGCCAGAAAGATGGGAGAAAGTAGTCACTAGCGATGGTCAATACTGTGAATAAAATGTTTTTGTTCCTTTAATTGAAATAAAACTTTTATTTTCAAAACGAAACAGCGAGAACTTAATAGCCTAATAAAGTGGTTCGTATTATAAAAGAAAAAAGAAGTACATAACTCTATTTAGTTAATTTTCGGTCTTTTTTATTTTATTTTTATTGCCCTTGTAGGCAGACGAGCATACGGCCCACCTGATGGTGAGTGGTTACAGTCGCCCATGGACTTCAGCAATGCCAGGTCTGTTGGGACAATATGAAAACATTTTTCATATAGGATTCTTGAACCTTTTGACTTTCTTACTGAAGTTACTTTGTTTAAATAAAAAAATATATTTAATGAAATTCTGACATTCATATTATGTTTAAAATACATCTGAATGATAATAGAATGCAACATCGTATGTAAAAAAAGTTTGAAAAATTTGTATTGTTATTGTATTATTTATTCCAGATGCTGATAGACAAGTTTATGGTTCCACCTTTATGAATGCATCTATTACTGAATTGGTCACACAATTCTTCCTAAGCATACTCTATAAAAAAATGTCTAGCAGTCTATTTGAGCAATTGACAATTACATCCTTGTCTCGTTTAGTAAACTCTTATATGCAGTAAACATAATTCAAATTATTTAAAGCTGTTGAAATTTTCAGGTGAAAAGTGACAAATTGTGTGTTTATAATAATGACGTGGTTTGCACACTGAATGAACTTACTCTTTCATATTATTTTGGAACTGCTGTAGCAAATTGTTTAAGAAAGTAGTTAGTTCTCAGTCGTCTGCTAAGTAGTGATGTCTTCTTCTTATTTTTATGATTTTTTATCTCAGTCTTACTACTTTTTCAGAAGGGTATTTATAAGAACAATCCATGCATGAAGAGATACAAGGCGATCAGTAAAATTATTAATAGTTCAGTAAAAAGCATAGTAAAATTATTAATTCAATGAGCACTTTTGCGGTAGGCAGCGGCTTGGCTCTGCCCCTGGCATTGCTGAAGTCCATGGGCGACGGTAACCACTCACCATCAGGTGGGCCGTATGCTCGTCTGCCTACAAGGGCAATAAAAAAAAAAAAAAACAAACACTACTCACCTAATTGTAATTTAATCCTTCAAACTCAAAATAATATTTAAGAAAGATTGTTTTTTTTTTCTTTTTAGCTATATTTATGGCCATAATTTGGTATCTGCATGTAACATGCCTAATGTTCATTACAAAGAAAACTTCACCACATAAAATATTCTACTTCCGATAAAATTTGTAGAACTGTAATTGTACAAATATGTGCACATTTCTCATTTTTATGTAAATGAGAATGTCCTGCTATTATCATTAATGTTTTTAGAAGCATACTAGAGGCTTTCGCTAATGTATGAGTTCCAAAGCTTAAAGGTTTCTTAAGGAATTTTTTTAATGATTACAGAGTATCGTGATTACAGACATGACTCACCCGTATAATAGCTCTCTGATGTAGAAGCATTTGAATAACACTTTTTCTTCGTAAATACAACATACTTTTAACAGCAACCATCATTCCCGAACATATAAAAATCGGACCTACAAGCCACATGTGTCCCAAATTGTTGAGAATGTATCCATCACCGTCACCCAAAGCTAATACAGTTATTACTGTACCCACGGAAAACAAAACCATGGAAAGTACGAAATAGGAATAGCTAGTGCAATCACATCTTCCAAATCTCTGGTCTTCGTCGAAATCATAATCACGATGTCGAAGTCGATGTAAACGTTGTCGTATAAACGGGCTATCAAATACGGTAGCCATCTTCTCAATTGAACCGAAAACAATAATGTTTGATATTAAAAGTTCATTATTTTTAATTACTTTCACTTTCACTGCACCTAATTACCATGTAACACCGTAGGTAATATACAATTGTTACAAGCGTAAACGTACAACAATCACATTCGTTATCAAATAAGTTTGATTGTTGCTAATTTGCGGATTGACTATTTCGATTGGGCATGTTAATCGATGATTTCAAAACATAATATCGATAATTAAAAAAATCGCTAACATTCGATCATTCTTGTGTGCAATCTGTTTTCATTTAGAAAATATTGTCTATTACACATTGATTAAGTTTATCACGACGTCATGACTCAACAATGGCTCACTGAATTTGGCCCCTCTTTTTTTGATTTTCGATTTTATTTTTTTTAATTATCTGTTCGTCGTTTGTCCGTAGCGTGTTTGTAGCGATAAAAATAAAGATATCTAGTAAAGGGGGCCAACTTAAGGGTGATCATTTGTTTAATTAATTATAAATAAACAAAAGACGAACCAACTATTTTTACATTCGAACATTAACGAACAAACAACGAAAAAATAATAAAAAATAAAAAAATTGTTAATCCAAAAAAGGGGGGCCAAATTCAGTGAGCCAATACAGATTATACTTTAATATAAAATAGTAAATCCCATGGAGTTAATAAGAGGTGAATGAAGTTAGCCCCTCAAAAAAAAATTTTTTTCCTGTTTTCTACTTATTTTCTATTAATTCGTTTGTTCATCATTTGTTCTTGATTGTTCACTGTTAATAATTGTTTGTTCCCCATTTATTTATTTAAAAAAAAATATTAAAAATATATCTAAAAGTTAGCCCCTCGATTGCAATTTTTAATATTTTTTCGTCCTTAATTACTCGTAAATATTCATTTTCGATTGTTCTTATATAAAATACGTTTGTTCTCTTTCGAAATTACTCATTTTTTGTTTAATTAATTGTATTAGTTGAATAAATGTATACAAAATATGTGTACTGCGCATGCCATAAGTGTATAATCTATGGCGCATGCGTCAACTATAATGCCTAAACTTTCTACGCGGTTTTAATCGTGAAAAAAAAACAATTATAAATCCTGAAGGATCAATTAATTGGTATACAGTTTAATTAAAAAAATTAAAAACAAAATAAATAAAATAATGTGCATTCGCGTAAAGTTAGACCAAATACATTTTTTCCATCCTCCTATATACCTATCGCTATGAAGGTATAAAAAAGATAGGTTAAGAGTTCACATAGGTAATATAAACAAATAAGTAAATATGTTCATTATTTATCTTTCAAGAGATAATGTAGGTATACATTATAATAACATTTTGACACAGTCGAAATTATATTCCTAACATTAGTAAAATAACATTTTAATATTTTTTTTATAGGTTATGTATTGAAATTGTTGGAAAATTATTTCATGTTTTAGCTGGAAAACTACATGGAGAATTATATGCAATACAAGATAATGAGCTCCATCAAATGAATTCGAATGAAACCAAACTGTTTACCATCCAAATTCGATTGTCGGGCAGATAGAAAACGAAAATTCACTCATAGTGAACCTCGGCCTGCATTTGTGAAACGGCAAAGACTCACTATTATCAAGGAAATTGAAGAGACGACTAAAAATGAGATGTGTCGTATTATTATACCTTTGCCATCTTGTAGTCAAGGTAGGTGTAACTGTCAATAATTAGTTACACTCACAGATCTCCTAATCAAATAACAATATCAGAAAAAATGAGAATAGTTAGTTAGTTAGTGGAAGTAGCCAAAATGGGCAAGTGGATCTCAGTTCCTATTACATAAGGTACTAGGAAGTTTGTGAAAATGAAAATTTATCACAGTGTAATATCACTTACTTACTTTAACAGTGAAGGAAAACATTGTGATGAAACCTGCACACCTAAATGTTCTTAGGATTTTCTTAGGTGTGTAATCCACCAACCAGCACTAGGCCAGCGTGGTGGACTAAGGCCTAAAAACCCTCTCAATGGTAGTGAAGGCCAGTGTCCAGCAAGGGGATATATTATATGGGCTGATGATGATGACTAGGAAGTTAAATACTACTACTACTACTACGACAGTACACATATAATCCTATATATTTACAAACTATACGTTTGTTGGAAATTGCTAACATTATTTCATATTTCCAGATGTCCAGCCACTTGAAAATAGGTGTAGTAATGACAAAGCTATCCAAGTAGCTCCAGCACAGGAACACAAAGGCAAGGCAAGTGTGTATTGCCACATCACCCCTTAATATATCTGAAGCAAGTATAAGTAAACAATCAGAACCAGCAAAAAAAAAACTGTTGTTCCTGAGGACAAATTTGACAGTGATGAGTCAAATGCACCAGCAACAGAAGGATCAACTGTTGACTATGAGTTATCTCTCTATATCTCCACTCCATCAAAGACTTGTGCACTTCAGACTATAGCTCTCAAGAAGACTAAAAAGTTGAAAAAATGAATGTGTTAACAACTTTATCTAAAGTGAAAAATAAACAACGTTTATATATTGGTCTTCCACAAGAATTATGTTTCATAATAGGCTTGATTGAGAAACATACAAATGTTTCTGAACAAAATATTATATTATGTCTGATGAGAATAACATTAAATAGAACATTCTCTCAATTGGCTGATGATTTCGATTTATCTGTAAGTCAAGCAAGCAATATATTTTTCAACAAACTCCCAGAAATTGCAAATGTAATATCACCCCTTGTTAGACTATAAAAAAAACAATACAATAAATATATATGCAGGAAGGATAATTGATGTCAACTTGGTGGAAAATAGAAAGTTTTTAGATAGTTTGCCACCTACAAAACTCTTTAATTAAATAAGTAATCCTTACTTATAAATAGGAAGTTTTGTAAGTATTTTCACTCTTCATTCAAAAACTACTGAACAGATTTTAATAAGACTTTTATGCTGGTCTTCTATGGCTAGCAACTCATTATTATTTTGATTCTGTTTTCCACAAATGTGCTAAATATGGGCTTATATATATGAAAAGGAATAAATATTAATGTTATGTAACCTTTGTACCTGTATGTTAAGAATAATTTTTAATAAAACATAATTTAAATTGAAATATTATTTTTATTAAATCACATTCACTTTGTACACATCAATATTTTGTACTCCCTAAAAGGAAAATAGGTATAAAGTTTTTTTTAAATATTTAACATTACATTTTTGTGTAAGATTAGAAAATTGTTATTCTTCCAAAAAGAAACTACATTATCTAACAACTGTGCAACTTACTCGGAATCAAAATCAATACCTACTAATTATAGTGACCTGATTAGTTTTTTCAAAGTTGCTGGATGCTACACAAAAGTAGCAAGTTTTACTTTTAGCACAATACATATGCATTTGAACTTGTGCATAATATCTTTCTTTAATTTTTTTTTGCCTTTTTATTTATGGAAACATAGCATTACTCACTTGCTTGTTTGTAGATCTATCAAAAAAACATAATTTATGTTTTTTTTAGCACAGTGGGCAATACCCTATTATTCATATTAATTATATACGGCGCGGCGATGCGAAAATTCATTACTGAATTATTTAAGAATGATAGGCATAATATAATATTTTAATTCGCGATCTGTTTATAATTTTTAATATATGATTTAAAAATAAGTTATCTTTAATATTTTTAATTTTGTGATTTATGGGGTGGTCACAGTCATTATTATAAAAATAGAAATTTTGAGGAAATATAAATGTTTAATACAAATTATTTTGATAATCGAAATAAATTCATATCAATCCAAATTCATATTTGAACTATGAAAATTGTATGGTATGTAAACAGAAATATATTTTATAATTATAATGACTATTTATTCCATGCAGTATCTGTGCAAGCTTCTCTAACCGACACTGCAACTAGAATAAAGTCTAATAAAGAATAAGAATAAACTTTTCTTCGAAGCTCAATTCTACAAGGGTATTCAATCAGATAGCTATCTATCTGTCGTTCCTGTATGAAATTTTGGTATGTCGAAATCTTGGATAAATCCAGCAAAGCTAAATAAAGTATTTACCTAAAAAATATGTTTATGCTTAAAGTCACGTGTTTATGTTATTCGAAAGTATTAAGCTCCAAGCAGCATTTAGCTCCAACTAAATTCATTAAGAACCAATTTTTCAATCGATGATTAAAACAACATTAATACTGAGAATGAATATTTATTTATAAAATACACATATGTTTTGACCACGAATTTTGCACGATAATTTAAATTAATATTCATTAATATTAATTTAAATAAATATGAATTAATCTTCTTCTTCTATAACCCATAGTCAACAGTTGATCCTTCTGTTGCTGGTGCATTTGACTCATCACTGTCAAATTTGTCCTCAGGAACAACAGTTTTTTTTTTTGCTGGTTCTGATTGTTTACTTATACTTGCTTCAGATATATTAAGGGGTGATGTGGCAATACACACTTGCCTTGCCTTTGTGTTCCTGTGCTGGAGCTACTTGGATAGCTTTGTCATTACTACACCTATTTTCAAGTGGCTGGACATCTGGAAATATGAAATAATGTTAGCAATTTCCAACAAACGTATAGTTTGTAAATATATAGGATTATATGTGTACTGTCGTAGTAGTAGTAGTAGTATTTAACTTCCTAGTCATCATCATCAGCCCATATAATATATCCCCTTGCTGGACACTGGCCTTCACTACCATTGAGAGGGTTTTTAGGCCTTAGTCCACCACGCTGGCCTAGTGCTGGTTGGTGGATTACACACCTAAGAAAATCCTAAGAACATTTAGGTGTGCAGGTTTCATCACAATGTTTTCCTTCACTGTTAAAGTAAGTAAGTGATATTACACTGTGATAAATTTTCATTTTCACAAACTTCCTAGTACCTTATGTAATAGGAACTGAGATCCACTTGCCCATTTTGGCTACTTCCACTAACTAACTAACTATTCTCATTTTTTCTGATATTGTTATTTGATTAGGAGATCTGTGAGTGTAACTAATTATTGACAGTTACACCTACCTTGACTACAAGATGGCAAAGGTATAATAATACGACACATCTCATTTTTAGTCGTCTCTTCAATTTCCTTGATAATAGTGAGTCTTTGCCGTTTCACAAATGCAGGCCGAGGTTCACTATGAGTGAATTTTCGTTTTCTATCTGCCCGACAATCGAATTTGGATGGTAAACAGTTTGGTTTCATTCGAATTCATTTGATGGAGCTCATTATCTTGTATTGCATATAATTCTCCATGTAGTTTTCCAGCTAAAACATGAAATAATTTTCCAACAATTTCAATACATAACCTATAAAAAAAATATTAAAATGTTATTTTACTAATGTTAGGAATATAATTTCGACTGTGTCAAAATGTTATTATAATGTATACCTACATTATCTCTTGAAAGATAAATAATGAACATATTTACTTATTTGTTTATATTACCTATGTGAACTCTTAACCTATCTTTTTTATACCTTCATAGCGATAGGTATATAGGAGGATGGAAAAAATGTATTTGGTCTAACTTTACGCGAATGCACATTATTTTATTTATTTTTTTTTTAATTTTTTTAATTAAACTGTATACCAATTAATTGATCCTTCAGGATTTATAATTGTTTTTTTTTCACGATTAAAACCGCGTAGAAAGTTTAGGCATTATAGTTGACGCATGCGCCATAGATTATACACTTATGGCATGCGCAGTACACATATTTTGTATACATTTATTCAACTAATACAATTAATTAAACAAAAAATGAGTAATTTCGAAAGAGAACAAACGTATTTTATATAAGAACAATCGAAAATGAATATTTACGAGTAATTAAGGACGAAAAAATATTAAAAATTGCAATCGAGGGGCTAACTTTTAGATATATTTTTAATATTTTTTTTAAAATAAATAAATGGGGAACAAACAATTATTAACAGTGAACAATCAAGAACAAATGATGAACAAACGAATTAATAGAAAATAAGTAGAAAACAGGAAAAAAAAATTTTTTTTGCGGGGCTAACTTCATTCACCTCACAACTAATACTACTACTACTTAAAATACTAACTTTAAGGTTTTTTTTAAGAGATTTTATGACCTGGTAACTGAGACCTTTAAGTCATGTTTTATTTTAATTTATATTATTCATATTTTTATGAAAAATGATATTATGGAGTGAAATGAAATGAAGATGATTAATTTGAGACACTAATCAACTGGGATGAAATTAAATGAAATGAGATGATATGGGATAAATATAATCTCAGTAAAATGGTGGTCATTTAGTAAGATTTTTTCAGTGGACTTTTTGGAGGGTCCCGAGAAGTTACGTCCAGCGGCTTTGTTTCATTTTCCCACATTTGTGCACTTTCACAGATATTAAACAGCTAATAAACCACAATTATTACACATTTAAACCCGAAGAAACACTAAATAGACAACTTAAAACAAATCACACAACTTCACTCCTCGCGTTCCTGCCAAAAAGTTAACTTTAAGGTAAATCTATATTACGCATAGAGTTAGTTGTAGGTACCGTACTTATTCCATGATATTACTTAAGTAGGTAAATGTAGAGGTAATTTTAGCATAGACTAGGCTGCATACCTACTTCAGTGCATTTTAGTAACATTTGACGTCTGTCAGTTTTATCTTCATAGTGAGGTAACCTGCTTAAAAACATCGATTAAAGCGAATGAATCGATACAGACTTGAAACATATGTGAATTTTGAAAATCATCAGGCGAATCCCTGTCCCATTATTATTTTTTCTTTCGGAAATTTAAAGAGCAAAATAAGACAAGTACATAATTTAACAAAAAATATTACATTTATTCGTGAAGTATCGGAACTGTTATTAGTTTTGTCATCATCATCACTGCTGTCAGCACTCAGATATAGTATTAATTCATTTTCAATAATATTGTTTATTCTCACATTTCGATCAAAATCTTGTAAAACAATTTTCTTTGTTTTCTCTACGAGGTTTCTCTAGTCTTCATCATCATTTTAGCAGTACTGAAGAGTGGTTCAGTATTGTTCTTTGCTGCATGATCCTTTATTTGTCCCTGTGGCTTTATACTGACAATGGTAGGGAGGCAATCGAACAACTTCGTGTCCATACTCTAGTTCATCAATTACATAACGGAGCTTGGATGGCTTAGTTGCTTTTACCAGATTTAACATCTCAACTTATTAAAGTTGGACTTGCTTTCACACCATGTTTCATATTAATCAACTACATTTCATTTCATAATAATAGGCTGGGGAAAAAGTGTCTTCGCATTTTTTATGAAAATTCACAACATTTTTTTATATAGTTTATTTACATCTAACCAAAGTATGTAGGTATTATTTTGTTCGATAACTTTTTGCCATCTTGTAGTTAGGGACATGATCCCATTGCTATAGAAATTTTGGGGTTTCTGATCAAAATACTGCAACAATTGATTTTGGCAGTCCTCTCGTGATGTTAATCTGACACTGCTTAAAGAATTCTGAAGAAACTGAAACAGGTGGAAATCTGAAGGTGCAAGGTCAGGACCATACGGCGGAAGCGTTATCGCCTCCCAGCCAAGCTCTCTTAATTTTTGCTTAGTGGCTAAATACCCCACGCTTTTTTTTTAAATAAAATTTAAATTTGTTTACACTATTTTCAATTTAAATTTATTAAAAGTTATTTTCTATGTTTTAGTTCAATTCTATATAAGGCGCTTTTTTTTAGTTTTTTTAAACTATTATTTACTTTTTATTTTTTAGTTGAATTTTCTTTAAAGGCGTATTTTTAAAACTATTAAGTACCTTAACATCAATTCTTGCCTTATCGACTATAGATAAAAATTATATAAATTGGTAACAATCTTATCGGTAATTATTACTATATAATATTATAAATATGTAATGGTAATTGAAAATAGTGTGCAGTTTTAACAAAACGAAAAAATATATTATTTTATGTCCGGCGTTACAAGTTTACGTTGTTGAATTTAGATGAATTGTCAAATGTTACCTATTAAATTACCTCGCATTCGTGTATTTAGGGCACTGAAATATGAAACCTAAAAGGTCTATGATTTAGGGCCGTGTATAAAATGACAGTAAATTGCACAGAAAATACACCAAAAAAACACCGGCAACACCGAGTTCTGTCTGTATCTGTAAATAAAAATTAATTCTTATTTTTCATATATTTTTCGTTTTGTTTGCGCAGCGATTGACAAATTGGTTTTGAAAATTAAATGTGCATTTTGTGTAGTGTAACTGTTTTAATTACAATAAAATTGGATTATTTTATTCAGTTTTTAAAGTAATAAATCTGAATTTGCAAACGTTTCATAATGGCCCCCTTTGTTTGTTACCTTTTTTTAACTTTTACCTTAGACATAGGTGAGTTTTCTGCACGTTTACCAGAACTACTTAATAATTCCGGGATTTATCGCTTTATTAATATATAATAATGATATTTTAGCTGTTTCTGCTTTGAAACTGTCAATTACAAACAATGGACCTGCTGTGCTGGGCTCCAACGTTACTTTTAGAGCAATTGTATCAGATTACAACGAAGAAACTCTTAAATATTCATTTTTTGATGATTTGCGACATAGTGAGTCTGTAAGTACCGACTTAACTATCATATAAATATTAAGTTCCAGAAACTATGTGAATAAATAAATTTGATGCCACAGTTTTGCCTATTTTTGCCATGAAGCAACAATGAATTGTAGTTTGAAGGACCGTATAGCTTTTGTTCCAATAAAGTTGAGTCTTAAATCCAAATGTTGGTGTTGGCATTCATGTTGAGCTGTCAATGGGCTCTAGTTTATGGATAACATGAGTACTGATAACAAAAAATAATAATTAAAAGAGCTATTTGTTTCATGTAAACAAATATTTCTGCACCTTGTGAGATTTTATTAAAGATGAAATCTAAAACATTTTCTGTATGGTTTTCTCTAGTATACTATTTACTGCTATCAGTGGTTGGCATAATAGTATTGTAACCCTATTTAAAAAAAAATTATAACTAAAAGAACTAATATTTTATCAACTGCAGTTTATCGAAGCGAAAAACTCATGTACATGGATAGTAGAATATCCACGTCATTTGTATAAAGCTGGACAATATGTTACTAAAATTTCCCTGGAGAAGAATTTCTTAGGTATATGGTGGCCAGTTTCAACAAGTAAAACTGTATTTCAGTTAACAGGTACGTTTTAAGATTATTTCAGGCTTATTGTCTTTAAATTAGGTTCAAATTGGGGCTTAGACTGCTTAGAGAAAGTTTATAATTATAATTTCCAACCAAGTCTGTAATGTAATATGAATTCATTCCTAAGTTGAGAAATTATAACCACTTTGGAGCAAAAGTCTATAATACCTTACATTATTAACCTATCAACCCTGATGAAGGATGAATAATAATCTACAACCAAAATCCCCAACTGGCCTTAAAGATAATAAAATATTATTCATGCATACTAATAACAATGTATGTTTTAGATAAGAGCCCAGTAATGACTACTATATGCAGGATGGGAGCTCCATTATGTTACAATAAAATAGAGAATCCCTTTGCCCATTCTACAGTGAATTCTTGTTAAATATCGAGTAGTGCGATTAAAAACACTTGACTTGAAAATTTTTTGAGTTTATTAAGTGGTTTATTTATTTACCTTTTACAAATATGGCTTGTTCTGGTGCAGTTTTTTTGAACAGTTAAGATTTCAACTTGATTGAAAATATGTAGAAATCTTTGCTTGCTTGTTGTATCATGGCAATCAATTTTCTCGAGTCCCTTGAGCCCCCTACACATCTAGTGAATCCAGAATAGCCCCTAAAGCCTAATGGCACTAGATAGGCAAAAAAAGACAATTAATCAGTAGGTACTACAGTTTTTATTTTGTTTATGATCAGGAATAAAAATATGTGAGTCCACTTTGTTGTCAGTGTCAGTGTGATGTTATCAATTCCATATTTTCCAAAGATTAGTTTCATTTCAAGAAATCCTGATCCTGAATGATTTGGTTTCAGAATATCTATCATGTTCCAAATAATTTTTATGTTCTGCAGTAAAAAAAAATAGTTGCGCTTCCTTTAAAAAGAACTGTCAATAAAATCTTATGAACCTCAGAGATTTGATTTAGGTTTGTTTCTACTATGCTGTTTGTAATATTCCAGATTTTAAAAGTCATAGTTATAGTTAAAACTAATATATACAGTCGTGGTCAACTAATTAGGGACATTCAAGATAGTGAAGGGCTATAACCGGCTATGTACATTTAAATATAAAACCCTATTGATTTCTCAGCGCCTATTATTTGCATAATGTGGTCTGATTATTATGCTATAAATGGCTGTAAATAAAAGATTTAATAAATAGAAAAAGTATTTAATATCAAAGATTAAACATGTATTAAATATTAAGGTACAATTCTGTAGTGGACATTTAATTAAGGACAGTAAAGTATAATGAGAAATATAGTTACACGAAACTTATAATCTTCAGTGTTATAATATCTTTAACAGCTACATTTTATTACGTGTAAAATCAGTACCCAGTAGCAAAACATTTGTTAGTAATTACCGCTTGACACTGTGGCATAGACATTATCAGTTTCTGACATGTTTCGACAGGAATGTTTGCCCATGCCTCACAAAGAGCTTCATGCAGTTCATCCAAATTTGTATTACGATAAGTGGCAACTTTTTTCTTGATTTCGTGCCAAAGGTGCTCAATTGGGTTGAGGTCCGGGCTATTTGCTGGCCAATCTAGCATCGATACAAACTGACTGGTAAGAAACGACTTGACTGAATGGGCGATATGTTTCGGGTCGTTATCCTGCTGAAACGTCCATATAATAGGGAGATGCTCCTCAGCATAGGGAAGCATAGTTTCTTCCAATATTGCCTTGTATTGATGTTGGTCTAAGTTACCCTGAACTTTCTTCACAGGTCCCACTCCACGTTCATAAAATGAACTCCATATTTTAATGTTTCCACCGCCATGTTTCACCTGTTTTTTTGTGAATCTTGGATTCATTTCCGCTTTTACAGGACGCCGCACATATTGCCTTCCATCTGAAGAAATCAAATTAACCTTGGTCTCGTCAGAGAAAAGTACATGGTGCGATTAGGCGTAGGTCCTATATTCTTTCTTCAACAACGGTACTTTGTGAGCCACTTTTCCGAACAACCCTGCTTCTACCAAACGTCGTCGAACGGTTCTCGCAGATACACCGGCTCTTTCGTTTGCCCCAAACACTTCGTGTTTAATTAAAATAGAGCCTAGAAACGGATCTTTCTTACCTAACCTGGTTATCATTCTATCTTCTTGCGGAGTCGTTTTTCTCGATCTTTTTGTTCTGGACACAAGCTGTGTTATAGCGCTTGAAATGTTGCACTGCATTGCATACCATAGTTTTTGAACAATTTAAATATTGTGCTATCCTTCGGTATGACCAACCACGCCCGAAAAACTTCATGATAATTTTTCGTAGTGTTGGATCGCACCTTTAATTTTTGCCCATTTTTCTTCAAAATAATTCTCAAAACTTAAAATAAAAAATCTGGATTGCCGCCAAAACGACCACTAAACAATAAAAAAAGAAACAAAAAAGTATTAAAATTCTAATTTTGAAATTAGAACGCAATACATCGGTGTCTCTAATTAAATGGCCAGCCAGCATTCTTTGAACCAATAGCACTATGATATTGTATCAGCTATACTGTAAAGAGGTTTAATGTTTAAGAAGTTGTTATTGTTTGTATAATCGCGCACATAAATGACTAATTACACTTACATGTAAAAGATATGGAATATTGCTAAGACTCGTTGGAAAATAAAANGGATGAGTGGACGAGCTCACAGCCCACCTTATGTTAAGTGGTTACTGGAGCCCATAGACATTTACGACGTAAATGCGCCACCCACCTTGAGATATAAGTTCTAAGGTCTCAAGTACAACGGCTGCCCCACCCTTCAAACCGAAACGCATTACTGCTTCACGGCAAAAATAGGCAGGGTGGTGGTACCCACCCGCGCGGACTCACAAGAGGTCCTACCACCAGTAAGATTATATATTATTTATTATATCATATATATAATGTATTATTATATTATATCTGTCTATATATATGTCTTTTAGGTCTGTCTCTCTAGATATTGATCTTTGTTAGTGTGGGCTTCAAACTCCTCCCAATTTGTACAAATATAGGTGTTGTAATGTCATTTTTATTCTGCCAGGATTTGAGCAGGTAATCTATGGAAGTCATTGGTTCTCTATCAGACATAACTTCTGAATCAAGGCAAAAGTGAGTTTTGTCGCTCAGAGCTGCCGTTTTCGTATACCATTAAGTTAATTATGTCGTGTATTAAGTGGTTGGTTTAAAAAACGGTACCCTCGATAAGGTCCTTAGCTTGGTACCATAGCTCGCCAAGGGCCCTTTTTCCATGATGTCTGTATTCTTACCTACCACATTTTTTTTAAATTTAGACCCATCATTGTTTTAAGCTCAACTTTAGGATTAACAGTTCATGGTCGGATCTACTGTCTGTCTCTGGCAATGTGTTGGCATTTATCATAGAAACCTTTCTATCGTTATTGGACTAATATATAATCGATTAGGTTATGATATTAATCGTCTGAACTGTTTGTTGTTACTACGTCTAGTCTAGTCTGTATGAATCGTTTGCTTGACCGACCATAAAATGACCAAAAGCCTACACAACTGCTATGATGATCAGACCTATCTCAATTTTTATTATTAAACTGACCGCTTGAGGATTTTTTTGGGAGATTGAATGTTCAGTTTGGTTTATGATCTAGGTGTATGGTTACTCCGCCACGTCTCCATTGTCAGAACCCCGTCAATTATCTAACAAGGTGTACTATGGTACTAGGTATCAATCCTGCAGGCATTGTATTCGCCAACATCATCTGAGTCTAGTCTAGTCTTCTAAGTCTTTCATAAATATGTGTCATACATTACTTCGTTATAAGAATGTATACGTTGTGGAATTAAAAAACTGGCAAAGTTTCACCGCTTGATACAAGTACACTACTTGTTCTTTAGGCCAAGACGACTTGATGTTTCTTACACTTGATAGTTTATTTAAAAACATGATGCAATATTAACTAAAACATATTAATTTCAGATTCGCTAAATGGTAAATTAGTACTGAATCAGAACAATATAGACAGGCCAAATACTTTTGTTGCTGTCAATAAACCAGTTTACCATTATGTGAAGCTACCAGAAAAGGAAATGAGTTTTTTGAAGCAAAACGCGTCTACGATTAACACCTACTGGTTTATAGATTGTGTCTTATATGATAACACAATAGATTTCTCATTTAATTACACTTACGGTGACGTGATGAGCAGTCACCATATCGAGGCTATTGTAGTGGCTAATAATCAACCAGTACCACCTATTACAACTACAACTACAACTACAACGACAACATCAACAACTACCACAACATCAACAACAACAACCACTACCACGACACCCAAACCTCCAACGACCCAGTCTTCAACGAGCCCTAAAACTTTAAGCACGAAGACAGTTAAACAAGGATCCACTGCAGCGACAGAACCTACACCGGCCACTGTAATTAAAAATTCTACGGAAGTTCATAAAATTAAAAAAAGAGGTATTTCGAACAGAACTTCAAAGAAAACGCCAGCAGTATACAAATGCAATAATACGATTACTGTCGGTGAAAATTACACAGTCGGACGATTTGAACAAATAGTCAGTGTTAGAGGTGAGACTTATTCCTATTAGAGAGTGCTTAAGACTTATTGTTTGACCTAGGAAAGGTCGTCTTCGAATTTGTAAATATAATGTAAATGTAACAAACGGCTGTAGTCAAATTGTTTTTGCAATTATTGTAATTTCGTCACGCATTTGTATTCAATTCGTTCAAAAATACTTTTACATTACAATAGTGCTTTTAAATTTTCAGAGCCTATAACAACAGTTAATATTAGTGGCCGAAATTGGCTACAGCACGGAGATTTATTGGATCTTAAGGTCACGTACGCAGGATCGCCTCCATTTGACTATTGTGTCCAGTACAAAGTGGGACAATACAATGTGACCGGAAACGAAACTTGTGCTAAGACAACAACAACACACGCGACAGATTTCCGTTTCATTCATTATTTCCCGGACAGCGACCAGCACACTGTCGTCATCATTATTGAGAATGAAATAACGAAGATCGTTTCTAGGGAGACTGTTACTATCTATCGAGGTGAGATTTTTTTTATTTTTTTATTGTAACTTTTGATGGGGAACGAGCTCACGATCCACCGGTTGTGTCTACGTGTCGTGTCCACGTAACCACTATTAAGTGATCCTCGAAATCGACACATGAGGTCAAAGTTTTATTTGTATCGTCGTAATGTGTTTGTCATACCTAATTGAAAGGCGCGTGACCGCCTCTTAAAAAGTAAGGATGGTGGTACTAAATCTTACAACCAATACATAGACACAGCCCACTGAGTTTCTCGCCGGATCTTCTCGGTGGGTTGCGTTTCCGATCCGGTGGTAGATTCTGCGAAGCACTGCTCTTGCTAGGGCCAGTGTTAGCAACACTCCGGTTTGAGCCCCATGAGCTCATCTACACGTCAAGGAGAAGCCAAATTAGCATCTCAAGGCTATCTGCACAGATAGAAAAGAAATGACAACCAGTTAAGTGCTAAAGTATTTTAAAGAATCATTTGAAGTTTCAAATTGTAACGAATTTAATACACGATTAAAACGTTTTTATATCTTTTTGGCGATAACATTTAAACTTTATTTCGACGAATCATCAAAACGATATAAAATAGAAGAGTAAGCGATATTTTATTTTACCAATGACAAGCTACAAGTAGTTAATTATTTACTTAATAACAAATAACACAAGTATGTTATATTTGACAGTATTTTAACAGCCGTAACCACTATCTGGGCTATGGAAGAGTAGATCATTATATTGTAGCACTGTTACATTATTATCTTTGTTATGCCTAAAGATAAAAGCGATCATTTCTCGCGTAGCTACTACAGAAATTTTCTCTTAGAAAATGTGACATAGAATATGTACAGTCGAGTAAAGTACCTTTTTTTTTTTCAAGTATTCTATGGCAATTTCTGCAAAATATATGAAAATAAGCTCAGCACTAAAAGGGTTAATACATGTATGCGAATAACTTCCACGATGAAGGAATAACATCGTGCAATGAAAATTTAAACCTGCAAAAATTTCATTTTTTTTAAATTTGTGATAAGGTTTATTTTAAGACCGCACGGGTGTGTATCAACATACAACCTTGTGATGTCTGTGTACCCAGGTAACTAGTTTACAGAAAGTGATCCTTGAGCTAGTTCACCCATCAACGCAATAATATAAAACTGTTTTCGGTACATTAATTAATTCTAGATAAAAATTCTGTCGATTCGTTGCTCCGGAAGCCTGAAGGACGGAGAATTAACCAATTAACACACATTAGTGTATATATTTTTGAAGTTATACTTCTTTAGGCGCGTTATGAAAAATTGATGAGAGTGAAATTTTACGATGCGCGCGCACCGTGACACAAAATTATCAGAAATGAAGTTGCCCACTAAATCGCTCATTACAATACGACTGACGTAACTTGGCGAGTCTGAATATAGCCGCAGGTGAACTTTCGCACATGTACACTCGTAAAAAATGCTACCAACAAAACAGAAATGGAACCTCTGTTAGTGGCGCATGTTGGCACGCACGCCGCCTCTGTTCACTGTGTATTTATTTATATTTATAATATTTATCCACATGCTTTGAGTTTCTACATTTAAAACACGTGTTTTCATTTTGTTTTCAATAAACAAGTGCGAATTTTATATGTGCGTCTGAATTATAATCAGAAGTGATTTAAATTGAATATTTAAATCAATACTAATTAACATTAGAAAATATTTGTGAAAAAACTGCTCATCAACCTTCCTAAGTGCTCGAATACAATTGAGGTTAACTATCCGTATGTATTATTTAGTAATATAAATGACAAAATTATTATTTAATATAATTCATACTAAATATTATTAAATTATTAACATTAAATATTAATTATTAATTATATAATATTTAAAAAAAAAAGAAATAAATTTAATAAAAATAAAGTATAATTTCTTTCGCGCGTACATAAGTACACGCACCCTTTTTTTTCATATTGTTTGTATATTTTTATCTTTGCAACATTACATACAGATCTTTATAACATTAACATTTTTTTAAGAGATTTTATGACCTGGTAACTGATACCTTTAAGTCATGTCTTATTTTAATTTATATTCTTATTTTTATGAAAAATGATATTATGGAGTGAAATAACATGAAATGAAGATGATTAATTTGGGACATTAATTAGCTGCGATGAAATTAAATGAGATGATATGGGATGATATGTAATCTCAGTAAAATGTTGGTCATTTACTGAGATGTTTTCATTGGAGTTTTTGGAGTATCCCGAGAAGTTACGTCCAGCGGCTTTGTTTCATTTTCCCACATTTGTACACTTTCACAGATATTAAACAGTTAATAAACCACAATTATTACACATTTAAAACTGGAACCTGGAAAAACACTAAATAGACAAAATAAAACAAATCACACAACTTCACTCCTCGCGTTCCCGCCAAAAATTCCATAACAATAACATATTAGTTGAAAGTGTTGACGTGACTTTAAATTTGTTTATCATATGATTTTATAAGATCCAGTAAATACTTAGTCTGGCCATAAATACTGTTACAATTAAAAATAAACAAAATATTACATTTGAATTGGGAATCTGTCATTTTTATATGATTGCTCATTGAGTTTTCTCATTTTGGCGCCAATACATTGTACAATATTTTGCGATATTAAAATGGAGTGGGGTGATAAAGAGAACCGAATCGCTGTGATTGCATTACACAAAGTAGGTATGGAGCCAAATGCAATTTTAAAACTTTCCATACGCTTGGTGTTAGTAAAATGTTGGGTACCGGGCTATTAGTAGGTGCAATGAGACCTCCTCTGTTTGTGACAGAAAAAGATCTGGCCGTCCACGTAGTGTTCGTACGAAAAAGGTGGTCAAAGCAGTAAGGGAAAGAATTCGAAGAAATCCTGTCCGAAAGCAAAATATTTTATCTCGGGAGATGAAGATTGCACCTAGAATCATGTCGCGTATTTTAAAAGATGACCTAGGACTTGCAGCCTATAAGAGACGTACTGGTCATTTCTTAACTGATAATTTAAAAGAGAATAGGGTGGTAAAATCGAAACAACTACTGAAGCGGTACGTAAAGGGAGGTCATAGAAAAGTTTTGCTTACGGATGAGAAATTTTTTACAATTGAGCAACATTTTAACTAATAAAATGACCGTATTTATGCTCAAAGCTCTAAGGAAGCTTCCCAATCAGTCGACAGAGTGCAACGTGGGCACTATCCGACTTCAGTGATGGTTTGGTGGGGTATTAGCTATGAAGGAGTGACTGAGCCATACTTTTGTGAAAAAGGTATCAAAACATCAGCACATGTGTATCAAGATACCATTCTTGAGAAGGTAGTGAAGCTCCTTAACAACACCATGTTCAATAATCAAGAATGGTCCTTCCAGCAAGACTCGGCGCCAGGTCATAAAACTCGGTCTACGCAGTCTTGGTTGGAAACGAACGTTTCGGACTTCATCAGAGCTGAAGACTGGCCGTCGTCTAGTCCCGATCTTAATCCGCTGGATTATGACTTATGGTCAGTTTTAGAGAGTACGGCTTGCTCTAAACGCCATGATAATTTGGAGTGCCTAAAACAATCCGTACGATAGGCAGTGAAAATTTTTCCCATGGAAAGAGTGCGTGCTTCTATTGATAACTGGCCTCAACGTTTAAAGGACTGTATTGCAGCCAATGGAGACCACTTAGAATAAGCTTTTTGTACTTTAAATTGTTTTATATTTATGTATTAAACTGTAAAAGTAATAAATGTTATTTGCTAAAAAAATTTTATTCCTTTGTCTCAGTATTTATGGCAAGACTAGGTATAAGTATTCAACTTTGCCTTCCTCGACGTCGACTCGAGGTAGGCATCATCTTCTATATTAAATATAAATACTGTTTGATTGTCTTTTACTATGGTTTTTATTATGAAAATACGGAAAAAAGAATAGAAATGTTTTTTTCTTTTCTTTTTGGTATATCAGAATGTAAATTTTAATGTAAATGTTTATGATAATAAAATGCATAGGCCAAAAAAACGGTTGAACTAAAAGAAACATAAAAACGTCTTTCCATATTGCACTTTGCAATGGATAAAGTACTGGAGATATAACGCGAAGGCTTTTTTTATTGCCCTTGTAGGCGACGAGCATACGGCCCATCGGTAGGCAGCGGCTTGGCTCTGCCTCTAGCATTGCTGAAGTCCATGGGCGACGGTAACCACTCACCATCAGGTGGGCCGTATGCTTGTCTGCCTACAAGGGCAATAAAAAATAAATAAATTAAAAACCGTAAATTATAATTTTGCGGTGGAAGTCAATCGTCAACATTTGTTGAGTACGTATTTCATTACAAAAATTAGTATCCGCCTGGGATTCGAACACCGGTGCATCGCTCAACACAAATGCACCAGACGTCTTATCCCTTAGGCTACGACGACTTAGTTAGGTTAGATTAGAAGGTTGTTTTACTACCTCCCAAATTTGAAGACCCGCGATACGGATTGCAACGATACGTGAATACCCCGATTTAGTTATTTATTGAATTGCTTTAGTTAGGAAAATAGTCCCCATGGCCTACCTGATTTGAAATAGCTCCATGGATGTCATAAATTGCATACTGGCTTTGTTCCAGGCGCGATGGCGGGCCTTATAATATATCTTAATGTCAGTAATTACGTATTTTTTGTTGTGGTTTCAATTTACGAACTGTTTTAAACTTTGGCGTACAAACTACTATTTATGGGGCTCAAAAAGAAAAGATCTGTAGAAGCTTTTTTCAAGAAGAGGAAGATTGCAGTCTACCGTTACCATAGGCCTTGCAATAGCTTGTCATTAATTGTGATGTATTATAATACGGTACGAACCCGTTAAAAACTGGTATCGTTGAATTTTTTTTGTGCGATATTGTTCCTATATTTAATAAACATGTGTTCCATAGATTATAATGAAATAATAATGTTTTCAGCTGCGGTACCCACGCAGTTATCTGTGATCGTGGTGCCAGTGTTTTTCTGCCTCGTTGCGGTGATTCTCGTAGTGTTCGGTATTGCATATTATCAACACAGATCAAGGTATGTAACCTTCATGGTATTTGTATTTTTAAAAAACATTACTGACATTAACAATACTTGTGGAATATTTCAAGTTTTACTGCTGCGTATTTATTCATTTATTTTTTGAAACGAAGTTCCTTATGGGACGATGCGGAGGAGTACCCTAACCGGGAAAAAACATCCGTAACGTAAGATTTTTATTAGTAATGCGTGTGCATTACGTAGTGTACGATTTAACTTTGTAATAACGTACAAAAAATAACATATTTTTTTTCATTCATTGACCACGATCTCAGAGCGTTCATTTGCGCAATACACTAACTCTTATGCAAACAACCGTGAATGAAGTGTACCACAATGAGTTCGCACGTTACTGAATGACCGTGGGTTGTTGCGAAACCTTCAGTTTTATTTTCTTTATACCACGAATAGAATTTAAAATTATTATTTTTAAAATAAGGAACTTCTATCCGGTGTCCCACGACAGCACACATCTTTTTTTTTTTATTTAGGTCACCATAGTCCTTGAGACACGAGATCGAAGTAACTAATAATCCTTATTCTTAATTTTTATTACGTACATAAATGGGTATATAAAATTTGTTGTGCACAATACGAACACGGTAGAAGTGAAACTTATAAGTATTCTATTTCGCTCTCGCTGGCGGAAATCATATATATTATGTATGTGCTCGTTTGGCTCTTTTTAGTGTCGCTTATTCGTTGAGTTTCAAATCACAATGGCGCCAATGAAGTTTTCATTTAGTACACGCCAATGTTTGAAGGAGTGTTAGTAGGTTTTACGTTGATTGCTCCACCTGAAACCATTGCTTTTTTTACTTACCTAAGCTGATAGCCTTGAGAGCCTATGTCAGCGTAACCGGGCGAGTAAGTGAGCTCACGGGGCTCAAACCGGGAGTGCTGCTAACACTGGCCCTAGCAAGAGCAGTGCTTCATAGAATCTACCACCGGAAACTCGGTGGGCTGTGTCTGTGGGTTAATTTACTCGTCGAGCCTTTCGTCGCAAGCGACGGGTTCGGCGAGGACGTTGAACGGTAAATTAATGCTGTAATAAGGTGTACTGTTGTAAATTTTAATTTTATTAGGTACTAGGTACCCGTCCGCTTTGCTGGGCATTTAAAATTAACATTGTTATTTCTCACCTCCACAAAGATTCTCATTATTAACGCCCCCGCAACTGGTGTAGGGAGTCCAACACTCATATAAATATTAGCCTATCCATTAAGTACATGTATTTTCTACATGGATACCAAGTTTCAAGTCAATCGGATGCATGGTTCAGTAGTTATAACGGAACATCCGTAAAAACCACTGTAGATTTATATATTAGTATAGAATAGATTTCGTATTTTTTATCATATTTTTATTAATATTACAGGTACACGATAGAAGTTGCAGATTTCGATTTCGGCCAGGAGAATCCGGAATATAAAACGTTCAGCGAACGACTTCACGACAGCTTCAGGGACGCGTTCCACTTCGGACGTGGAGACGAAGCGGAGCCGCTCACACCGGACACTAGATATGATTCCATGACGTAAACCCTGCCGTTTCGATGTAAGATTGAAGAAGTGCGGTTGGCGTCTCGAGATGAGTGCTTTAACAGATCTTGGAATAGACGGTTGACGAAATCACCCGCCCCCCAACTCCCCTCCCCCTTCCCCCGAAAGATAAGTGGATCTCTCAATTATTTTCATTGAAGATTTAATCATGTTATATCTTGGTCGTATCGCAATCAAAGTATTCTTAAAATAATAGATTAAAAAGGAATTGTTATTAGTATGACCCTATAAAATTGCTATAAAAATGTCCAGGTTTCTTGAACACTTATTTTGGGGCAATAACTGTATCTCTACGTGTCAAGCTAAATTCATGAACGTTCCATTTTTTTTACTGATCTGTCGTTAGTTTTTCGACAGGCAAAAGGTCGGATATGCGTGATTAAAAAACTTTTCGAATTGAAGACTTCTTATTGTAATGGGTTTTAGTCTATTTAATGCATTCGTCCATTGGAAGCGTAAGTGTAAAGAATTGATAAACAATATAGCGTAGAGCTAATGCTAATTATAACAGAAAATGAAATCAGACCTTATGCTTTTGACTTCGAAATTTCTTAATAATATGTAATAAAATAAACTAATTTATCGGTTTAATCTCGTATTTTTTGTTTGGCATTATAGTATTTTTGTGGTAGGCAGCGGCTTGGCTCTGCCCCTGGCATTGCTGAAGTCCATAGCCGACGGGAACCACTCACCATCAGGTGGGCCGTATGCTTGTCTGCCTACAAGGGCAATAAAAAAAATCCGGCGAAATTAAATTATTAAAAGAAACGAGAGATTAAATCGAAAATTGGTTTTGATTATGTCTAAGACGCGCGAAAAACGAACGAAATACTTAAAAAAATCATCTTTGTTAACAATGTTCATTTTGAATAATGTTAATTTCGTACGATGTTGAAGCGTTGCACGGAGAACCGAATAATAAGAGAAACAGTATGCTATAGAAAACATTTGCTTCTTGGTTTGTCGTTTAATCGGAATTGTAAATAGCAGGAGATTGATAGCGCCGTTAAGGTCTGTCGTTTCAATCGTCGAGGCTGTGATTTATAAAGGAAATCATATTGGTAAATGGTTTGAATTAATGGAATGATATCATTTTGATTGAATATCAAGACTGTTTATGTGTTACATTACTGTTACATCTCTACATGATTTTTTAAACTTTCGACATGAGAAGCATAAGGGGGGATATTTTTTTCCAATAATAAAATTTTGGTCTCGATCTCTGGGTGTGTAAATTAATAGGTTAGCTGTAAACTGAACTAAAAATTAAGCAATTATTTTTTTAAGCCCTTGATTCTGGTCAGCGGATTAGACTAAAGTAATAAACTTATAACGTCATAGGTCCTTGATTTTTTTTGTCTACCTACTGCTAGCAACCTTGACGGGTTACACTAGCTTCATTGAACTTGTAGACGACCTCACGGGGCTCAGCCTGAGAGACTGCTAACATTTGCCCTAACAAGAGAACTGCGTCGCTGTATCTACCACCGGATTGGAGTCGCGACCTACCGAGAAGTTCCGACGACATTTTTTTTGCGTTTTGAAATCCGTTACAAATTTAATTACATTAATTAATCTTTTGAGACCTTAGAACTTATATCTCAAGGTGGGTGGCGCATTTACGTTATAGATGTAGTAGGGCTCCAGTAACCACTTGACATCAGGTGGACTGCGAGCTCGTCCACCCACGTACGCAATAAATAAAAACTTAAAATTACATTAATTGAAATAACATGAAAAGATTCTGTTACGTAGATTACAATTGACATGACAAACTAATCAATGGTCGCAGATATGTAATATAATACATTAAAACCAATTACATTTTAAATTGTTAAATTTGATAAGTTTGATGTCACGGGTCAATGAACTTGATCATGATTGAATTAAATCACGAACTTTATGCTTCTAATGCCGATATGAATTTTATGAATTAATCATGTTCTTTTCTATGTGAGGAAATTATATTTTTGTACGCGAAAAATAGTTTATAATATATGCTTTTGATTTTGAAGTTCGAGATCATCAAATGTTGGTACTTCACTAATCATTCATGTATTCGGCTTAAGTGCTTTAACGATATATAGAGAATAATTATCAGACTTGGCTTACCGTATTTAAACGTGCGATTATATTGAACGAAAATTAACATTGCATTTGTTAATATAAGGTAGATTTTGAGTTGATTCAATATCGCAAAATTAAGGTGAATTGAATTGCTGGCGTTTTCCTGTAAACAGTAGTGAAGTGCCAACGTTAAAAAAAGAATATTACACTATAGAATAGTCTATTTGGCAGAATTTATTAATTTATGTCTTCTGTCATTTGAAACCAAATTTGATTGAGGAGCTAATTAATGAATGGCAACACAGAACCGCGTCAGTTAAGATTAGATTTGTTTTTCTTCTTCTTTTGATATCTATTAAGGGAATGATCAGAAAGCTTTGTATTTAAATAATAGTGTGATGTTCAAGGATAAAAGTATTAATATTTTGAATTATATAGATTAAAAAAAAAAGAAGATTTACCAAATCGACATCGTTGTTAAACTAATATTCCTACAGACTGATGAAAGTTTATGTGTATGTGTATTATAGATGTTAGTGCGTTATTTTATTTTGGTATAACATTTATTGATATGCTATGTTATTTTATTGTTAACAATTACACTATCTCGTGTTTTTAAGCATACGAATGATGTGCAGTTGGGCGCGGTACAATGATTTTGTTTATACAATGGAAAATATTACGAGTCGACCTTATTTGACTAGCTTTAAATACGGTTTTGCTTTGTTGCTTTATTTTTTTCCTTTTCAATGTTTACACATCAATGATGCCCTTTCCAAAATTTTTCTGCACATCCCCTAGTCAAGATAGTGTAATTGGTAATTGTTTATACCTTCGTCTACTGATCGTGATGAAGTCTGTACATGAAATAATATCTTAATTTATAGTTCAAAATAGACTATGTATATTTGAATATATAACTAATCGTAATTTGTGATATGTTAGTTATAGTGGCGGAACAGCTGATCATCGCGTTTATACGTCAGAAATGTATTAATAGAACGAGTTATAACCCTAAATATAATTGTGAAATAAATAGACGTAAAATAGAATTCAACCGTTTCTTTTTAATGGAAAGCTTATTAGAAAATAATAATAATAATAATAGAAACCCGTTTTTCAGATTAAATAATGTAAAATTAATAAAAAATAAATTATTATTATTCAATATTGACTAAGTACCTAATCTGATCGTATTACATTTCTGACTTGAAAGTTTGAACGCGTATTCGTTGTATAAAGAAGTTAATGAAATAAAATGTTATTTAACAATGCTTTACTTTATTTGTCCTTGAACTTTTTTCTGTACGAAATCTTTTTTTATTTAGTTTTTGGTTGAATAAGCCCATGTCCTGTCTTAGGGTAAAGTAGTTACATTAGGGCGTGATTTGAGGGGATCTACATTAAGACGGAGTGACAATGACAATAGTACTATAAAACAACTTTTTTATTTTTTTATTGCTTAGATGGATGGACGAGCTCACAGCCCACCTGATGTTAAGTGGTTACTGGAGCCCATAGACATCTATAACGTAAATGCGCCACCCACCTCAAGATATAAGTTCTAAGGTCTCAGTATAGTTATAACGGCTACCCCACCCTTCGAACCGAAACGCATTACTACTTCACGGTGGAAATAGGCGGGGTGGTGGTACCTACCCGTGTGGACACTCCCAAGAGGTCCTACCACCAGTGATTACGCAAATTATAATTATGCGGGTTTGATTTTTATTACACGACGTTATTCCTTCACCGTGGAAGTCAATCGTGAACATTTGTTGAGTACGTATTTCATTACAAAAATTGGTACCTGCCTGGGACTCGAACACCGGCGCATCGCTCAACACGAATGCACCGGACGTCTTATCCCTTAAGCCACGACGACTTCAAAATTGATCGAAAAGTGATCAGTACATCTACTACTACTTGGAATAGGCATAAGTCCACAGTGCGTTTTCAGAGTTGGTTTTTTCCACGTACTATCCAGATTTTTATTGAACTCCCCTCCACTGTATTTGGAGCGCAATAACATGTCCTCCATGTTGTCAGCGGTCTAGATATAGTCCAGACACTGCTGATGACCATGTATTACTTCCCTTACCTGTAGCTAGACTAAAAAATATCATTTTGTAGCTTTTGCCGATCGGTATCTATATAAATTTCCTGTTTTTTTTTTTTGCCCTTTTAGGCAGACGAGCATACGGCCCACCTGATGGTGAGTGGTTACCGTCGCCCATGGACTTCAGCAATGCCAGGGGCAGAGCCAAGCTGCTGCCTACCGCTTAATACTCTCCACAAGCCTCGTTTGAAGAAGGACATGTCATAGCGCTCGGGAAACACCGTGGAGGGGAGCTCATTTCATAGCCGGATGGTACGTGGCAAAAAAGACCTCTGGAAACGCACTGTGGATGACCGCAGTGGCTCCAGGTAGTATGGATGAACTCTACTCCGGTGGCGGGCGGTGCGATGGTAAAAACGAGATGCCGGTATCATCTCGAACAATTCCTCAGAGCACTCCCCATGGAACATACGGTACAAAATACAGAGGGAACCGAAGTCCCTCCGCAGACCCAGAGGCTCCAAACGATCCGTGAGACCGGGATTATCGACAATCCGAACGGCCCTCCTCTGTATGGAGTTAAATGGAAGAAGCTGGTATTTGGGAGCCCCGGCCCAGAGATGGGAGCAGTACTCCACGCGAGGCCGGNCAGTACGTGCTCGACCACGGGTTGCGTGAGCGACTGACGCAGGGCATGGAAGGGCCCCCAGTCCACCCTGCGTGCGATCGCCGGGATCCACTCCGGTCTCCGACTCCGGCACGACGACCGCACGACAGGATTTTACACCGGTTGGCGGGACAGCTTCCCGGGGCGGAGTTTAGTAGTGACACCCGGGTTCAGGTCCCCAACTGACCGGCGGGCGGCGGCGAACACCGTTTCACTGGGTCTCCCTATACCCCCGTCAAACAATCACGTCCCGCGAGCTCACACGCACGTCTGCTCCGCATGTTCCAGGTATCGCCAAGATTCACCCCCAACAAGGAAGAGGAAAGGGAAAGAATAACTCTGGCTCTCCAACCCACACGCTGGAACACAGCTAGGCTATTTGGCGGCGGACTCTAGTTGGAGGGTGGTCGCCAGCCAGTCGGATAAGTCCTACCACCGATTATGTATTCGGCTCCCGTTTTGCACCACCCAGGGGTCACTTGTAGGGAATCGCGGGTTAAACCTACGGAAGCGGGAAGCAATCAACCCCCTAAACCCCTTCAAACACATAATTAAATATAGTGATAGTGAGCCTTTGCTCGCCAACCTGTCCTGGGTAAACTAGCAAGGCCTACGGGCCACCAGTAATCCTTCAATCATAAAAAAATAAAATTAAAAATATGATAAATATATAGTGTTTAATTACAAGCTTGACCCCGTATGATGATATACTGATAAATTTTATAGTTATTGTTTTGTTAATGTACTGAATGATTTCATTCTGTGATCTCATTTTGAACTTTGGGTCAATAATAAAACTGGGACATACCAAGTGTGTTGTGTTATAATGAATTATATTTAAACA